AAATTAGTTCTCGAGGAGGCTAAGAAGGTCATCATCAAGGAAGATGAGTCGCTGCCCAAGCCACTCAAGATCAGGCTGAACGAGACAGACCCCGCGAAAATCAAGCTGAGGCCGAGCGGTGGCGATGATATCCCTGGCACCCGTGTTCGCGTAGTAGGGCGAGTTCATCGTCTGAGATCGCAAAAGGATATGATGTTCGTGACGCTGTCAGATGGATATGGGTTGTTACAATGCATTTTCACGGGCGATCTAGTCAAATCATACGACGCCATGACTCTAACGCTAGAAACATCGATTGCAATCCATGGAGAAATGCGAGCAGTACCGCCGAAGAACCATGCGTATGATGATCGCGAACTTCATGCGGACTTCTTCACTATCATTGGTCGTGCTGCCGGTGACAAGGAGGCTATTACTACCCGTGTTGCTCCTGACTCCGATCCCCACACCCTCTACGACAACAGGCATCTTGTGCTTCGAGGCGAGACTTCATCTTCTGTCATGAAGGTCCGTGCTGCGACTCTGAGAGCCTTCCGAAAAGTGTTCGAAGAAAAGGGTATTTTAGAAGTCACGCCGCCGTCGATGGTGCAAACTCAAGTTGAGGGCGGCAGCACCCTATTTGAATTCGACTATTATGGTGAAAAGGCCTATCTGACCCAATCTTCGCAACTGTATCTCGAAACCTGTCTCCCATCCCTCGGCGATGTATTCTGCATCTGCCCATCCTTCCGTGCAGAGAAGTCCCTCACCCGACGCCATTTATCCGAGTACACCCATGTAGAAGCTGAACTCGACTTCATCAGCTTCACCGACCTTCTCGACCACCTAGAAGATATGATCTGCCGTGTTATCGAGGTCGTTCTTTCGGAGCCATTGATTGCGCGATTTGTAAAGCAGCTCAACCCCGAGTTTACACCACCATCGCGCCCGTTCAAGCGAATGAAATACTCTGAAGCAATCCAGTGGCTTCGTGAACACGACATCCTCAACGAGGAAGGAAATCAACACACATTTGGCGACGATATTGCTGAAGCCGCGGAGCGGAAAATGACAGACATGATGAACATGCCAATCTTCCTCACCCATTTCCCTGTGGAGATTAAGGCCTTTTACATGAGAAAGGACCCCGAGGATACCTGCGTCACGGAGAGTGTGGATGTGCTTATGCCGGGTGTTGGCGAGATCGTGGGTGGTAGCATGAGGATGGAGGACTGGGATGAGTTGATGTCGGCTTATAAACGGGAGGGGATGGACCCATCACCGTATTACTGGTACACTGACCAACGCAAGTAAGTTTTGGCCTCTATTTGCTTTATCCTGCTTTTGTTCTCCTACATCTACCCTTCTACACCTGGTATTCCCTCTCCCTCTCCATCTTTCTCTCTCTTATCTCTCTCCCTCTCTCTCTTTTTTCTTTCTTTTTCTTTCTTGAGAGCGAGAAGGAGAGGGAGAGTTTATTGGATCATGTCTATTTGGCTACAAAAAGTCATGCAATCGTTGACTGTGCCGCATTTTGACCCCTCTTACTGACTCCTTATCCTTCACAAACAGATATGGCACCTCGCCACATGGCGGTTACGGCATTGGACTTGAACGGTTCCTAGCATGGATGTGTGCGCGTTACACCGTTCGTGAATGCTGTCTCTATCCGCGCTTTACTGGACGGTGTACACCGTAAAGATTCATAGAGTTCGTGATTACTTGGTCCTCCTGGAAGTTATGATATTTTGGATCGTGGAAGCAAGCGAAGGAATCAAATGAAAGAAAATATGTGAAGCCAAAAAGGAAGAGAGACACATTTGCTTAGAGGGTTACTTGAAACCTCGGCTTTCCTCAGCCTGTCATCGCATCCCGGCTAAATATCTGCCTATATAGATGAAGGCCTTGCATAGAAATACATGAGCTTCGTCCGTCCTCTTGTCCAACATGCTGTAGTTCTCATTCACTTTTCTCCTAAAGTACTAGTAATTAAATTTTTACGTACTAGATATGAAAGAGAGGGAGACACAGTTCACGTGAACCGCGATCAGAATTTCAAAATATATTGATATCTTATCTTTCATTATTCTCTCTCCCATTTAAGTGTATGATTTCCTTGTTTTACTGCTAGGGGAGTAAGAACATACAAAGTACGGAAATTAGTCGATAACGATCTTCCAAGTAGGTTTAACCGCGCGCCAAGCGCTAATTACAAAAATATTTTCATTCTTTTATTACCACTAGCGAGATCGCGCCTATCCTAGCTGTGAGATCATCCTGGTCAGGCACCGAGAGCGCGGCTCAGCGGCGTTTGACGCGCTTAATTGGACGTCATCCATTGCAAGACTGGGAAGGTTTTTAGGCATTTACCACAGTTCAGCTCTGGGACTTATGATCACAGTCCACAGGAATATTCAGAATATTGATGGGCAGACGTCCTGGGGGTATTGGGAGGGGAACCATCTCCTGGCTCGAAAACTTCCAACCGACTATCTGAGGCACAAAGCTTGTATCTCCTGACACCTTGTGATGGTTTGACGTCTATTTAAGAGTCAGTGGCTGCTATCCAACGCCATGCCGGAGCCTCAGAACTGCAGATCAGCGATTTTGTACCAAAATGTCTCCAAAACAGTTATCCTGATCGATATACCTACTTCCATTGCCGTCGCCCAGCAACTCAAACAGCCTGGCTCTGACGAATGGGGTAAAGATAGGGGGGTTTCCCTGCTCTCTTGCGAACCTCTACAACATCCATATCCAAACCCACCAGAGCCAAAAACAGAGGTGGCTCGCAATCGTGTCTTAGCTCAAATACCAACTTCCCAACAACAGTTTCAAAAAAGGATTACGCCAATTATCAGTAAGGCTCTTCAAGAAATTCGGGAGCGCCACCACGCCGATTGGTGTTATCCTAGGTACTCGTGTTTGCGTAAAGATGTTGAAGAGCAAAATGATGGCGACTTCCCCAAAGAAAACGAAGGTATTTCGCAACCCGAGCCCAGCGGATGTCCTCGAAAACGCAAAAGATGTGAGCTAGATACAGAGAGTTTTGGGGTAACTCAGAACGAGTCGTCGTTTATAGATGAAAATGATCTGCATTCTCAGGACTCTTGTTATTCTGCTCCCAATGAACCTCCACTCATACTTTCGCAGGATATCAATCATGTCCCAGGCTTAGCAGCAATTCAAGGCCTCATGGTCCAAAACCCAACGGCCTTCCAGACTGTCCTAAACATCAAATCGCAACAGCAGCCATGCACTACTACTGGTGGCAGATCAGCTCCAGAATATATATCCATTAACATTCCTCCAGAATCTAGCTTCATCAATTGCCGTCTTACCCCGCCAACGGAGTCTCATCCTAGTCCCATTCGTGCCCTGTCCACAGATACGAAGTTCAATTTTATTCTCATGGACCCGCCATGGCCAAACCGCTCAGTTCGCCGCTCTTCATATTACAAAGAACACGCCGGACCTCTTCAACCAATAATTGAGGGAGTCCTGGAAAACCATCTCCATCCACACCAAGCCCTTGTCGCAATCTGGATTACCAATTCAATAAAATCTCGTTCCACCACGCTAAATGCCCTTGGAGCGGCAGGCCTATACCCGTTGGAAGAGTGGATTTGGGTTAAAACGACAGTTAACGGTCAGCCTGCCTGGCCCCTGGACGGGCTATGGAGAAGACCATATGAAGTACTGATTTTGGCGCAGCGGGAAAAGCCCACTCCCGAAGATAAAAAAGAAGACAGCAGGGATGAAAGCAACAGTGAATTCTGTGGAATCAAACGGAGGGTTATCGTCGCGGTACCAGATATTCACTCGCGGAAACCAAATTTGAAAGAGTTAATCGAAAATATATTCTTTCCATCGCCAACCAAAGCTCGTAATGGGACACCAAATGGGAAGGAAAAGTATCCTTCTAGGACATACTCCGGCCTGGAGGTATTTGCTCGCAATTTAACTGCTGGATGGTGGGCGTGTGGGGACGAAGTTTTACGATTCAATTGGACGGGTTGGTGGACTGCAAGGGAGAGAACGGAAAACGACGCTTAGCGGATATCAGAAGTATGTTCCCCGTCATCCGTGAGCATTGAATTCGCCTTAGCATCCATGAGTATCAGTAGATGGTGGCGTGATGAAAACGCATAGTTATTAGCTCCAGTCTAAATATTAAAAAGGAATATAAGAGTTAATATACATATGGATAATTGTCTTCCAATATATGTCACAGAAAGGCGTCTATTTCCGTTAAATGAGGTTTTAGATCACCCTAAGGCCTATGGCCGTGAGTAGTAACTCTTAGAATGGACTTTTTAATGCCATTGGCATGTGTATTTTGTATAACAAACCAAGCAGGCAAGTAAGTATATTAGTACTCAGCTCGTAGCAATCGACGGTTAGATACCTTTGATACGATTTCTTGGAACAGGCCAAAGGGGTTCGTGTGTTACAGGCTGAAGAAAATCCATTGAAATTACATGCATGGTTTATTGAACTGAGCCATGTGATGTATATTTAGAACCAAAAAACTCAACACAGTACACCTGGGCGGTTGCACTTGGTCGACAAATTTCGATGCTGGAAGGATTGGCAGTGCGGTTGAAACATCTTGCTTTATGCCAAAGGACGCTAGTTGGGCTCGAATTTCAACCAGAATGTTAGGGACATGTTGATTCCGGAAGATGTATCTGTGTTGGCTTTTCTATTGTCGAATTCTGGAAGGTTAATGACGCCTCTTGTTTTAAGGCCCAGATGCAGATATAACTGTTTAAGGTGATTCCACCGTTTAAGATAGCAGTTCCAAGGTTTCGGCTCTACACTTCAGTGCAGAAATACGTACAGGCGGTGGCCCCTAATTGGATCCATTAGTCAAGCCTCACAGGGGTATAAAATACAAGCATGCTAAACACACCCTCATCCGTGTATATTATCAGCATCAACGATAAGCGAAGCCCGTATTTATATATGCAGAATCAGGCAGAAACTCCTCGCATCACACGGTGCCGACCAAAGAGTAATCAATCAAAAACCGGCCCCAGACTAATCAAACTAAACCTTACATCGCCCCCAGCCTCTGCCTCCTTCTTCAACAGCTGGCGAACGCCCAACTGCAAGCCCTTTTCACTCAACACATCCTCCTCCTTGTCCAAAGGCCCACGGTCTAGTGGACCTGTTCTCCGCCCATCCAGCTCCCACAAATGCCCATCACTTCCCTTCACAAAGCATACGAAATGCAAATCGATTTTCTCATCCGCAGCAGGAGCCGCGGTATCCCCTTTTTTCGCTGCCTCAGCATGTGCGCTCTCTAATGCCTTGCTTGCGTATAGTAAATCAGCTCTTTCAGCGGGTTTCAACGGTTCTGCATCCCTCAGTAATTGATCCAGATCTGAGCCCGGTGTGATATGTGCTTTCACAGCACCGTTACTGATGGCATGAAGGAGTCCGATTAGCCCGCAGGCATTGCGGATAGTTTGTTTGAACCAAGTTACGGGTTCATTGGGCCCGCATCCTTCATATACAGGCCTACCTGTGTCCTCTGCGATGCGCGCGGCTTCGTAGGCCTTCGTGACGGGGAAAACGAGAAGAATGGCGAGGGAAGGGCGGGGTACGAAGGCGATGATGTCAGGGTCATCGATGCTATAAATATCGGTGAAGCCAAGAGCCGGTGAAACACCTAGTTGATGGATGAGGTGCGACATTACTTCTGGATTGTTTTCTACTGGGGTATTAGTATATTTTTATTCTTATGCCAATGAGGGACGATTTCAAGTTCTTACCAAGGGGAACGAAGGCCTTAGCCGTCGCCGGCGCGTTTGGATTTCCTGCCATTGTGAAATCCTGGGGTTTACAGAATAACAGTGTTGGCTCAATTATATTTCCCAAGCCGAGAAGGGATTGCCCACGATATAAATGGGGAATTTCTCAAGCCGGATGTTCGTCAGCGAATTGTTGCCTTTGGTATGCGGGGAAACAATCGTCATGTCTGGCAGCCTATTCTACTTTAGGCAGCTAGTTGGCTCCTAGGGCTTAGATTCGCAGGTGATCAGGATTCAAAAGTCAACATTTCGTACTCCACGCTTGGAACAGCCTTTTTATGATGAATAAAGGGTTTGTTTTTTCCAGTATACGGCACGCTAGTTTGGCGAATACTGCGATTAAAAATTGCGGGTTTTCTTTTATGCAGTCCAGCTGAGAATTTCCATAAGTACTAGTATATACTACCTCGATCATGGCTATCCAGCTCTCTACCAAACCTACAGATCTGTAGTTTTCTTTATCATTTCTCAGTTCGCCACTTTTGGCTTCTCGCCTCGTTTCAAGGGTCCAAATACTGTTTTCCATAGCTCAGTTTCCTCGCCGATGAAGTATGAAATCGAAACATCAGCCATTCCCGCATCAGGTCCGCCACTCATCGTCTCTAACTGAGAGATTAGGTTCTCAAGACCAAAAGCTTTCCCTGTGGATTGAGTAGTCCCACCTTCTAGCATTACGTTGACAACGTGAATATGAAGGTGGTAGTAGGTTGGTTGGTCTAAAATGGAAAATTAGTGTGAGGGACAAAGGAAACAACTCTTGGCTTCGTACGGCATCCTAATCCATAATACGTACAATGGAGATAGAGCTTCAGCTGGTCTCGATCCAGTTGGGGATAAACGTTCACAACACCATCTAGGACTTTCTCTCTCATATGCTTCAGCCACGGGATATGCTTTTTCTTCAGGTCTCGTAGGCTCCATATGTTACGCCGCTCCACCAGACAAAGAAGACGGAGAGTTCCTATTGTCTTGCGGTCCCAGTTTAGATCAGGCAAAAGCAAAAAGCCTTCCTCCGGATCTGATACTCGAATTATTACATCCTCCTGCTCCTTGCGTCCTTCTATAATATTATATACCCAGTTCAGCCTGCCGTTTTCCCTCCTACTCTGCATATATGCACGAACGTAGTTCGCATAAACATCTGGCGTCTCCGTGACTATGCGTACATTTTGTGCTGAGTATTTCAAGATGTGCTGTTCTGTGCAAGGCCAAATGAGATTTAGCTTTACGTCTGGCGGGGAATCGTGATTGTGCCCAGTTGACGCGAGGTACCAGCGATATATATCGTTGGCTCCAATGATTGCTACATTTGCTAGGGCAGCATGGAATGCTCTTAGGGAGTCAGAATCTGAAACGAAAGCTGCTCTTTCAATAATTAGGATACCGGGCGCGTCATCGATGGAGCCGAGAATGGATATGCGGCGGTCATTTTGATCTGTGAGGGAATGGGAGGATGGTCAGTCGAGGAGAAGGAATGATAACGGCTGGTATCGTCATTAGAAGTCGAGGGAATGTCAACCTTGATTGAGTAACCTCTCTACTTTGAATTTCGGTATCAAGCTCTCCGCCTGTCCAATTTCAGCCATCGAATCAAAGAAGTCAAATATTTGCGCGGCAATGGATTGTGCTCTTTGGCCAGTATCAGATCTTCTTGCTACAAGCGTTGTGCTTCGGCGGCTATTTCGCCATGTGGGTGCGGATTATGTCATCCGGATAGGGCTGAACTTAGTTAACTACTTAACGTTCAATGAAGCCCCTTTTTTTCTACCATTCCCCGTTATCCATCTCTAAAATGATTTCCTTCCCCAATTCTGCTTGTGTTTTGACTATATTCTTTTTGATTAGGATAGAATCTTTTAGTTTGTGAGTAACACTATTTTAAATTGCTAATTTGCTTGATTATTGACCGAAATATGCGTAGCGTATGTGTTTGATGTCGACACCACTCGTGCAGGATCTATCCTAACATAAGTCGTCCGACGAAATACGGCACCAACGAACTCCATTCAAGATTTGAAGGGATGTAATATATGAATGTGAATAGGAATATGAATGTAGAATTGAGGAAGTGGATGAAGTAATGTATATACACATTAAGAGTAAGATAATATCAATAATGACAACAAGCGATGAAGACGAGCTCTATGGAGCATTTGAATCCATATTCTGTATACTTTCAAAATGCCGCCAATATTGCCACATTTGCTATTCTTTAAATAAAACAAGGCAACGACAGTCCGCCAAGACTGTTTCTTAAATACATTCTTGTCGTTTGCCTAAGCCAAGACAATTGGCGATGTTGAAGAAAATGTCGATGTTATTATAGACACCTACATAGCAGCGAGCGTATGTTAGCAAATCGTTTTAATCTGCTGTTTCGCCTGTTCAGGGTAATCCCCCAGGGACGAATAGAACAGCTAGATAAACAAAAGAGGTTAGTAACATACCTCCAAACTCTTCCTGGCACGGGCCCATGGCGAAAACTGGCACATCGGTCAAAGAATGCACGCCCTGAGCTTCCGAAACTGAAAGCGTTCCGTTAATCACGAATCCGGAAACCGCGTCTTTGTAGTTAACATAGTAGTCTTCCGATCCGTCTTTCAGTGTCACTGCGGGCAGTCGCGGGCCGTCTTTGTGCACTTGGTAGTTTTCCCTTCTATCCGGATTTGCGGTCAATCCGGAAAATAGTGAGTAGCGGGGATCCCACTGTGCAGGAAAATGTACACCTTCACTATAGCGGAATGATCCCTCGGTCTGTACAGTGTACTGAGACAGACCTGATGCTTCGTACACCCCGATGGCATCGCGCTTGGCTCGGTCCGTGTCCTGGGCGTTGAGGTATTCCGTATCAACAGTGCCCATGACGTCGAAGCCATGGCCGTGGTCAGCCGTGACGAGGATAAGAGTCTCATCAAGTTTCTTCATACTGCGGAGTTTCTCGATAGTGGCTCGAATGGTGTCGTCAAGCTCGAGAAGTTCTCCAAGGGCGCGATCGTAGTCAAGAACATGCATTTGTTTGTCAATGCTGGCAGCTTCAGACATGAGGAAGAAGCCGTCGTTGCAGCTGCGGGTGGTGAGGATGTCAATGGCCTTGAGAGTCATATCTTTGAGGCCTGGCTGGTCATCAGCATCCTTGTCCGAACCATCTGGGTAGTTCTTCTTGTTCTTGAGATTGTCTGTGTAAATGTTTCGGTCAAGCCATTTAGCCATGACACTAGTGGAAAATACACCCAGCGCCTTTTCGGTGTTTGGGGCTTCAGCCAAGGCAGTTTTATTCCAACTGACACTATACCCTTTCTCCGCAAAGAGCTTATAATAATTTTGGCCTAGGTACGCCCTTTCAGGGAGGAAATCCTCTGCACCACCACCGAAAAGAACGTCTGGTCCATCCCACTTGGTCCATGAGTAGTTAGCCAGGCCATGGAAGTACGAGTCAATCACGTGTCCCGCTTGACCACGATCCTTCGTATGCGCGGTCAATGCAGCTGGCGTTGCGTCGGCTGAAAATGATGATGTTATTAATACTGCATAAAATTAAAATAGGAAAAGCCGAAGAACTAACACAAATGAGCCGTGGTAACAATTCCAATACCGGCGTTGGGGTAAACCCTGTGGAAGATCTCGGCAATGGTCTCGAATTTGGGGTCATCAAAGGGTGATGGAGATGAATCCCTATATACACCCAAAGCATTGACAGTCGTCTTATGGCCAGTATAAAGGGAAGTGGCAGAATTGGCGGAATCGGTAATGATCGAATCCAAGGAATGCGTCATTTGATGACCCAGAACAGGGAATTTATCCATCTGCATCCTGCTTTGGAATCTGCCGTTGACAGAACGATGGGCAATCATACGTGCAGCGGTGATCATGTTAGTGGTCATGCCATCACCAATAAACAGGATCACATTTTTCGCTTTGCGTACTTCAGCTAGATCTCGAACGAGCCAGGTAGCTGTTGTTGTTTTGCCGTCATAGTAGGTGAGGGTTGCTTCATACTCTCCTGGCTGATATAACGCAACACGTCGATAGACTTTGGATGCAACTTTGACCAATGAGGGTTTCTTCGCATCTCGCGCAAATAAATCTATTAATCATTCAGTATTACATTTTTGGCTGGGTGTGCAGTTTCCTCTTCTCTCTCTCTCTCTCTCTCTCTCTCTCTCTCTCACACACACACACACACACACACACATAAACCCGCTTTTTGTTCTTTGGAAGAAACGACAACTTACCTTCGTACCAAGTGAAGTCCCATTTCTCAAGTTCAGGTTCCTCTACACCAAAAAATTCGGTAGCCGCCTGTGGTTTGTTATTACGGCCTTTCTTCGTAATGGCGAAGGTGAAATTGGGGTCAGGTTCTCCTTCGCGAGCTTCAGAGCCATTGACAGGCGAATGGACTTCGAGACGAATGTCAAAATATTGGCCAGCCAGGAAATCCGTCCTAAAATACAAGACATCATAATTCAATAAATCCCGACTTTTTTTCTAATGAGTCAAAACTGTGAAAGTAAGAAAAGGGACGAGCATACTGGTCTGGTGGAAAGACACAGCCCAACTCAGGGCATCCACCCAGGCGTTGGAACGTCTGAGCTAGGGCTGTGGACGAAAAGAGCACAGCTCCAACGATCCACGGAAGCTTCATGGTTACAAATGGTGAAAATGCTGCACGCAATTCATCAACGAATTGACAACTGGAGAAGCGCAGCACACAGAAGGGAAACAGAGAGGAAGTGAAACAAAAAGTGCTAGGGTAGCTCCTTTTATGTCAATGCAGCTGACGGTGGAAGTGGAACAGACTGCCTTTCCAGGGATTTTGCCGGATCGCAAAAGGCTCCGAAAGAGTGGTGATATGAAATGAGGGGCATGTTTCTGCAGGAGAACAGCTGAAGAACGGTCAGTTGGTGATACAGATCCACCGAATGCTACAATGTCATCCTGCGAAAAGTGGATGCTGGCTAGAGATTCTTTCCATGCCGCACTCTAACATCCTGCAGCAACAATAACAATAACAGTAGTCGCAAGTCAACAGTTGAATCGCGGACAGGGTCTGCTACACGTGCGTTGCTAATCCCCCAAGTAAAAATAATGACAGCATTTAGCGTCCCGAAAAATAAGAAGTGGCCATGAGAATTGCAAACGGTGCCCCGTTCGTGATAGGGTATCGAGCGATAGGTATATCTTGTCGTAACTGCTTTCTTCTCTGTTCTTTCGGTATGAGAAGGCCTTGCAAACTTGAAGACATGCCCAAATCCATATGCTGCTGCGAGTCTCTGGGCAGGGCTTTTTGCCTCACCATTCCCTGTGCGCAAACCCGCACTGGGGTTCCTCTGCAGCGTTTCTGTTGTAAGTTTTGGAAATTTTGGCTCCCGTTCTCTCCGTAAATTCAATGCATTTTGTCCCGCAACACCACGTGTAGTCGATGCTGTTTTCTTGTTCGCGGCTGGGAATCAAGCTTTGAGTTGGTTCCTGGGCCACTTAGCCCGTACTTGTCGAAAGGTTTCCCTGCTAGAGCGGTCTTAGTTGGGCCTTGGTAATGCTATCACCTGTGGAGAATAAGCAGACAAGCGGGGCTGACATGGTGTGTTCCATGGAGCTGTCAATCTCGTGCATGAACATGTTGTCGCGGTTGGATAATATCCTGCCAGGATTGTTGTGCATAACGGCAACACAATGGTTACCTCTTAGGGACTCGATTTTTCGAATACACCAAATGTCTATTCCGTTTGCGTAATTTCAACTCACATCATGGTTTTGGTTTTTTTTTTTTTTTTTTTTTACTTTTTCTTGATTATCTATCTCCGATAAGTCAATATACCCGATAGTTTTCAAAGATATATGGTGTTGGGTCAAATATTCTATCCAATGTTTTAGAATTATGCCTTTCCGATCTCTACCAAAGTAACCAAAGTACAGTGGGTATAATTATCATATAAAGAATGCACCACAATTGTTCAAAATTCACCGAGACACCGTTAATGTAATAACCTTTCATTCTCATAAATCAAGAAGCTGAGCTCATGCAGTCCTGCTTGTCATTCCTGTCTTTTTCCGCTCCGTGGGGCTTCCCATTATCTTGCTGTGCTGTATCTGACGGTGTTGTATGTATCTGTTCGCAAGTTAGCAAACGGATGGATATACCCCTTTCCATGACGGGATATAGCGACGCCCATTAACCAAAGCAACTGGTACTTGGATCTAATACCGCAGAACCTGGTCCCCTCTCCAGGATAAACTATGGTGAAGGCCAGAAGAGAACCAAGGCAACTAAATGGGAAATATTTTGAATCCACAGAAATAAAGTCGAATACGCACCGCCTCAGCAAACCGAATCCACTCACTAACCCCTTTAACGAAAGGGTCATCAGCAGCGGGCAACTTTTCATGGTCCCAGACCATGAAGGCTGAGAATGAACCTTGTTTATCGAGTATCGTGAAGGATGTCCAATCCTCACCATCACCCTCACTCTCTTCATCTTCATTTTCATTCTGATCAAGGTCGTGGCTTTGATCATTCTTCTTGGTTCCGGATTCCGATGTTCCATTTGTTTGACTCGTAAGAATTCCTGTACTTGATTTAAATGATATATTCGGACAGAGTCAGAGTGCTTATTCTCTCGCCTTCTTCTCTCAAACTATAGCACCTTATCCAATAATGGTGACGAAATTCTCGATCGCATTGGTAGTAGGGAGAAAGCCACATACCTTCATATCCCTCCGGAATTGGAACTCTTCGCCCCCTAAGCCTCCTGCCTCGGAAGTATGCGGTTGCAGTGTCTAGGTGCAATTGAGTTAGCTGATGTTCACCATATCTGATGAAGTCGAGTGGTCCATAGATAGGCAACATTAGACAAGACAATAGGGAGCAGTCCAGAAGGGATGTATGAAAATAAACCTCTTATAATAATCCCAAAAATGGGACCAGTGCAGAGCTCTTAGTTTAATTAGACTACACCCGTCCGTCCAACGTATAACGCACCGAAGAAGAACAGAATCAAGAGGAAAACAAAAAGGAAACAACATCGCATGAAATGTCCTTCATCTAACCAAACAAAGCAACGTCACCTCCAAACATACCAGGGTTATCCTCATCAGCGACCGGATTCCAGTATCTGGTCGAGATGTTGACCGGTCCATCATGATGAATCCGACACGGGAGAAAGTTTGCAGTTTCTGAGCAATCCTCCTTATATGAATCTGAATTGTTCTTATGTGGCCGTATTGCAAACATTTTGCGCCTTTTCAGTTTGGTGGGTGTGCGAGTGCTCGTGTGCGACTGTGTGGTTGAGTCGAATGGATGCCAGAATTGACTGCGACAATGCAATTGGAAAGTTACGGGAATTCCAGGTGCTATGCTCTAAATGAGAGGCTCGATTGGGTTGCAAATATATTCTGAAGTAAAGACTGAGTTCTATCTCAATGGAGCTTTCCAACCAAATACTACCATTGGTATTTTGCGACGCGTTGGGCGCGTTGAGTGTGAATGTAGCATTACATAAGCGGCCCTATCTGATCCTGTAACTACTCAGTTATCGCCATGTTAAAGCTCAATAGTATTGTCCACTAAGTTCATGTTAAATCATAATATCAAGCTCAATTCATAGTAGTATATACGAGCAGGGGTATATAAAATCATCAAGACTCAAGCTCAACTCAATAAACTCCAAACCAATCAACGATAAATCACATCCATCATAACATCTATTTATTCCCCTTTCTCTTCTTGGCGTTTCTCTTTTTCTTCCTCCTGGTGTCTGCGTTATTAGCATTGTCACCAGCAGGTGCACGTATAGGTGGCCATTTCTTCGCATGCTCCCGCTCAAAAGCTTGTTTGTCTCGTCGGAAAAGAAGCATCGTTGCCTGCGCGTCCTCTATACTCGAATGAGCAGCACCCTGTATTTCTAACCCTAATAGCTCAGAAGCCAGTATCTTCAGACGCGGTGAGCCACCGCCAGCAATTTTTCGGTACGGAGGATGTTTACTGGTATCCCGTATATCATGCTTCGGATGACTGAGGAGCAAAGCATCTAAATCGTTCCGGACCGCATGCCCTACCAAAATGCAGCCATCCAGAATACCTGCGACATCTCTTTGGACTACTTCAAACTCTCTGGCATCTGTCATGTGTTTTGGTGACACCCCGCTAACATGTGTTCGCCAGTCCGTCACTTCCTCCTTCGGAAGCACAAACGAATCGTAGACTTGTTCACCGTTGTAGTTGACGATACTCACACGAGCTAAAGCCGAGTCGCGATCGGGATTCTGGCCCACGCCCACCATTTCACAGTCAAGAGCGACATATCTCCCGACCTCCGCGCTGTAGAAGCGGTTAGTCTTTTAACGAAGCGGACAAACATTGTGGAAGGAAACTGACGTTTGAGATATCCCTTCATTAACCTTTGCTTCGCTAGAAGGTTTCGGGTTTGCTTGCACTATTGAGGTTGTGGATATATTCCGTTGCGAGGCTGTTGTTATAGAACGTGATTCTGATTTTTCTCCCGTGGCATCAGTTGACAAGACTAATCCCATCTTACGTCTTTTGGAAAACTTTTCACCCCTCCCGCCTTTCCTATGGGTTTCTGGCGGCGACGATAGCGATAATTTCTTTCTTTTTACTTCGTAAGTGGTTGTAGCGATATTATCTGGTTTGCGTTTTTGGGCAGTGGAGGGGCTTTCGATTTTCAGTGTTTCTTGAAGTTTTCGCCAATTGCTTGAGAGGTTTTTGAGTTCCATTCCGGCGGTGACGAATACCGTTCATCCGTCCATCACGATATAGCGTTACGAGTAAATGACAGGAGTTTAGAGTTGGAAGGGTGTATGTATGGTTTGTGCATGATATGTTGGTGTTGACTGCCAACCTTGTAGTTTTCAAGTTCTCCATCTCTGCAAACAGAGCAAACATGTGTAGATTCACCAAAGGGGCTCAACTAACTACTTGCTACAAGTAGACTGGCCGCTGGGACCATGAATTACACATTTGGTTTGGTTTGGTTTGGTCCCAGTCCATTTCTTGGCATGATTTTAGTGGGACCAGGACCAGAATGGGAGTGTAAAGTGACTAGAATTATCAAAACATGAGTGAAATGGGACTAAAAAATCTTGATATTCCATGTAAAGTGACTGACTATCAAAATCAGAACATGATCTGGGACTGATCATGATTTTGACTCAAGTTTGGTCCCATTCTGATGATTATATAATACATCAATCTGATGATATGATTGGTGGAGATATTACCCCTATCTTGCTTAGTGCTGCTGCCAACCTACCCACCGCTGCCAATCTACCCACCGCCGCCAACCTACCTACCGCTGCCAATCTACCTACCGCTGCCAACCTATCTATCACTGCTAATCTATCGCTGCTAATCTATCGCTGCTAATCTATCGCTGCTAATCTATCGCTGCTAATCTATCGCCGCCAACCTACCTACCGCTGCCAACCTACCTACCGCTGCCAACCTATCTATCGCTGCCAACCTATATAGGGTAAATCATGGTCCCATTTGGTCCCATTTTGTAAAATGGGACCAAATGGGACCAGGATCACTAATTTATTAGTAAAACATGATCTGGGACTAGATTTATAATATAAACAGTGTAAAGTGACTAATTTGCTAAACACTATATGGGACCAGGACTAAGATATCTAATAATGGGACTGAGGAAAAATTTGGTCCCAGTCCCATGCATGGTCACACGGCCAGTCTAGCTACAAGGAATTGAAAGCATGATAATTGCATCAAGCCTCTGGAATTCGTACAATAAAACTCCATAAATTTGATACTTAGCTTACCAGCCTAAGGCTTAATTTTAAAGTCTTTGTGAGTCCATTTCTCTGTATAATCCCTCTTCGCCTTCCTCGGTTGCGTAACCGGGTTCCTCGCTTCAAGTTTGCCTTGAACAATGAGATTCCGGAACCTGTCTCCAAGCAGGTTGCCCTCAGGCTTCAATAAACGTAGAGAGTCTTGCAGTTCGTCCGGCAGAACAATCTCCAAAGGTTTTACAGGGACCCTAAGATGAGATTGTTAGTCAATATATTAATCCACACCTGTCAGAGCAAGGGGTTGGCTTACGGGTTTTTCCCAAAAGGCCTTCTCCGCAGAATTCGATCGTCCCCTTCTACTGACGATTCATCATCGCCCTTTTTCAATTGTTTCTCGGCTTCTTCTTTCGCCGCGACCGCCTCAGCTATCGCCTTCGCTCGGGCAGCTTGTTCTTCTGTTTTTTTGAGCTGCGCCTCCCATTTTGCTTTCCTCTCAGCCTCTTTCCTCCTTTTTATCTTATTGCGCTGAGCCTTAGTTTTCCGCTCCGGTCTCTTTTTCTTAAGCCATTCAGCGGTTTCATATTCACTCTCAAATCCCTCCCAAGCACTCTCATCATCCGACCGGGCCTGTCCGTTGTCATCTTTCGCAGCTTCGATTCGTGCCAATCTCTCCTGTTCTGCCTTCTCTTCTTCTAAACGTTTCTTCTCAGCCTCAACTTCTTTTTGACCCTCCATTGTTAAAAGGCGGTCCCAATCTTCAAATGACGGGTTATAACTTATTCCTGCATCTGGGCTTTTTATTGATGGCACAGGCTTTCTGTTGGCTGCCAATGACAGTGGCGGTAGTTTTGTTGTTGGAGGTGCAACAATTGGTTTAGGCTTCTCGAGGAAATTAAATTTTGTTTCCTCCACGAATTCAGGAGCGACGACCTCACCCCAAGGGTCATGCGATATTACTCTGTTATCGTCGTGTTCCAGCAGATTGGCATCTTTCGCAACTTGCTTCAACCTCATCCACTCTTTGTAAGTAACCCAATCGCTCTTTGTCCGCTTGTTTTTAGGTTCAGTTATCCCGTCTGTAACTCTAGAGCTTCCCCGCTTGCGATTATCAACTGAAGGGATTGCAGAACGCTGGGCAAGTATCTCATCGCACTTCAGGAGTTTTATACTTCTGACTTTTCGTTGGAGTTCGTCTGAGCCTCTGGAGTCTAGAACAAAAAGGTCCTCGGACGACTTTTCCGCAATGACACCCCTAATGCAAAAATGAACGAGTTGTTAGTCTATGTCAGGGGAAGGTAATAAGGGGAATAGGCCTACCCTTCGATTTCTTCTTCTCGTACTCTTTGTAGGCCTGCATCGACCTCAGTCATATCCACATGTTTTCTCCATGCTTTCTTGCCTTTTCGGGAAGGCTGTTTGTATTGATGGGGTGCCCCGATTGTAGTCGCCATAGTATCGCTATTTTTTTTTATCGGAAAAGTGGTCATAGAGAATAACTGAATTTTGGAGATAGTGCCATTTTTCGAACGAAATTTTTGGGGTTTTGGTTGGTTATCGATTGGTTGGCGGCAATGGCGCTAAATAAATGCGGCTCCCGGCGGCAAAACTCTTTTGCCGTTTATTTGTCTACACGCACCGCGACAACAATTCAGCCACCTAGAGCAACCATAACCTCAAGCTTGGTCACCCACATCGCCAGTCAAGATGCCAGTCGTCAAGGGTGGAGTATGGTAAGCTACTAATTGTTTCCTTTTGTGATACCGCTCACTAACCATTCTGCCAGGACGAATATTGAGGATGAGATCGTGAAGGTAGCCGTGTCCAAATATGGACTGAATCAATGGGCGCGAGTGTCCTCCCTTCTTGCCAGGAAAACACCGAAGCAATGCAAAGCTCGCTGGGCGGAATGGCTGGACCCTGCTATCCGCAAGATCGAGTGGTCGCGAGAGGAAGATGAAAAATTACTCCATCTAGCGAAGTTAATGCCTACACAGTGGCGAACGATTGCTCCTATTGTCGGAAGAACAGCGACCCAATGTTTAGAACGATACCAGAAGCTATTGGATGAAGCAGAGGCGCGGGAATCTGATGAACTGGGCCTGGGCGGCCCTGCTGGAGGTGAAACTGCTGCCCCAAGTGCTGATGATGTTAGAAGGCTACGGTACATTATTACTTTCTTCTTGCATCCTTAATTACCACTAACATCTCTTCTTTAGGCCAGGCGAACTGGACCCGGACCCGGAGTCTAAACCTGCACGCCCCGATACCATCGACCTCGATGAGGACGAAAAGGAAATGCTCAGTGAGGCCCGTGCTCGTCTTGCGAATACACAAGGAAAGAAGGCCAAGCGGAAAGCTCGAGAACGCCAATTGGAAGAGTCACGTCGTCTTGCTGTGCTACAAAAGCGCCGTGAGCTGAAAAATGCTGGTATCAACATTAAGGTCGTCACACGGAAGAAAGGCCAGATGGATTACAATGCGGATATTCCTTTTGAAAAACAGCCAGCGCCCGGTTTCTACGATACTTTGGAAGAGGAATCCAGAAATGAGCGACAAAGAGCTTTGTTTGATCCTCGAAAACAACAGCTTGCCAGTAAACGGAAAGGCGATCAAGAAGAAGATCCCGACAGGAAAAGAAGGAAAAATGACAAAAGTGGCAATTCCGCCTTCGCTGCAGCTGCAAAGGCAGGACAGATGCAGAAAATCCGAGAAGCGGAACAGAGTAGTAAGCGTCGGGCCCTCGTGCTCCCGTCTCCTCAAGTAAGCGAAACCGAACTTGAGGAGATCGTGAAAATGGGCATGGCAGGAGAGCGGGCAAGCAAAATGGCAGGGGAAGAGGAGAACGATGGAACGCGGGGCTTAATCAGTAACTATTCTACTATCGTTGGTGGAACTCCCATTCGAACACCCAGAGCTCCAGCCGAAGAAGATCGTATTGCAAACGAAATCCGAAATATCAAAGCCTTAACGGAAACACAATCGTCTCTACTAGGTGGAGAAAATACACCATTACATGAAGGCGGCGGCTCTACTGGTTTTGAAGGAATTGCTCCACGGAAACATGCGCTCGTTACACCAAATCCAATGGCCACGCCGTTTCGCCAAGCTGGTGCTAACGGCATAGGTGCCACTCCAATGAAAACGCCGATGGGCGTAGGAGCCACTCCACTACGCACACCTAGAGACAACTTCGCTATCAACAAGGATGCTAGTATGGGAACACTTGTTGGTAACACGCCCAAGGAGATGAAATTGCGTGAGGACTTCTTACGGCGCCAATTAAGTAGCCAACTTTCTAGTCTTCCTGCACCAAAAGAAGTGGAGTGGGAGCTGGAAGAAATGCCAACGGAGCAAGCAGAGCCGATTGGCAAAGAGGTGCCTTCAGAAGAGGACGCAGCTGAGCGGGATAGGAGAAATAAAGCTGCTGCCGACAAGGCGGCTCAAGCGGAATTTGAAAGGCAGAGCCAGGTGTATAAGCGAGGTTTACCGCGGCCCAGTGTGATCAAGTTGGACACGTTAATGGAGAAGTCGAGCAATGTTTCAGACCCTATCCAAAACTTGATTACACAAGAGATGGTCACTCTTATCGCCCATGATGCTCGAAAATTTCCCTTACCGGGTGCTAGGATTGAAGGGAAAGCTCCGAAATTGACCTCCTTTAGTGATGCACAACTTGCTAGGGGCCGTGCAGCTATCACAAGTGAGGTGACACGTCTTCCTCCCCAACAAGATTGGCAGGATACTTTTACGACCTCGTGGTCTTCTCTCCATGAATCAGCTAGCCTTCCGGGCCTTTCGCTCTATTCCGATGACGATGATTATGAGACGCAAGAGCAACAAATGATAGCCGCTTTTGAAAATGTCCATACGTCTCTCCTAGCCAGCGCGGAACAGGGGAATAAGCTGGAGAAAAAGATTTCACTCCACAATGGCGGATATCAAGCGCGGGCAAAAACTCTCAGGGCAAAAATCATTGAAGCCAGCGAAGCTCTCGAAAAGGCTAGATTCGAGTTGGACGCTTTCCGGACTCTTCAGCTTGGAGAAGAATCGGGTATTGGTAGGAGACTCGAGGGCCTTCGTGATGAAGTGACCTTCGTCACCCGACGGGAGCGCGAGGCGCAGGAGCTGTACAAATCGCGAAAGGAAGAACTAGAGTCACTGGAGGGCGGTGGAGTGAATGGATGGCACCGGTAGACTGTAGAAAGAATGATGATGATCTGTTGAGTTTCAAGAGGCTTGGCCTGCCTATCTATATTCTTTTCTGTTGGGTTAGGGATGTTTTGTATTAATATCATAACTTAAGAAACCATTCAGAGCTTGTCATTTTTGCTTAGTTTATTCTCTCTTGCCTTGGTGTGAATTTTATTTCAGGCTTCGTACCGAAACATTCGCTGCTGAGTAACGCAATATTGTGGGCAGTTAACCCAGGGAAGTTACTTACAGGTGGCGTTTAGCCAATCCTGAACCCGTGGAACAAAAACACCTCAAACCTCCAACAACAGTGACATCCGATTCACCTTCATTCATCAATATCTCCACCACAACACCAGTTTCCATCGCCAAACAACATCATTTCCCGTAGGAAATTCCGCTGTGAATAACATGGGCGTCAGCGACGCCTCCCAAGAAGCCGCTGTCACGCCTGATCCTGTCGAAAAGGGGTTTGCCGCTCTCAACACCCTCAGGTACACCCCCAAATTTGATATACACGAAGTATCCTATTGCAGGAATCATCTCAAACATCACATATGCTGATTTTTATCAATTTTTTAGGATCGGCGTGAAGGCATTTGTAGAAAAGGTGAGCGCAAATTTTCGCCTTAACCGCGTTTAATCACGTGATATGAAAATATTCCGCGACAACAAACATTAACCACGAGTCTAGGATGGCGAGTATCGAAAGGCGGAGATTTTATCCATGAGACAGCGGAAAGGAGGGTCAAGTTTTTAGTAGGCTTCTTCTTATGATTTTTTTGGTCTTTTTTCCACGTTTTTCCTTCCAGCTGTCTCCTCCTCTCCGTGCTCAGGTGGAGAATGCTAATAAGCAGCCATTAGCGTTCACTATGTCGACTTCAACAAACGGCTTGATGGTATGTACAGAAATTCGTTCTAAAACAGATATGAAAAGCGTTATTTAATATTGTACTAATAAATGTATCCTTGCAGAATGGGTTCCAGCATCCAGAATTGATTTGACCCAGGAGGTTGAGTGGCCGCAGCCAGAGAAGCCCGAGAAGAAGAAAACTTCTGGTGCTGCGGCTCCAAAGGCACAGCCGAAGAATGTTCCTAAGCGGCCTCGGGGAGGTAGTCGAGAAATATCTGCTCCAGAACTCCTTGCTGACAAAGATTTGAATATCAACAAGTCATCTCGTCCATCCAAGGCTGGCGGGAAAGAGAACCGTGAAGATGAAACGCCGCAGAACATTTCGCTACTAGGCAGCGAGGCGGTTTCTTCTGTTAGCACGCCTAGGCTGGATGGGGAGACTGAAAATATTGAAATGGTCGATGCTGGTGACGCAGAAGCAAAACAAGCCATAAAGGAGGAGGAGGATAAGCTTGCTGGGGAAATTGCAAGAGAAGAGGAGATTGAGAAGCTCCGAACCGGCGGGAGTATGACTCAAAACCCGATTGAGATCCATCGGGTACGAAACTTGACTCATATCCAGATGGGCAAATTCGAGATAGAACCCTGGTACTTTTCGCCTTATCCTGCACACTTTACTGATGCGGACATGGTGTACATTGATGAGTTCTGTCTCAGCTACTTTGATCAGAAAAGGTCCTTTGAGAGACACCGTACCAAATGTACCCTAGTCCATCCACCAGGAAACGAAATATACCGTGATGATAATGTTTCTTTTTTTGAAGTCGATGGACGCCGCCAACGCACTTGGTGTCGAAACCTATGTCTCCTTAGCAAGCTATTCCTGGATCATAAAACTCTCTATTACGATGTTGATCCCTTCCTCTTCTATTGCATGACTACGCGGGACGAACATGGCTGTCATTTGGTCGGATACTTCTCCAAAGAAAAGGAATCGGCAGAAGGATATAATGTGGCCTGTATCTTAACATTGCCGCAATATCAACGTCGGGGCTTTGGTCGTCTGCTCATCGCGTTTAGTTATGAGCTTAGCAAGCGAGAAAACAAGCTAGGTTCACCCGAGAAACCTCTTAGTGACTTGGGTCTGTTGGGTTACCGTCAATATTGGCGAGAAACCATCGTCGACATCTTGATGGAGCCAGGCCGAGAGACCATTAGCGAGAGTGAATTGGCGAGTCTTAGTGCAATGACGGAAAAGGACGTCCACGAGACGTTGGTCGTATTGAATCTCCTTAGGTATAACGTACGTATATATCTTGACTCCTCATCCCACACCCCAGATTCCCTGCGCGAACTGTACATAAAATCCTTCACAAAAATATACTAAAAATACTAATACTCTTATAGAAAGGAAACTGGATCATCGTCCTCACCGATGCCGTAGTCGAACAACACAAAATACGTTTGGAAAAAGAGAAAATAAAAGGCACCCGGAAGATTGATCCCGCCAGGTTACAGTGGAAGCCTCCAGTTTTTACCGCGTCGAGTCGGACGTGGAATTGGTAGTATTCCTTCTTCCGTTTTCTTCCTTTCTTATTTGCCTTTCCCTTGTTACTATTGTATACTCGATCAAGATTTCCCTATGCCGCGTGGCCTTTCACGATGTGTTGTTTTTCTGGGTATTGAGTTTGGGTAGGAGGCTATTCGCTTGATTTTAAAGTCCTTTATATTCTAACTCAGCGAGGCGTTTGTCTGGTGGCTTATTATTCTACCGGGTCCTTTCGTGTGTGGAGTTCGCTTTGTTTTTCTGCAGATTTTAGTCCAGGTCCTTTGCTACCTCCATCAGTTAGTTATATATATATATATATATTGAGGTCACCTCCTATCTCGTTGCGTACCCCCTATCGCCTACTCATGTCATGTATAACAAATTACATGACAAGATTCTTTCTCCATCTTACGTAATTTGCAGAACCAAAAAAAAAATAGAATACAATAGAAAGATATTGTCATGTAAAACTGCAAAAAAGTTCTCTTATTTGGTTTCTGTTCAAAGGAGGCTTGAGGAACATCTGATATCCCTCCGTCATTCAGGGCCTCCGTGGCAACATGCAGCCATGTGGTCCGGCTAAAGGCAGAGGTGAGTTGCAGCTAAGCAGCCGGGTACTTAGCTGGACAATGTAAATAAACTACGTCTTCTGTTCAAATCGTGCTTGCGGGGGTTATCCCTATTCAAATAATAGATCGACTCGGCTGCCTTCACCAACGTCAATGGCCAAAGTCCCACACATCTACTCGAGCATCAGAGTATTATTGTTAAAACCGCAAGCTCTGAAATTACAGTTTCAGCAGTTTTTAATAAATGATAATGATAATGATAATGATAACAATAATAATGACCTTCACAGAATGTTATAAAGGATGTGCTAATTTCGATAAAAATGAAGGGAATAATGTACAGACCCCCACAATGCCAGGAATCATTGGTCACCTTTGTTTACAATGAATCTAAGGTGCTTTGTGTCTGGATGATAAGAGGTGCACATAAAAGTTTAAAAAAGAGCTCATCTTCGTTCTTTCGGGGTAGATTTCGCACCTCAGTATAAAGAGCATCTTTCGTATGGATGGTGTAAGTTTGGGGGGAATAGGGGGTCGGGGAGAAGAGTTTGATGGCGTTATATGGTGAGATGTAAAGGGTTAATCGAGCCAAAGGAAAACGAAAAGAAAGCAATGACAACGATTATCAGCGTAGTATCAGAATGAAACATAACGGAGAATAAGAACTCAGAAGGGTACAAGCGATTAATGCTCCAAGGTACCTCAGAAAATGTGGAGTCTCTCAGCGTCAACTCTTAGCAAAGGAAGTAATGCAGATCGTTAACCAAGGCAGGTAATTTAATATAAAACATGCCACTAGATGAGACTAAAACGCGCATTCGAATAGAGCTAATGGGCAGCGCTAGCAGACGGACGATTGCTCCAGCTGCCGCTGTTTTGGTGCACTCGCGGTACGGTAGAGGCAGATTGTGGATGCTTTCTTGATGCGTGGGAGTGGCTACAGTTGCCAGATCCTTCTCTAGGTTTCACATTTTTCCGCTGTTTGAACGTTGAAGAACCCCTTTGGCGAGCAGGATTGCCACCTCCCTTCTTGGGGAAAATTAGCGTCTTGGCAACATCTCCACCTGGTAGATGGATGATCACTGAAGTATGATTGTCATCGAAAACCCCAGAAACATTCGGCTCAATGCTCCAAGGCTGGACAGGCTTTGAATATTTAGAACGCAAACGGGAGTGTGGTGGAGGGAGGGCCGGCAGCCAGGCTGCTTTAGGAGCCATGATTGGCAGCTTCACAACCGGAGTCGAGCCTGCTTCACGGTCTTCAAAAATAGCCTCCTCATCTTCCACATCTTTAGACGTGGCTTTGCCAGCATCGCGGAGTTCAATCTCGTCATGCTGGGGAAAGGATACGGAGGCGAGCGATGCGGATGGCTGAACTTCAAGAGGCTCCTTGGTAACAGATGCAACAGCAAGAGCGTAAGTCTTACCGGGTGAAGGCTTCTTACCAAATAATCCATTAAATCTGTCTTGCCATGATGTAGTGTTTGTAACAGGTTGAGAAGCAGGACGGACTGCAGGAGCCGCAGCCATAGAAGGCAACGTGGGCGCGGTCGTGGGTAGTGCCGGTGGTGATACTTGTGGAGGGAGTTTCACACGAGGTTTCGGGGTTGGTAGGTGGACCAACGGCCGGTTGGAATCTCCAGTAAAAACTGGGTGGCTGGAAATATCGTCTGGTGGAGGTGGTGAAGGGCTTCTAAGATGTGTGCTGGGGATATTTGCTGGCCTTCTAAGTTGGTCACCACCGTGAGGGAAAAATCTCGATTCTCGTCCTGTAGGATTTGTGGGAGGTTTTGTAGACACGTCGGAGAATGGTAACGCTGCTGGGAATCCGTGCAAGGTTGGAAGTGACGCTCCCCTATCAGTTGACCTGGCAATACTGGCGATTTGGTGCTGACTAGCCTGATCATTCTCGACTTGCCGCCAGGTTTCATTGAACGAGACCTGAAGGGAAACTGGGCCGAGGCCGCTCCGAGCTTCCTCTTCACGCAAGGTTGTTAGTTCTCGATGGAACTTCTCACTTTCTCCTGCTTCTCCTTTCGCTGCCACAGAGTGGAAATCATTCCAGCTTGATGTGTCCTGGGATCGACGAGAGACTTGATCATGTTGCGATCGTTGTGATTGCGAGTGGGAATTTGGGGGCCCTATAGGTGTTGGTCTAGCAATTGGCTTCAGAGTTTCATTACGCGAAGGTCGTTCTTGTGGGGATGAGAGCGGCGATGACGGACGACCGTTATCTGCCATGGTCTGAGGCCTCTCAGTACTACCAAGCCTGTCGTTTGTCGATGGCAATCCAATCGTTAGTGGTAAGTCTCGGGGGGGAAAGCCGGTCAAGTTCCTATCAAAAGTGCCATTTCCGAGTGCTTTATCATTGCTGAGAGGGCCCCACAAAGACGAGGTCGGAGCGGGATGAGGACTAAGCTTCTGGCCGGACCATGAAGTGTACGGTGTTGCTCCCGCAAGAGGTCCTTTCCACTGCGGAGGCTTTTCATCCATTATGGACTCATGGCTTGATTCCGTCGGGGAAGACTCCGTAGACGGACGTACTCCATTTACATTTGTTGAAAGGTGGCGGTTAGATTCGAATTTAGAATCTCGGGGCGGCGATGCCGGTTGGCGAGGCTGGTTGTTTGGAAATGGTCTGTCCGGGCTTTTCTCGCTCGCTGCTACTAATTTCTTGGCAGATGCTGGATGGTGTACTTTCATCATTCCATATTGTTTTGGTTCCCCTGAAGGCTCAGGAACAGGAGGTTTGGGAGGTGAGAGAGTGGGTGCTCCTCCCGCCGCTGGCTTTGATAATTCAGGCGGCGCAGATTGCGCTTCGCCCGCTGGCTTTTGCAATGTGCTGCCAGAAGGCTTCTCGGGTATTTTTTCTGCTGGTTTTTCAGGGGGTACTCCCATAGCTTGAAGCTTCAACCTAATTCTTTCTTGTTTCGCTGCCTCTTCCCTTTCTTCCTCTTCCTTCCGGCGCTGTCTTGCAAGTTCTCTCTTTTCGCGCATAATGCGCTGTTGCATCGAGATAGGATCCTCGAAAGGCACCTGCTGCTGTGCTGCTGCGTTGGTTAATGGCGGACCCGATTGTTGAGTGGCTCCACCATGGAACCCAGGAGGCGCATAGTGAGTGGTCGGAAGTGCCGCGCGGTTTTGGCGAGCCGAGGATTGGGGCGGCGAAATGCCACGAGGGGGGTATTGTCCCCTCTGGTGAGGGAGAGGCGAGGATGACCGTTCATTTACCCCATTCACGGGACCTTTTCCGAGAGACATCCGCCTACCAAATGCGCCACTTCCCCCGCTGACATTCGATGACGTACGCCTCCTTCCCCAGGAAACACCATCAGCAGCTGATACGCGAGATTGGAATGTTGGTGAGGGTTCTGCTGGGGTAGGCTGTTCTCCATGAGTGGGCCGTTGTAGCAGTGAGGGAGGCCTGAAATTTGTTTCATTTCGAGCTGGGCCTCGACGAGTATCTAAAACAGGTTCGTACCGGCCAGATTGCGAATTATAAAGTTCACGAGGAGCGCTAGAATGGGTATCTCTCCACGATCGATTAAAGTCATCCGCGGCAATTTCCTTCGCTGGGCCTGATGTTGCAGGACCAGGGGCATGGCCATGAGCGTCTCGTTGAGAAAAGCGGGCCGATGGCACATGTAAAGGTGGGCTAACCGTTACGGGAGGAACTTTGTCGATTGGTGGCAAAGGAGCCCATGGAGATCTGTGGGCAGCAGACTGAGCTTTGGAAGTCAGGGTGGGTTTCCCATTCTGGCTCTTTGCTAAAGAATCCCCCGGTCTGTTTTGTTTATCGGAGCTTGCTCCCAGTTTAAGAACAGTTGCATTCGGGCCAACAGAGCTCGTTTTAGAAAGTAAGAGCTTGGATTTGCTTTCAGGTAAGGGAGGGGACAACTTTCCGTCCTTTGTCGTATCCTTTTCTTTCGTACTAGGGAGCGAAACATTTTCTGTATGAGTGAGTGTAATCTTCGTACCGTCATTCCATTCTATTGTTTCAGGTGCCCAATCATCCTCGTCATCGTCGATATCTGCCCACTTAGCTTCCTTGCCATTCCCATCTTCCTGAATCCTAGACGTCATGTGTATTCCGTATTGTTGCTTCAGCTCTTCATCTGTCAAGTGCTTAGCTGATGGAGGTTGGACAGCTGATTGTTACGGTTAGTATAATAATACCAAGAGAGTAAAGAAATAATTTTAGCTTCTCACGTCTGTTTTTGTTCCAGACCTGATTTGGATCAGGACCACCATTGCCACTTTTGTTTCCAATTCCCGTCAGCTTCGGAGTCAAATCCCGCAGTCCACCTGTCGACTTCGCAACCAATCGAGGCTTCGCGGGTTGTTGTGAAATCGATGGAGTCGAAGACGCAGAAGAGAACGGGGCTGCCCAGATTATTAGTCACATATCACAGTAATGGGTACATTTACTTACTCTTTTCAGCACTTGCTTTGGATGTTTGCAAGGGTCCCGGTGATTTCGTAACCGAAAACTTGGCGTAGGAAACTGGTTTGAATACGGATGTTCTCTTAACAGAGCTGGTGCGCATGTGTTGGCTCCCATCCGCTGATGATCGAAGATCTGTCCTGCTGGTATCTGTGTCGGATCCTCCACTAGCATCACCAAGCTGAAGCGGAGAGAGTCTATCATCTCCCGTATTTGATGTTTCCCCAAGCCCGTTAATTACTGGCTCTCCATCGTTCGAATTTTCTAAATTGTTATCGCGACATTTGTTCTGGGGTACGTTCAGTACGGAATACAACTAGCGCCGAGACCGAGGCAAAAACTTACAGCTTCATTCTCAAGCACCGTTGATATTTCAGGTATTAATTCTGCTGGCATACCAGAAGTATTATGCGCGTTCTCCCGTGTTTTTGTGTTCGGTTGTTGTTGAGCTTTGCTGTCGTTGTCGTTGTCGTTGTCATTGATGTCGTTGTTAGAATTATGTTGTTCAACCACCCCTGCGTCCCCTCCAGCAGTGATATTGTCGGGTTTGTTTGCAGGAACGTCGGAAGGCGATATCTCGCCGCCCGACCGGGTTTGGTTTACCACATCGTGGCTGCTCTGCTCTGCCATAACAATGCTCGAATCTGCGGATGTTTGACGGTTTTACATTCTTTAGCGCTCCCCAACCAGCAAAACAACAAGAACGTTAAGTACTAGGGATCTCGCAAACTTGAATGTTTATATACCTCTTGTCAAGGACTAAGTATCGCCACGATAACCACCAAAGTCGCCAAGTACGAAGTATGCTAAGACGTGGATGTTTGGGGTGGGAGTAGTAGGTGAGGTTTCGGTATGAAGCTCAGCTTCCTTTCCGAGCAGGAATGAGCCAAGGGCGGTCGGCAGCCGTTTCTATAATGAATCGGAGAATACAAGCCGGTGAAGTAGGCCGGATGTCTAGAAGAAATGGACTTGCCTTGGAAAATATGGATGAAGTTGGAGCCATACGTTGTGGCCAAGCTGGAAATGCATGATACGGTTAGCGGTAAACGCCAACAGCGCTTTCTAATCCAGGGTTTCGAGGCTGGTCACATGAGGCTATTTACCATTACCAAACTTTGGTGAACATATTGAGAGAGACTACATGGATTCTACTGTCTCTTTCTTTCAACCAATCTCTCGGAGGACCAAGTGAGACAATGGGTGACTGCTTCGGCCATCTCCTTAAAAGATATTGAAGCAAGCCCATTCGATTCTTGTTGACGCAGTTTTCACTCTCATTTTTATTTTATCTCTCTACCTTCTGCCTTCGTTGCGTAAGAATCCCCTAAGATGAATGCATGATGGCAATTGGGTTCCGCTGAGACAACGGAATTGGGTCAAATTCTCGAGAAATATCGTATTTATAATGGTATTCATTTGATATAGTAACAAGATAGAAAATTATTCTGCATTTGTTTATATCTATATGTACATGCGGTTGCACTATAAGCCAAATTTTATCAATTCGTTTAGGTTTGGGGATACGACAATTTAATGGGCATTGTTCTTGTGGTGGCCTTCACAAAGGAATTAGCTTGCTGGGAAGTACTATAAATGTATAGCAGTAAGGAACTGGGGAACTCACGAAGATGGAAGTAGTACTCCATGCTGTAACCCATAAGCATCAGTCCACCAATAACATGGAGAATTGCTGTAATTCATCTCGTCAGAGGGTGCTGCTCAAACTTGGAAATGATAATAAACCTCCCAGGGAACAATCGTAATGTATATTTGCCAGGTTGAAGGTTCACTCACGCATTGCAGAAGGGTTTTTTCCGAAATATCGAGCTTGGTACCGTCCGATGAGACCCGTAGGCTTAATTTCCGGTGCTGGCCCACGTGGTAATTTCTCATAGAAGCCCACGATGCGTTCCATGCGGGCTGCATCTTGGGCTGCTCCAATTCCCTATCCTGGTATTAGCCCAGATAAAGTTCGCCAGCTTGTAGATTCCAGCTTTGCAGGCATTGCGTGCAGGGTTGGCGTGAAACGAGGCGCCATGCATGATATGTGCGAACAACGGAGAGTGAGGAACAGATAGTAGCTTACAGTAGGAGAAGCAACCTATAAAGAAGTTAGAAACCTAACGGGAGCAATGATAATTTTGAGAAAGCCCGTACCTTGGGGGGGATCAGAGTCGAGAGACCGCGACGTGCGACGTAACTCATCGTGAGTGACCTGCAATATATCAGAACTATCTAATTCAGCAATTTTTATATTAGGAACGGCGTACTTTGATTCGATAGCAATTGAACCAAAATCGATTGTAGTCGTGGAATGTGAGGTTTGAATATTTTGATGAAGTTGGCTTGCTTCGGAGAAAGAGGAGCCATGAGTCTACGCTAGCCTAATTAGGACATGCCTCACCTCCAACCATGAATATCTTGTCACCTCCCTCTCCTGTGGCATTTCCTCCTCCTATTTACTAGTAGCTTAAACCCACATAGCAATGTCTCTATTACGAACCGGAAGACCACTCGGCCGAAACGCTGTCTCTTTCAGAGCTGGTCAATTGACATGTCGGACCAACGCTCGTTATCTCAGCAGCACGCCCTCACGAGAAGCCGAGGATGCTCCTAAAACCAGCCAAGCCGATGCACCCGGTGTTGTAGCAAGAGGGAGTTCAATGACACGGAAAGAATCTCCTGCAGAGGCGATGGCGCGGCATCAGCCAGATTATAATGCTACGGTTGACCACGGCACCTCGTAGGGCGAACCCCGTTGTGTTTTTGTTCTAATTCTGATCGACTAACTTGGTATCTCAGATTATTCTCCCCTGTTCCCAAACGTGTTATGGACGGCAGTGAAGCGAGCGGTTCCATTGCTGCCGCAGTTATATCAGGGGCTCCTACCGACCTTCAAGCGCGAACAGTCAGGTATTAAACAATCCGTTGATTCGACCACGTTCATTCCCTCTCCCCTTCACTAACAACCCGTCAGGATCTTCCAACCCTCGAAACCAGCGACGCAATCGGGGACGTGGCATACCCACCACTGGCGAATGGATTGGGATGTTTTGTCAAAAGGCCATCGCTGGGAAAATCCGCTGATGGGGTGGCAATCTTCAGCTGATGCGATGCAAGCTACCCATCTAGATTTCAAATCAAAGGAAGATGCGATATCATTTGCGGAAAAGCAAGGATACGAATATTTTGTCCAGGAACCAAATAAGCGAGCGTTCCGCCCCAAAGCATATGCGAACAACTTCTTACACGAACCTAAGAAGCTCAAAATTGTCAGAACTAAATAGAACAAAACATTCAGACCCCCCTTCGCTTTTTTCAAGTGTATATAAACTTGAGTCTACCTGTATTCAAATGATTTTGTCAACCAAATATTGTCTGCCGACGATATTGATTATGGCATATATATGTTACAATACTTTTTCCTTTCTCCTCTCCTATACCGTGCGACGCCGTATCACTACCAGGCTGTTTTTAGGTGACAAAACGATTGTTTTTTTTGTCGTTTTGAGCAAGTATATAAAATGCAGCCTTCAAAACAAAGATAGATATGCGTACCGATTAATTGGGATATATTCTACAGATGCTGCTATTCGCCTAGCCCCAAACCGATGCGTAAATAATGTCTAATTTACTATGCGTGTGAATTCAAAGCATTTTCCGATGAACTCTCACCCTTCGAAACACACTTCACATACATCCTTCACAACATTACCAATACACTCATTACCTGTCCCATATTCCCTCCTTTCAACACAGGGTTAGAGGTAGGATGAGGAAGTTGAAAAATAGAAACATCACCTTTTTTAAACACCGCTGAAAGTGTTTCCTGTCGAGAATCTGAACTTGTTGGGTTCCTATTACGAACTAGTGTCATACACACACTAGGATCGCTTATGTAATTTGCACGCCCCTCATCGCCCCTCCAAAAAAATGTCGGAGTTTGGGGTCAAGACATTCGAATGTTCATGTTAGGAATTGCAGATCCTGGAACCATACCTACGGTAATATATTCCACTGTGTAAGATGTCGCCGGCCGCAACGGATACACCTGAAAATTCAAGCGTGGGCATGAGCATCAGCCCGATCCCAATTTTAAGGAAAACACTCACCTCCGAAAGTGAGCCTTTAGCACGGCGATTCCGTGCCTTATTCTCCCTGAAACATGTCGCCTGTCTCCAGCCGCCTACAGAACAGAGTTTACCTTCGATCCAAGCGATCGCCGCAGCATTCTCATCTCCATCTGCTCTTTTAAAGCATGAACTTGCTTACTGCTTGGGACAGACTAAAAATTTAGCTGCAGTTCCCTATCTCCGGGAGGTGTTGGAGAATCGAGGAGAGGATCCGATGTGTCGGCATGAGGCGGCGGAGGCGCTAGGGGCGCTGTGTGATTCAGACAGCCTAGATCTTCTACGGAATTTGAGGGATGATGAAAACGAGCCTGATGTTGTAAGGGAAACTTGCGACATTGCTGTGGAGAGGATTGAATGGGAAATGTCTGGTCGACGCAAAGCCGAGAACCTAAAACAAAGGTAAAACTGCAGACAGATATCGCATCCCTAACTAACAATATATCCCCATGGCTAACGGATTTGGTGCTGTCATATAAAGTGATTTTACATCAATTGACCCTGCCCCTCCACTACCAATGGCCACCGATGAGCCATCCATCCCCGATTTAGAACGTACCCTCCTCGATCCAAACCTTCCGCTTTTCCAAAGATACCGTGCGATGTTCGCTCTTCGAGATCTTGCTTCACCTCCCGACCTTCCGACCGCTGTTCCCGCTGTATGTGCTCTAGCAGAAGGGTTCAAAGACTCTTCGGCACTCTTTCGACATGAGATAGCATTCGTTTTTGGCCAATTGTCTCATCCTGCTAGTATTCCCAGCCTCACCGCCACACTCCACAATATGGAGGAAGCCAGTATGGTGCGTCATGAGGCTGCTGAAGCTCTTGGGAGTCTTGGAGATGAGGAAGGAGTGGAGGAGACACTAAAGAAGTTTCTAGACGACCCCGAACAAGTGGTGAGGGATAGTGTTATCGTTGCGCTTGATATGGCAGAATTCGAGAAGAACGGAGAAAAGGAGTACGCGCTAATTCCTGAAGCCGTGGCGGCGTAATACCGCCATTGAGTTCTCAGGTTCGGGGGAGGGATTGAGTGGGGAAGTCAACTTTGGAAACATCTTTGCTTTATATTAGGTTTGGGATTGTTCATCAATGAACTGCCGGCGTTTGGGGTGGGGCTCAGTTGTTTGTGATAAACCTGCAAAAATTAGTTCAGAGTCAGCATGCACTCATATATATGACCTTGGATAACTTTCATATTCCGACGACATCGCATGGTTGAAGAAGAACGTACTTGTGTCCACATCCTTCGCAGGAGTAGAAAACGGTGCTCCCTCCATCTGCACTACGTAACGTAGTCCACCACCTAACGCCCGTTACACCTAACGCCCGCATTTTCCCATACAAATTGTCATAAATTTAATACTCATATCTCAACCACAAATTATTATAATAAATTTATAAGTGGTAAATTATAATTCCTTATTAATATATATATTTTAAGAAGTTTGCTTTTCTACCAGGCTATATTATATGATGTGCATTACATGTGTAAATGTTGAGAATATTTTCTCATATAAATTTATATGAGATGTATTTGAATTACTAGTTGTTATTTTCTCATTTCTATGAGAAAAATTGATTATTTTGTAATATTTGAATAGCTTCTTTTGAATATATTATTTTCTATTATAATTCATATTTTAAAATAACAATATAGTTCTCTATATCATACACAATTTTTAATAAAAAATAATAAGTACATCTTATGATGACAATATTGTAATCTGAATATCACTCTCATAATTTGTATGTGTAATTTATGAGCAAAAGTATAAGATAATACAGATTATAACTCAACAGTATACTAATAAGTTTAAATTTTAAACTGTTTAAATATTTAATATATATATTTGAATAAGTAAATTACATATAATATATGATTTCAATATGGTGGGTGTTGAGATATCAATAGATGATCATCATAGATTTTATATGGAAAATCGCGGGCGTTAGGTGTAAACGGGCGTTAGGTGGTGGACTACGTTAATTGTAACATAAAATACATCATCTCAGGCCAGTCACATTCTGGGCAATTCTGGTGTGCTATGGCATCTCCCCGTTTTGTCAGCGGCAGTCAGGTTTGCACGGCGGACATTTTTGTTCGGAGCGCGGAGGGGAAAGCATCGAGTTGATTCGGGCATGGTGGTTTTCGATGCGTGTCTAAAGTGGGGATTGATACATAGTACTTTTTTCGATTTAGATATCATAATTCAATTAGATACAAGCAACGGTCTCATGTCTATGAGAAGATATGCAACTTCACTTATCTTCCATATTGTCGTGGCGCACACCAGTTATCCTCCTGATGCAGATGAAGCACCTATATTTCCTTCCAGCTGCACACCGCCTGTGCGCCGTGTGTAGAATTCCAGCTGCATCAATGCTGAAGAGCAAACTGACCAAAACGCTATAAGAAGTATCTTGGTTTAAAATGGCACCTTCTCCTTCACAAAAGCTCCAATACAGCTTACTTTGATCTCAAACTGCATTCAGTGATTAAAAGAAGCGATCCAACAAACTCTGCCAACATGCTGTTTTCCTCAGTCATCGTCAAGTACGCCACTCAGTGTCCTTGCACTTCTGATGATTGATTATCCTTGACTTTGAGCCCAGGGTCCGCAGTGTCTGCTTCGATAACACTTTCAAGCTGTATGGGAACTCAGGAGAGGATGACAACCCCAAGGATATCAAACCAGACAACATCTAGCCTTCGAGCAAACTATCTGCGCGCGTATGGCTGGCAGACTCGAATTGGTGGATGTATGGGCTAATATTTTCTATTATTTATGTTCTTAGGCCTGATTACGTCCAACATGTATGTTAATAATGTCAATTGAAGTAGACTGCTAACCCATTTACTAATGTAATGTGTTCGCCATGAAGGCAGCTAGCTTGCCTGACTGTGGAGAATGGATTCTGTACCTGCATGGCACAACAGCAGCTTACGGAAAAAAAAGTCAACATGACTTATGACTTTTTGGCCTTCCATTCCATCTTTGGTACCCTAACAAGCCAATAGAAAAACACTGCACCAACAATATTCACAGCAATGAATGCGAACAAAATGCCAATGTTGAACCAGCGGTCTGCAAAATATATGTTGACCTGCTTGAGGTAATCGTCAGTTGTCATGACTGTGCAAAACTCACACATGTCAGTTTTGTCTGGGGTGAGGAGACGACCACCAGCGAATGACATATATTGTTGAAAGTACTCTAAGCAGGTCTTTCCTGGTGGAGGGGGGACTCGCAACAGCTCGATGGAAGAACACTGGATGTCCACACCAGCGATCCCCGTGGAAAGGACAGAGGAAACAAAGTAGTTGAACGGGGAGAGGCGGTACATGAAGATCCAGAAACCTGGCATGGCATCCGGGGTAGCAAGGACACTGTGTGATTAGAAGATTAGCGAACAACTGCCACAAATTTCAGAGATTAAATATTATTGAGTGCCTACCCGCAGAAGATGAGAGCCATCGAGAATAACAATTGGCTAATATTGCCAGCTGTTTCGGCTAGATCCATTCCTGAAACTACCATAGAACCAAATGTAGAACCATAAACGAGGAAGATCCATATGAGGAGGAACATGGTACCGCTACGTCCTGCCACATCATCCCCGGCATTCCGCTGAAACCCAATCGGATAGTACCAGGCGAAAAAAGCAGGGACAGCCATGAGGGTGTTCCAAGGAAGCTCTACCACGACAGCTGAAAGTATGAAAGCCTTCCACGAGTACGTTTTTGATGGGCGCTCGCGTACCTATGGGGGAGAAGAGTGTTAGCTTCTTCGAAATTACACAACGGGGTTTCTGACCATACCTCGTATAACGATCTCATTGCAATGTAAAACGGCATACTTTGCTGCGTCAACGTAGGGAACATAAGTAGAAGCATAAAAATCCCGAACAGTTGATTCTGTAATCCCCGGAGACTTTTCTCGGCATTGTAGAAGGTAAAGCCAATAAATAGGGGCTATAGAATAATTAGTAATTGTATACCCGAAGAAATAGAGAACGCAGCCAAATCAAGCTGGCCAGTACTTTTGCCACGGCCTGCACCCGTTGACCAACAAACTTACCGCAAGAATAGCAACAAACGCTTTGGAGTAAATGTACACTGGATTGCGCCAGTAGTGTTGAAGCATCCGTTGCTGGCAAATCAGATATTGATACCACAGCGGCATTGCAAATTCTGAGTATCCCTCTTCTTGAGAGTCTCGTTTTTTCTGGGACAATTCCTGCTTCATAGCAGCTAACGAACGGCGCACTTCAACCCGCTCCGGGCTAGACTTCCAGATTTCTGGCCAGTCTTTATCGGTATGGGAGCCAGGAGCAGCACCAATGACCTCCAGCATCCATTCGGCCGGGTTTGCTTCAGGGGGACATTTGGAAGCTCCCTTTTTCTCGAAATATTCAACCAGTGTGCTCATATTCTCCCCGAGGTCTCCAAAATAAACAGTTTTCCCTCCAGCGGCCAAAAAGAGCAATTGGTCAAATGTCTGCATTAAAAAAGCTGACGGTTGGTGAATCGTACACAGGATGGCTTGTCCATGGTCAGCAAGCTTTCGCATCAAATTGCAGATGGACCAGGCCGTCGGACTATCAAGTCCAGACGTAGGCTCGTCAAAAAAGAGTAACAGGTCTGGCTTGGCCGCGATTTCGACTCCGATGCTGAAGCGTTTTCGTTGCTCTACGTTCAAGCCCACTCCAAGGATTCCAACAACCGCATCTGCGTATTCTTGCATGCCTAAAAGCTTGATGACTTCTTCGACGTATGCAATTTTCTCGACACGTGGAGTGGTAGATGGTTGGCGAAGGAGAGCGCTGAAGACCAAAGATTCGCGGACAGTGCTAGTTTCTGTGTGTAGGTAATCATCCTGTTGCACATATCCAGTTTTCCGCTGAAAGGATACATCACGAAGACGGCCATCAACTAACATCTCACCTGTGACAACCCCCATTGTGACACGATTAGCTAAAACATCAAGTAGAGTTGTTTTCCCCGCGCCAGATACCCCCATTAGAGCCGTTAAAGCTCCTGGTTTTACCCAGCCATCCACTTGATCCAAGAGCCGCTTTGATTGGCCTTTAATTTTAATATCATAACACACATTCTCCCAATGGAAGATAGACATTTGCTTGGCAATTGAAGCAACCTCTTCGCTTCGATTTTGCTCAATCCTTTGTTTCTCGTGGGCCTGCTTGCCTGTCTCAGGATCATCCATGCTCTTGCTCCCACTCTTTTGAGCCAGTCCTGGAGGAATCTTGCCGCGGCGATATACAAGAACCTCACCCTTAGAAGGCTTAGCGCTCACCAATTCTGATGCGACTATGTATAGAACAAGGAAAAAGACGAAAAAGGCACAGATGATTCCAAAATTTCTCCAGAGATTCTCGGCGTAATACTCATATGAGGTATTCAGCAACTTGTCACCGTCGATGAAGGTATTCCCTGCGACAGCACCCGAACCCTCACAAATTTTGAATTGATTGTCGAAATCCCCATAGCCAGGTCCCGCGGGAATAAAGGTTGTGCATGGAAATGAACGGTCGTGAAATTCATTAATCATCAGCGACTCGAAAGCATAGCCAATCGGGTTAATATAGTTTATCCAGCGGAACCAGACAACCATGTCTCGCAAAGGAACAGTGAATCCTGTATAGATAACCATTCCAAGAACAATTACTATCGTTGGAGGAGAGGCCTGGGCAAATGTCCTCGAGATCGAAGCAATGAAACGGAAGATGTTCGACATGGTCAAGGTAATAGAGAATGAAAACAAGAGGAACACAAAATAGTGACCAGGGGTGCGGCGTAGGTTAGCGATGAAGTACAAAACCGTGTTGAATGCGATGGCGACGCATAGTTTTGCTGGGAGGTCAATGATGATGGAGCTTATCGCTTCAGCAGATGGGCGATATAGCGCGTACTTATGATGCTTTTCCACAACTGGTCGTTGCTGCCACAGAGTCAATACCTCAAGAGTGGTTGCCAACGCATTCAGGATGATAGCGAAGAAGATTAGCGCCCCACGACTGAAAAAACTGCTGGTGTCATTAGGTAAATTATAGAACATAGAGGCCACAACTAAAGCCATGATAATATTGCCGATGATAGATGTCAAGGTGATGGATAAATCTCCCTTTAGCCGCTGAACTCCTCTCCATATGCAAAGCCTTATTTGCATCCAGTAGGATATCGTATAAGGGGATTTGCCTCGGTTAAATTTTGATTTCTGAGCACTGAGAGATGAATTGAACTGATCAAGAGGCTGTGCATTCAAGGGATATTCCTTCTGGTACGCTTCTATCTCCGTGAGGAGCGCTTTGCGATCGGGGCTCTGCTGCCATCTTGCTGCGAACTCGTCGGGTGTACGTGGAACAACCGCCTCAAATCCCTCACGTACCAATCGCTCCTCTGGGTTAGTCATGGATGTGAGGAAATCCCCCGTTGTCTGCCGCTCCGGGCAATAAAACCCCATGTCAATAAAATATTTCTTAGCGTGGGTTGTCTTCCCAAAATAGATCTGCCTCCCCTCATACAACACCATTGCCTTATCAAATATATCATAGATAGCCTGGCTCGCTTGATATATAGCTACAATTGCAGTTGTGCCGGAATATCTGGTAGATAGGTGTAGCGACTCTATAACTGTGCGAGCGGTAGCACTATCAAGGCCCCGAGTGCTGTTGTCCCAGCATTGAAGTGGACTCCCACTAAGAGTGGTTTCCGCGATACTAATGCGCTTCCTTTCGCCACCAGACACACCAGGGATGTATTCGTTTCCGACCTTGGTGTTTACCGTGTGAGAGAGGTTAAGCATGGCCATGACAACATCTCGCATATGCAGCGCATATTGGTTGCGACTGACACCAGGGAACCGATTAGCTGGAGCACGAGCTTTTGCAGCAAAATAGAGGGTATCACTAGCCGTTAAGTGTGCGAAATGTGATTCTGTTTCTGCCTGGTAGATAGCTTCGCCACGGAAGTTATTATGCATCTGGTCCCAAGAGATACCTTGATACTCAATTGAAGTGCCCTCTCCCAGGTATAACCCATGTGTCTCACCAGCTAGAGTCTTAAGAAAGGTTGAACACCCACTGGTTTTAAAAGTCAACCTCAGGTCAATCAGCGAGGTGTAAAGGAAGCTCGCCTTACCTCCCTGGACGGCCCAACACGACCAGCATCTCTCCACTCTTCACTAAACCTTCGAAATTGCGCAAAATGTCGATGCGGACCTTTTCATCAAAACCGACCAAGCGCTTTACAATTCCATACGCCTTCAGCCAAACATTTGCAACATCGGCTTGGTAGTCAGCAGCAGTGCCATAGCCATGCACGTTCAGGTTGCGGAATGAAACGCCGGCAGTGCGACGGGGATAACGCTCGGGGTCTCTTGAAGTAATGCGGAGGATGGATTTCATCCATTTACGCAAATTAAAATTTTCATTGTGAGGGTTCAATTCGGGGTCGGATTCAGAGTCGATGAAGGGGTTGATGTCACCGCTAGGGTGCTGTGCGCATAGACTGCTTTGGGCTGAGGCGTGGGACATGCTGCGAGCAAGGCCCACCAGGCTTTTTACTTGCAATTCCGTCATTCCGTCTCCATCAGCCCCAGAAGCACCATTATTGTCAATGATGGTTGAGCTGGTAGTACGAAAATTTTCGTCATGGTTGCTAGGCGGAGTTTCGGCTTCATTTTCTTTCCCATGGCCCATTCCTAGGGCATGATGGCTCTCTTTCGAGGACATTGGATCTTCGACAGGCCTCTCCTTGGTCCGGAGGAGCCTCACAATATGTTTGGGAGTAGACGTGCAATCAGTTTGACTCGAATCGAGCGTATATTACAACAGGGTTAAAAAACCCGAGGGAGAAAAAGGAAAGGGAAAGTAGGTGCGCGTGTGTTAATTGGCGATATCATGTAGAAAGTCGAGAACGAGTGTCAAGAGCTCAACATGGTAAAAATTTGCAAGGGGTGCGAAATGCTGCCCTTTTATCCATCTATAATTGTAGCCTTGAAATACTCACGGCGGATTCCTCTTCACCTCGGACACATAATTTTTGTCGCCGGCGTCTACTCCCTGTCTCGGAGTGTTCATCATCTTGGAACTACCCGCAGGTGGAGAGATTAAGCATCCCAGTACCATCAGGCAGGGTCTGTGTACTGCATTTTCTTCGCATGATGCCCGTTATTCGAATACTATTTGAATAGTACTTGAATCCACTTCGGCATAAATCGTATAACTGATGAAATATATTGGTAATTACTAGATAAATATCATTCAAAAGGGGAAATCTGGGAAAATCGGGGAAAATATAACATAATAAAAATAACTTACATCCCATGTAAAATCATTTATAATACTTCCTTTTAACTATTTTATAAATAAATTTATAATCAGGGTCCCTTAGATTATAAATGATTGATAACCTTTTGTACGAGAAGAATAAGGAGTATAGTTGATCGGTTTACTAGGGGTCCCCTGCCCCTAGCACCCTCAAAAGACGCCGGCGACGGGCAAACACAGCGTGGACTCCACATCCGAGTTGGCCGACTTTTGCGTGCTCGAGCTCTGAAGAATAGAAGAATAGGGGATTCTACGTTCCTGCTCAGATTCGCACTATTTTAGATTTCGGAGGCTTCTTCGGGATTCAAATTTTTGCCAAGGGATTTTGAACCACACCAAAAGGTTTTCTGGTTGAAAATTTGAACCCGACTCAGCTGTGTGCACATTTGATCAAGCCCATTGGGTGAGCTCCTCGTCATTTGCAAATGCTTGCGATCTTCTCCATTTTGTGGAGTAACATGACCCGCTAGCTTCTTACAGTTAGCTTTGCAGCCCTTATTCTTTCCACAACCATTTAACTATGTAGTTAAAATACAGCTACTTTGATAAGTTTGATAACAAGCTCTATTTTGAACTACGCGGTGTAGCAACTATATCATCATATAGAGTAACAATCTCTGCCTTCACTCCTCAATCATATCTTCTATACTACTAATGATCTTTTGTTATTGCATCTTCTTTATTCTTAAATTCTTTATCTCTATATTGTTATTTTGTGTTATCACAATGACTTTGATGATGTATACCTTGTACTATTTATCGAAATATTATATTATGAAGATGGATGATGTTGAGAGCTTCTATATATATGGAGATTCTGTGCTAATGTTAGTGAAATATAGAGATTCCTGCTGTCTACATGTGATATAATGATCTGGTGATATTGGTATCTATCAACGATATGAAGATCTAGCAATCACTAGTATTGAGTGCTATCAATTATAGATATCGATGGGATGAATATCTAGTGGTATCTGACAATATCAATGATTTACAGGTAGAAGACAGAATATTATGAAAATGGTTTAAAGGCAAAGCCAGAGAGTGCTGTAGTACGGAGATGATTTTTTGGAACGGGACATGCAGAGATCACTACTAACATAAATAATAGAAATTCATACCTATCATAAAAGCTGATTTGAGAGTTCTAGAATACTAATATAAAATCTCCCCCTTCTACTCTTAAACCATCCCCTATTATGGTTGGTAATTAACTATTGCTACGGTTTACAGCTGATTAATATTCTTCAGTTGTTTGCACCCTCATTGTTGATGTTCTTCTCTGATATTCCGTCTTGGTACTATATTTAGTATGTTTACGGAACAGGCCATAGCGAGGTTGGCGAGTGGTCTCAAGAATGGGAAGCAATCATAGCGAGCAAAGCATGAATAAATATTAACAATATTAGTGAATTCATTTAAATACTAGTGAATATTTTAAATGTATTTATTTACGAAGTAGGTAAGAAAAATAATATTCAGATACTATCTATAATCAATATAATAGATAACTATCCAGAGGATGTATGAAACGCTGAAGTTATAAATTTTTCAAAGCCTGTAAAAAGCTTTCAGAGCTCGAGTGAGCTAACTGACTATAATTAACTAGCTAACTAACTAGTAAAGGAATTAGCTAAGATATTTAAGACAGCTGGCTTCCTGCCAGCTGTGCCCAACACATATACTTATAAGTAGCGCCCAAACGCGGGGCCTACAGTTACATTTCTGATATAAATATTTTGTTTCATTCAGTCATAGCTATACTACCAACTATCTGAAAATGTGTTTGCTTCTTGAATATAAAGATTCATTTGACCCTTGGATAAAGTGGGTTTAGAGGGGTGTTTGCCCAACCCCCTGGCCATCCTCATAATAGAGCTGCCTTGATAACCAGCTCTAACTTATCTATAGTTATTACAAAAGTTAATATATACTAGTACACAATATGAAGTTTACTACTAGTATCAATCGAGTAGACTACGTTCTCTGAAAGAAGTATAATGGAACAAATTCAAAGATACTAGTTAGTATATAATAAATATCAGATATGAATAAAAATGTGGCAGATTCTCAAAGATATTGAGATACAGTACCAATATAATCTCACTGATTTCAAAGAGATAATACAGAGCAGCAGAAAACCCATGCTAGGCTCAGAACAGATTTAAAAGTGTCACGCTGTGGGCGTGCAGGCAAAGTCAACAACGCACCCTGAGTGTGGTAAGCCTCATATAGCTTTTAATGGCCGTACCTGATAATTTATGTATATCGTTAAGGTGGGGATGCGGGGGAATTAAATACAAGCCTGCTGAGACCGCGACTTGGGTCTAAAAAAATATCTATTAACATTTCCGCCATCTTGTTTTTAGGAGAACTTGCATGTTTTCCATGTTAGTGAGGGCTGTAAGTTATATCAGCCTTGTCAAAAAGGTAAATGCTGAGCGCTAATCCAGGTGGAGCCGAGCGCGGCAAAATTGCGGCGTCATGCATTGGCGTGTGAGTTAAGCGTCATGACCACGAACACAACCAGCCTTGACTGACCATGATTCCAACTCCCGAGTCCTGCCAGCTATGAGTACAGGGGGATTTTGGAGATTGACCCTATCACCCACGTCTGCCAGGCATACCTCCTGGTAAGATTTCCGCTATGCAACAAGCTCGTAACCCGAGCATCCAGGTGGTCATTTCTGGCCATGGCGTCTCCAACTCCAATGGTGCTGGCGAACGGCTTGCCAAAGCATTGTCGGTTGATGAGGCACTTCAGTTCTCCCCTATGACAAGCGCCCCTATCTTTGGTCTAGGTAAGCTCATTTCGCTGATATTTTCTTTTTTTTTTTAATCTAGCTGGAATCTGCCACTGACCTTGACTTTTACTAGATTCCATTCTCCGCCCCGACGTCGGCCAACCTTCCCTCGCAAACCTATCGAGCACCCATGACCGCAAAGCTGCTGGGGAGATTATCGACACCCTTGACGACGAGACCCAAGCAAATGCAGGCGAATCTACTCGTCTAGAGACTACCCGCCGGCATCTACAAGAGATACTTAGTGGAGATATGACTGAATAGTAAGGAATAGTTTTTCCCTATTTTTATCTTTGCGCTCCGCTGACATGAAATCCTAGTGAGTTTAAATTACCATCACGATCTCGAGTGACTCATAATTCCCTAAAGGCTCAACTACCAGATACAGAATCGTTGAGTCGAGGTCACCTTGGGCCCTTCGCAAAGATGGTGTTAGATAGCACAGACGTTCGTTATCGATGTATGATCATCCTGCTATTGACTGCGCAACAGCCGATTTACTAATGAAATATGAATAGACCCATCTCCTGTTACCCCTAGCCCGAAAAAGAAGTTAATAGTATCGAAATCCTTACCGTCGCCTACCTTAACCGAGAACGTTTCTGCAGCTAGGATTCCAGAATCTAGCCATCATACCGAATCCAAAGCAACTCTCGGATTGCAGAAGCCTATGCAGAAGCCCGTCGTATTGGTGCCCTCGTTGCCTTTGTCGTCACAGCCCAATGAATACGTTCATATTCGCGACCAGTCGCCTTCAAAAAGGAGGAAGCTGAACACTGAGGACGACGAGAAATTGGCTGCATTACGTCTAAAAGATCAAAAGGAGGAGGCAGATGCAGCCTTGGTAAAATTACAAGAGCTTTTGCAGGAGGTCTTTGAAGCAGAGGATCAACTTGAACCGGATACGTCCGCAACCGAACCCCAATCGTCAAGCAAAATGTTTAGACTTCCGAAAGCGATCGATGGTCTTGGTCCAGTTTTATCTTCTGAGACACACTCTTTGCTCCAAACAGCGATGCAAAAGGTTACTGGCTATGGACGACTTCGTGACATTCCAACGGAGTATTTGAACCGCATCCAGAAGCTCTGCGAACCTCCCGTGATTTCTGCCCAGACTCCAGATCTAAAACTAGAGCACGTTCCCGCAGAATATGATACAGAGATGTGGCTTAGAAAGCTTGATGACATGCGCAACGCGCTGCTGGCAATATGCACTTTACTTCATACAATGTCAGGAGAGGTGACGATAAAAGATTTGTGTCCAGAAGATGTTATTCAGGCTATTCCGAACGTCCTCAACCATGTTTTCGACGATTGCCTCATTCCCGTTGTTGAATGCCGGCCTAATGCTAGAGATGCGGAACTGTTTACCTTTTTCTCAGCCCATAGGAACATTCTTGCCGGCTTGGTTCACCAAACGAAGAAAGTGCTACACCTGCTAGCTCGTTTCCTTTCCAATGTTGATGTGGCCGAAGGAACTATCACGGCTACTGAATTCCTTGCAACAAAGCTAATCTTTGTCGAAAATGCTCATAGTGATAGGGATTCAACCTTGGGCTTCCAAAAGTATGAGGCTGTTCGAAGGGGTTCTATGGATGTGCTAGCAAAAATATTCGCAAAATACCCGGAGCAGCGCCCCTTTATTCTTGATGAAATATTGGTGTCGTTGGAGAAGCTTCCATCTACAAGGCAGAGCGCTAGGCAATTCAAACTTATAGACGGGAAGCATATCCAGTTACTCTCTGCCCTCGTAATGCAGCTCGTGCAGACAACTGCATTACAAAAGTCCTCGAAGGGATCGAGAAGGCCGAAGCGCCGTCTACTTCTTCCTAAATTTGGTCAGGGTGAAGGCTCGGAAAGTGAAGATACCGACGATGAAGCTGATGATGATGGACCTAGGAGGGGCACGCCCCTGGAATTGCTTTCAGATAAAGTCGAACCACTCTTTGATAATGCGTTACGTAGCGCACAGTATATTACAAAATTTATCGTTCAGCGGGCAATGACATCCACCAAAACCGGTGATCAGCCATACAGGAATCTTCTGGATCTTTTTACCGGAGATCTCGTCAGTGTCCTTGGTTCGACTGATTGGCCGGCTGCAGAGCTTTTGCTGCGAGTTCTCGCATCGCAAATGATTGGGCTTGCAGACCATGATAAGAGCCCCGCAAACGCCAAAAATATGGCTCTTGAGCTTTTAGGATGGATGGGATGTGCGATTTCTGATCTTACTTCCTCCGTACAACATTTAATTCCCAGTATGGATGAAGGGGATTCAGAGTTATCTGATTATCTGCGGCAGCTATTTGATGAGCACCTGAATCGGTCATTACATGCAGAAGATGTCGTGTCTGTCGATGGGCCATATCGAATAGTTCTTGAGAATCTCCAGGAGAGGGATCTTGGAAATTGGCAGCTTTCTAGCGCTCGGGGATATGTTCTTGCTCAGTGGGCAAAAAATGTATGCAGTTTCTATTACGATCCGGAGAATAGGGGAAATACTTCCGACGGCGAATCAGTCGACCATCTGGCGCGGACTCTGCGTAACATGCTTTCAGACCCCAGATGGCTAGAGTCTCACAAGTAAGTGTTCTTCATTTAAAGGTAGAAAATACACATAGGCTAATAATTTTCGATAGTAACTTTGAACGTATCGGTCCACACCATGCTCGTTTCGCATATCTTTTGACTCTCCTCCATATGGGGTTCTGCAAAGCGTTCGACAAAATCCTCAAGGTTCTTTTAAACTCCATTACCAGCGATCAAGCCAAAGTCCGAAGCCGAAGCTTGAAAAGTGTGATTCAAATGTTGGAGAAGGATCCGACCCTTCTAGACCGTGATGACTCCGTAACCACGTTGATTCTCCGATGCTCTACCGATTCTTCACCCATGGTTCGAGACTCGGCACTCTCGCTTATTGCAAAGTGTATCACTCTTAGACCGGCGCTTGAGGAGGACGGCTGTCGTACCATTTTATCTTGCTCAGCAGATCCAACTGTCGGTGTTAGAAAACGCTGCATTGGCTCCTTGAAGGATATTTATCTCCAAACGTCACGTAAAGACCTGAAAATTGCCATTGCTGACAATCTGTTACAACGCATTACGGACATGGAAAGCAGTGTCGTTACACAAGCTCGCCAAGTCTTGGAAGAAATCTGGTTTGGTCCATTTCACCATCCAATTGACTCGATCCAGGATTCACCTCAAACTAAAGTCTCCTTGGGAGAATTGGTTGATCTTATTGTCGGGTCCGTCGAGAAAAGCGATGCAATCGTTACCGCTTTTGAAAAGTTTGTCAAATCCATACTCTCCGACGACACAAAGGCAGCATCCGCCAATTTCAAAGTGTGCAAAGCGATTGTTGCTGCAATGTTTGAGCGAATCATAGATCATGCAGATTCACCAAATAAACCGACCCTCCAAGCGCTCCTCCAGTCCGTTACGGTGTTCGCCAAAGCGAATGCGAAGCTTTTCACTCCTGACCAATTGGAAACACTGCATCCCTATATTGGCCACCTCTCCACAGCTGACGACCTGCTTCTTTTTCGATCTGTGGTTGTCATATATCGATGTGTTCTACCTTACCTTTCTACCGCCCATAATACCCTTCTCAAAGAAATTCAAAATGATCTTTTCAAGAGCGTTTCGAAGCTAGCTAGGACCGAGCTTAATGAGGTAATGGCATGCCTTTGGACGATCGACAGGGTTTTACAAAATACCGAACGCCTTGTGAAACTTACCATATCCGTCCTCAAGGGTATTGCTCAGGCGAAAACTCTAAACTTCGACAACTCATCAAAAACAGATGCTCTAGGGAGGGTGAGAAGTTACATTCGAATTGCCGGTTGCGTTGGGAAGCATTGTGATCTGGAAAAATATTATAATTTTTTCAGGCAATCATTTCCTACGACGCAGGCCACGTCTGTTTCTGGCTTAATGGTTAATTTCATAGCCCCCTTTGCTCTTCCTCAGTATCCACTTGAACTGCGAATAATGGCTTTGGAAAGCTTAGGCTCAATCTGTCAAACTTGGCCTGCGCAGTACAGCCAGCAACAGGCAAGAGTGGCTTTATCTTCGGTGTTCGAGGGAGACAACCCGGATTTACAAAATATCATCTTGAAGTCATTCCTAGAGTTTTTTTCTATCCATGAAGGGAAGGCTGAGACGTTGGTACAAACTAATGATTCAGCAGCCGATGCTGAGAGCTCCGCGAGATTGGCTGGTTCCTTGAAGGCGAGCGAGAATGATGGAGCAGCAGCATTGATTGCCCAGCAATTTCTCCAAAACATGCTCCACGCGGCACTTTCAAAGCAGGATACCTACGCATTGACGGCAATTGAGCTGATAGCAAGTATTAATCGCCAGGGCCTTATTCACCCCAAAGAATGTGCTGGGGTATTGGTAGCACTGGAGACGTCCACAAACCCGACAATCAGCAAAATAGCCTTTGACACTCACAAAATGCTGCACGAACAACACGAATCCATGTTTGACCGAGAGTACATGAGAGCAGTTCAGGATGCATTTCATTATCAGCGGGATGTCGTGGGAGATCCAAGTGGGGCTTTTGTTCGCCCGTATACTTCGAAACTTGCGCCCCTTTTCGACATCATCAAAGTCAGCAATAGCAAGTACCAGAGAAAATTTCTAACCAATCTCTGCACAAAAGTCGATTTTGAACTTCGCAAACTTGACGTTTCGAAGGATCCCCCAGAACACTTGCTCCTATCTAGATTCGTTTCTCAAAATATCGCATTCTTTGAGTATGCACAAATTGCGGAAATACTCCCTACAATCGCTTGCATTGAGCGTATAGTTGCTGCAACAGGAACAATTGTAGCTCATGCAATCGAAACCGATTTGTTCCAAAACACGATGGAGCCAATCAATGGCAACTCAAACGCAGCACAATCTCGGACTATGGATGGGTCCACTGTTTCCGAAGAGGTTGCTGCCGTCCCTACTACTTCATCAGAGGTAGCAGCCGCTGGTAAGTCAATCGATGGTCAGTTGTTGAGACAGTTGGCTACTGCAGCGGGTTCACTCCTGATGCTCTGGGAAGCTCGGTCGTATCTCCGTCGCCTTTACGGCATTAATTTTCATGCACGGCAAAAGGAAGGGAAGGGAAGCGCCAAGGAACTTAATCGGCCACCGTCAAAAGTCCAGGGTGTCACCGGTGACCGGTTTTGGGAAGTGGTGTCCAATCTCATGCACTGCCTTGACAGCACAGAAACAATGGTAACCACATGTCGAGATTTTGCACTATTGCTATCGATCGACGATGAACTCAAAGTGGCTGGAGACGATGATCGGGGGAGCCATGACACCACAGGAGAGGGTGATGAAATGGGCATCCTCCTCGCAGCCGCAGGCAATTCGAAACCGGGAAAGCGCAAGAGCTCTGTCTCTGCTGGTGGCACTCCGAAGAAGAAAGCTAGGGGTAGTAAACCCCTTGGCAAAAAGAGAATGAGCACTGATATCGACGATGAACTGGCGAGTGATTGAGGAGTTCGGCGTGTGGAGTTTTAGAATAGACTGGGGGGATTTGAATCGCAGACGTCGAATACTTATTTTTCCATTCATATATTATTAGCATTGATCAAAAGCAATCTTCTCAAGGCTGGTGGGGAGAGTGGTTTGATGCTTAGCTATCAAGGAGTTGCGGCAATTACTTTATTCAGTGGTGCTGTATTATATTTAGCACATTATTTCTAGCGATTGCTCTGGGGCTTCGCTAATTTTGTTATCATGCATGGACATACAGTTAATATAGCATATCATAGATGAGATAATTAAAATACGGGAAATCTCTTCACTACTATGAATTCATCCTTCTAGTCAGTTGCAAGTTGCCTGAGTGACGTCACGTGTCCTCTGGCTGCCCTGCGGTGGACTAGCTCATTCCATCAACATACAAGGAAGGGCGGAGAATCCTCAACCGCAGCAATCTATTTGCTTTCGTCTCCGTACAACAGCTACGCCATCTTTCTATGGATGGTAGTATATGAAGAACGCTATCTACTGGATTCTGCTCCCATGCTGTCTCACCAGACACGGACGCGGATTATGCGCCCGTTGACCCAGAGCAATCCGAGAGCATGTTTACAACGCCCCAGATTCCCATTGCGGTCGCAAGGCACTGATATACCTGTATTTCAACGATACTTGCACACTCCGCGTCGTCCCTCGCGATGTCCGCTATCAACGAAGGTTCCATTTAACTTCCACAACCAATTACAGAGATCAATTCGCTTTGGCCATACCAAGCCTCCCTTGAAACAGAGAAGCAGGACCGTGAGGATTATATACAATTTGTTCGCATACTGTGGTATATTTGTTGTTATTGGTGGCGTGCTAGTTGTTGGATTTTTCGTTTACGATGCTACCACCTACCGCCATGATTTGAGTTTTGATAACATCCAAGTCTCTGAATTGGCGTTGAATCCTCGCCTAGGCGGACCGAAAAACCTCCCAATCGCGGATGTGCTGATTGATGACCACGATTCGGAAGTCATGAGAGAACAACGCGATAAGCCGAAACTAGTCATCCTAGGAACGGGTTGGGGAAGTGTGTCCCTGTTGAAGACTCTGCGTCCAGGAGATTACCATGTCACAGTGGTTTCTCCTGTAAATTACTTCCTGTTTACACCCATGCTACCATCTGCGACTGTTGGAACAATTGGCTTGAGATCTTTGGTCGAGCCGGTCAGATCCATTGTTCAGCGAGTTCGAGGCCATTTCCTCCGCGCAGAGGCGGTGGATGTTGAATTTTCAGAGAAGCTCGTAGAGGTATCGCAGCTAGATAGCAATGGACAAGAACAGCGTTTCTATTTACCATATGATAAATTGGTCATTGGTGTTGGTAGGTTTGCCCTTACAATGATCTTGTCCATCACTTCTCCTGTCGCACATTGTTATTGACGGAATACCAAGGTTCAACCACAAATCCGCATGGAGTAAAAGGCCTTGAACACTGCAATTTCCTGAAATCCATTGATGATGCGAGGAAAATCAAAAACAAAGTCCTAGACAATCTAGAACTTGCCTGTCTCCCTTCAACGAGTGATGAGGAGCGTAGAAGGCTTCTTTCATTCGTGGTATGTGGTGGAGGGCCCACGGGAGTTGAATTTGCCGCGGAAATTTTTGATATGCTCAACGAAGATTTGTTCAGATCGTTTCCCCGGATACTGAGGAACGAAATCTCCGTTCATCTCATTCAAAGGTATTTTTCGGTCTACTAAGCTAGCCCATATACAACTATTAATTGATTTCATCAGCCGTTCTCATATTCTCAATACATATGATCAAACTCTATCTGAGTATGCAGAGGTATGTTTGAGCCTTTACGATAATTCAGTCATTGCGTCCTGACTTTGATAGCGACGGTTTGCAAATGATCAAGTCGACGTCCTTACAAACTCGCGGGTCAAGGAAGTGAAGAAAGACAAAATTCTTTTCACACAGATTGAAGACGGAAAGCCAATTTTAAAAGAGCTTCCCATGGGATTCTGTTTGTGGTCGACAGGGGTTTGTCAGTAGAAAACCCTTTCCAAGCGCACATATTTGTTGTTCTCTAACTTCCGTACAATAACGCAGCACAATCCACATTCTGTAAACAGCTCGCTGAGAAACTCAATGCTCAGACCAACAAGCTTACTCTCCTAACGGATTCCCATCTTCGTGTGAATGGCACCCCAATGGGTGATGTATATGCCATCGGAGACTGCTCTAGCGTCCAAAACAACGTGGCAGACCATATCATAACTTTCCTTCGAACCATCGCCTGGGAAAAGGGCAAAGACCCAGAAAAAGTCCACCTCACTTTCGCGGAATGGCGGAACGTAGCCCAGCGTGTGAAGAGGAGATTTCCACAGGCATCTGGCCATCTACGCCGGCTTGATAGGCTCTTCGAACAATATGACAAAGACCGCAGCGGCACTCTCGATTTCGACGAGCTGCGTGAGCTCCTCGTCCAAATAGACTCCAAGCTGACATCATTGCCTGCAACAGCGCAAAGAGCGAATCAGCAAGGAAAATATCTGGGCCTCAAGTTCAATAAGATCGCGCAGGCCATGCCTGGTATGAAGGCCAACGAGGTAGACTATGGCGACCTGGACGAAGCTGTCTACAAAGCGTTTCAATACAAACATCTCGGTAGTTTGGCATATATTGGCAATGCCGCGATTTTTGACTTCAATGGAGTGAGTTGGGGAGGCGGATTACTGGGGGTGTACCTTTGGCGAAGTATATATTTCGCCCAGAGCGTCAGTTTACGGACGAGGATTTTGTTAGCTATGGATTGGTCGAAGAGAGCTATTTTTGGAAGAGGTATGTGAAGAACTGGAAAAGTTCAACTTGAAATTAAAAGCGCCCCAGTCCCCATCCTTCCATGATTGTATATGCCGTTCAGTGAATTTAACAATGACCTATTGGTTGAAAACCTTGGACGTTAACGTATCTAACTCGTGCGTTGATACAGATATGACAAGCTTTTAACAGCAAGAGCATGTTATTGTTATACCCTGTGCGAGCCAACATTTACTTTATTATCTTTCCGCCATATAAAAATAAACATATAAGCCAAGGCCATGAAACCCGATTTCCATAGATGCGAGCGATACACTACAAACTTATTTATATACCAATACTATTCACTGATATCTCCTTTTAGCCTACGCGTTTCGAAGTTGATAAATACGGGCATAATGGCAGCCCATTTGCCGTCCTCTTTATACAATCAAGTCAAATATAGATTTCCTTGAACAGTTGACTCTTTGACGGAGAGGGCGAGATTCCAATCACCGGACTCTTTCTTTAGAGAAACATTTGACTTTTGTATATCCAAACGTTCGGAGCATACATTTTTCATCTGTGGCATTATTTATTTTTGTCTTTAGACAGTGTTTTTGCGGTTTCTGGTTCTATTCTGTTTTGGATGGATTTCCCCGCTTGATGCGTTGGCTATCACTTTGATTTAATCGACTACGTTCCAGAAATCCCTCTTCGTGCTAGGTCGTTAACCTTGTATATGTCCACATGTAGGAGGACTCTGGTCTTTATCTATATGGGAGGCTTGGTTTCATGAAGGGAATGAATATATATATATATATATAGATTAATATGTAACATTAACTTGTATGGGACGTATTTGATGTTGCCCAAAAATCGAAATAGTGCGATAGATAAGTACAAATATCTCATTGGCAAGTCGAGTGTAAAGGTGTGAAAGGGACGAAACACAATTCCACAGCCATCCCTAATCGGCCCATTGAGCGATGCCGGATGCGCTCACATTCTAGGATATAATAATTCGAACTCCAATGGAATTTCAGTACGGTTAGCTCTTTCAGGGCGAATCAGTCCTTTGGAACCATGAATCATAAAAGACTCCAAACGCCGCGCTAAAGTACAGATACAAATCCGAAAGAAAAAATATAAGGAGACATAGAAGGTAAGTCGCAGCGGATGCATTTTCATTGCTCGAAAAGTGAATACAGTTCCGAGCTAGCGTTAGCGTGGTATTTGCTGAACTAAGATATCATTGGATCTACCTCCTCATGTTCATGCATAATAGCATCATCAGTGCCTCCATTTTGGGCTTCGTTTTGGTTACTGTTATTATTGCTGTTCCTGTCTTGCTCGAGGCCAATGTCTATTTTTTCAGGCAAGTCTTTCTTCGCCTCGCGCGCCTTCTGTTCTGCCCAGGATCGGAGTTTGACAAGGTTACGTAGGCGAGCCTCACGCCGTGCGCCTTGACTTTGTAAAATGGCTTCATTTACGCGATTCGCAATGCTTTTCCTGAGCTCCGGGTCCAGCAGCGCAGCTAACGAAGGGGCAAGATTATCAGATGGGAATATAAGGAGTGATAGTGTCCTTTCAAGGTCCTCGAGGAACTGTGGATTAGTGGGTGCTCGAGGAGCGAGATGGGACGTCGCAAAGTCTAGAGCAGGAGTAATGTCTCCGTTTGGAGTGGATGTACTGGTCCGTATCAACTCAACTAGCTGCAATCGCAGAAGAGCAAAGTGAAGAGAAGGATTATTGTCTAAAATCTGCAAGTCACCTGTTAGCAAGAGGTGGGGTAATCTATGGCAATGATGCATATTAAGCAGCACTAGCGATTGCTGGTCATACTGAGGACTGAAGATGAGTTTTTTTCATCAATACCGAGGAGGTATATGAGTGGTGCATGAAACAAGTTTAATCATAGCAAGGAGATATATGCTCAAATATCTAGGGTCAAAAGAGAGTAGCAAGGTAAGAGGGCTAAGGCTGTACCTGAGGGTTCAACTCGTTTAATTTCTCGATAGCAGACTGAATATCTCCCGAATGAATAGCATTTCGAATATCCACCCGTTCTTGGATCGACTCCACATCGGGCTTGGGTTGGATATTAGCTTCTATAGCAAATTTCTGTGCAGCAGATGGGTAGCCATTCGCGACAAGATAATCCATAACAAGAAAATTGATATCACTTTAAAAAGACAGGTTAGCTAGGTACCTATGGCAGGCTGGATAAAGATAATACAGGGGGTATTATTTGTAGATCAGAAGGACAAGTTAATAAATTCTCTTCAGGTGTTTTTCAGAGAGATTCCCAACTTGATTTTTGTAAACACATCATAAGGAAATATAGCAGGAAGAGAGAAAACATATGGGAAATATGGACTCACGTCTTTGATGGCTTCACATCCTCGACCTTCCTTTCGAAATGATGCCATGTTGGCGTGGTAGTAGAAGGGGTTGGAGACATCTGGAACGTTCAGTATTCCCACGGTGCTGAAAAAAGCAGACGGGGATGCCACGTACGAAGTTGGCAGAAGTCATGATTATTGATACCTGGCTATCCCGATCTTGCAATAAGAAGAGTGCGGGAGGACTGTAGACTCAATATCTGGCGGGATGAGGGCCCCTTCAGCTCGCAAGCCATGGGATGGGATGACAGGCAGCTGGAGAGCGAGCGTCTGGTGACGGGAATGAGAATGAGTTGGAATGAGGAGAAAAAGGTGAAGAAAAAGGTCGTGCGAGGCTCTTCTGACTCAGCAAATGCCAAGCCCTTGGTATCTCCACGTGATCAATTGACCTCCACCTCTCTTGAGCTGACCGCAATATTTTATTGAGAGACAATGAACAGGATCAAATGTTTACCTGTATTCCCATATAATACTTATTGCTATCCCATTTTTAGTTCATGGCATGGAGTGGGGAAAATAGACTACCTTGTTATTTCATTGCCAACTACTTCGAGACCCATGACCAGGGTCGCATGGTAGTTTCACGAAGCCCAACCCCTCGAGTCGTATGATACTAGCGATGGCGGAGCTCCGAGCCCGATACTCCCCGCCGTGGGCGGACATGACCATAATTGGAATTGCAGGCGGTTCAGGATCTGGCAAATCATCAGTTGCACTGGAAGTCATCAATTCGCTCAACTTGCCATGGGTGGTAATTCTGGTCATGGTATTTAGCATTGATGGGGTACATCATATTGGCGTGGCACATAGGACTAATGTGGAATATTAATAAAGGACTCATTTTATAAAACCCTTACCCCCAAGCAAAATGCTATTGCGCATGATAATGAATATGATTTCGATTCGCCGGACGCGATTGATTTTGACCTCCTCGTGGATACTCTCCAGTCCCTTAAAAAGGGGTAAGATCTGGCAACAGATGCTAGGAAATCTAATATCTGTAGTTCCTTGCTAATTAAGTCATTCCCTTGTAGCCGAAAGGTAGAAATACCTATATATTCCTTCGAGAAACATCAACGGGAAGAGAGGACCACGTCTTTATACTCCCCGCATGTTGTTATCCTCGAAGGAATACTAGCTTTCACGGATTCAAGAGTAGCCGATATGCTGGATGTCAAGGCATGTAGCAAGATCTTGTAAATTTTGACTCTCCCTAGCTAACGGAATTAGATTTTCGTGGAAGCTGATATGGACGTTTGCCTTGGGAGAAGAAGTAAGAAAAACTCCGCAAATGCTCTGGTGTACGTTCTTTCGTTTTCAGAAGATCGTACGACTAATGACAGCAATTCAAGTTCTGCGAGACGTCCGAGATAGGGGAAGAACGATAGACGGTGTCATCAAGCAATGGTTCAAATTTGTAAAACCATCATATACACGATTTGTTGAGCCTCAACGTCACATATCTGGTATTATTCCCCTTCAACAAGGCAAAGGAATTCAGAGTTGACCATTGCGAAGACATCATTATCCCCCGAGGCATTGAAAATAAGACCGCCATAGGTATGCGCCATGGCTTTTCAGTTGTTCACATTGATCATCCGAATTGACGAAAGCAGATATGGTGGTCAAGCATATCCAACGAAACCTTCGAGAGAAATCTGAAGCCCATTATCTTGAGCTACAGAGGCTAGGCAAACAAGTTGAAGAGCAACCCCTGTCCGCGAATGTTATTATCATGGACCAGACGCCGCAGTTGGTGGGTATAAACACCATTTTACAAAACCCACATACAGAACAAGTAGATTTTGTGTTTTACTTTGACCGGCTGGCATGCCTTATGATAGAACGGTATTTCTTGACTTCTCTTGGTTATTGCTTATCTTTTTCATCCAAAAATAGTTTTGCGAGCTAAGAAATAAGGCAGTGCCCTAGATACCATCCCATTCGTCCCCGCTACAGTGGCCACACCTGACCAACATATCTATCATGGCCTGCGACCCGCAGGCACAATATCTGCTGTTGCAATCCTTCGCGGTGGCTCTTGCCTAGAAACTGGTTTGAAACGAACGATTCCTGACTGCATAACTGGCCGCGTTCTCATTCAAACAAATTACAGCACAGGGGAGCCTGAACTGCATTATCTTAAATTACCCCAGGACATCAATGACCACGCCGCTGTCATACTGCTTGATCCACAAATGTCAAGTGGTGGAGCTGCATTGATGGCTGTGCGAGTCCTCATCGACCATGGAGTAGACGAAGGCCGTATCGTCTTTGTAACGTTCGCCGCAGGAAAACGCGGATTGCAGAGATTAACCGCTGTCTATCCCGATGTGAAGGCTGTAGTGGGCCGGATAGAGGATGAGGGAGAGTCAAGATGGATTGAGAAGCGTTACTTTGGATGTTAGATGGTCCAGATACGTGCTTCACTGACGTTTCTTCCGATTTCCAGCAAATGTGAATATTTCCTCTGCTTGTCCTTTTGTTTTCGTATAATCATCATTTGGAAAGTGTCGAGGGGCGTTTGAGGGTACTAGTTTTTAAATTTATACCTATACACCATCTCTTATATGAAGCAAATATCGTATTATTTGAAATGAATATAGGTTTCTTTGGATATACTTTACATGGAGGTACCGTAAATATACCTAAGGTGGGTGGCAGGGTGAGGGATTCGTGCGGGGAGATTAAGATTCACAAAAAAAAAAAAGAAAAAGTGCACGGACCAGCATAGCGTCCTCTGTACATCGTCAAGCACTGAATCCACTGAGCACCAAAAATTTTGAACTACTTCACACTTGTTAAGAAATACCTAGAAGAAGGGTGTATGTAGCCCATACTTTTTTCTACAATAATTCCCTTTTACTTTTAATGAATTTTTTTTTCTTTGAGAAATCCTTAATTCCATAACCAATATTATTGATATTTGGGAAGTCACCATGCGTGACTCGGGGAAGAATGCGTCCCCCAAATGGACAAAATCCCGCTCGACGGACAAACACAGAACTGGACCAGTTATAAGTATGTGCGGGCCATATAACCCTATCTCTCATTTCCTGTCAAGAACAAAAGTATGGCAGAAAATAGTGTACTTTGTACCCATCATGCTAACCCATTTTCGAAAATTTTACAGCTGATCCGCGCTTCGCCAACATCCAAACCGACCCCCGATACAGGCTCCCCAGCAAGAAACATACACATGTCAAACTTGACAAGCGATTTGCGCACATGCTGCGCGATGAAGATTTTTCAAAAAATGCTGCTGTTGACAGGTACGGGAGGAGGTTGAGGAGGGACGATACGAAAAAGCACCTGGAGAGATTCTATAGAATTGATGAGGCAGGCGAACAGGATGAAGCAAAGGAAGAGGGGAAATGCAGTGATGAAGAAGAGAGTAATATGAGCGTGGATGATGATACAGTAATAGAAAAGGAACTGCATAAGGCGGATAAGCGGGGTTACGATCCTGCAAGGGATGGAAAATTCTCCGACTCTTCATCAGATGAGAGTTCGACTGAGGAGGATGAGGACGTGGAAGATGAGGTAGAGGAAGTGCAGTTTCCCAACCAGCAACAAAGCGATGTACCACTTGGCGATGTCAGTAGACGGATCGCGGTTGTCAATCTTGATTGGGATAATATTCGCGCGAAAGATTTGATGGCTGTCTTCTCGAGCTTTTTGCCACCTGGGGGGAGTATACATAAAGTCTCGATATATCCGAGTGAATTTGGGCGTCAGAGGATGGAGAGAGAGGAAATGGAGGGGCCGCCCAAGGAAATTTTTGCTTCAACAAAAGAGGATGAAGAAAGCGACCAGGAAGATAGTGAATTGGGAAGTGAGGTCTTAGATGAGGAAGAGGAAGAAGAGAAAATCAAACATTCTCTTATTAAAGAAGATCAAGGGGACGAGTTTGCTTCCGTCCATCTACGAAAATATCAGCTTGAAAGGCTCCGTTACTTTTACGCCATTCTGATCTGCTCATCTGAAGACGTTGCGAAACATATTTATGACGCTGTGGATGGGACTGAATATATGAGCAGTGCAAACTTTTTCGATCTTAGATTCGTGCCGGACGAAACCGATTTCTCAAATGATACCCCTAGAGATGAATGTGACAGGATTCCCGACGGATACAAACCTAATGATTTCGTTACTGATGCCTTGCAGCACAGTAAGGTCAAACTTACGTGGGATGCGGATGATGCAAGTCGGAAGGAAACACAAGCAAGAGCATTCAAGGGTGGGAGGAAGGAGCTTGATGAGAATGATCTCAAAGCATATTTGGGTAGCGATAGCTCTGATAATGAGGACGGTGATGGAGATGGCGGAGTAGAGGTTATCGATGCTACATCTGGAGATGGTACAATTGTGACCACTGCTCATGTTATACGAAGCAAAAAGGAGGCTGCGCGAGAGAAGATACGAGCTTTGCTTGGTTTCAGCAAAGATAAAACTTCAACGGTATCCAAGAGTAAAGGGCCGGTCGGTGACATGGAAATAACGTTCTCGACAGGTCTTTCCACTGGAACATCTGGCGGAAACGTGTTTGAGAACGAACCACAGAAGGAGGAGACGACAGCAGAAAAGTACGTACGGAAGGAGAAGGAACGGAAGGCGAGACGAAAGGCAAGAATGAAGGCCGCTAGGAATGGTGAGCCTCTGCCAGCGGAGGGCAATCAAGCCGAAAACATTGCGCCTGAAGGCTCAAAAGATGGAAAGGAAGACTTGGGCTTTGATGATCCTTTCTTTACTGTTCCTGAACAGGACGCTGCAGCTGCAGCAGCTTATCGGAGAGAGGAAAGACGCAAGAAACGCGAAGAGCGAGAAGCAGATGAAGCCGCCACCGCTGCGAAACGTGCTGAGCTTGAACTCCTCATGATCGACGACAAAACTTCACATATTAAACATTTTGATATGAAGGATATCGAGAAGGCAGAAAAACGAGCCCGCAAAGGCGGGAAACACAAGAAGGGAAAGAAAGGCGACATTGAACATCCGACGGACGATTTTAAGGTCGACGTTGAGGATGCGCGATTCCAACGGATTTGGGAAAATCACGAGTTTGCAATTGATCCTTCAAATCCACGGTTCAAGGCAACAGAGGGTATGAAGACGTTGTTGGAAGAAGGTCGAAAAAGGCGGCGGAATAAGGATGATGATGTCGTTGATCGGGGATTGCCTGGGCCGGGAATGGAGAAGAGGAGGAAAGGGACTCAATCCAAGGATGTAGAGAATGTAGCCGATGCTGGTGATTTGAATAAATTGGTGGAACGTTTAAAGGGAGGACTGAAAGGATCAAATCGCAAATAGTACATGTACAAGTGAAAAATTGTATAAAAACATCTTTCGAGAACGAATGGCGTTCCGTAAGCTACAAAACAGGGCCTTCATTGGAAGACATTCTCTAGCAATAGTATGTATATAGTTATAGCCAAGTAACTCCATCCTTAGGAACTTATTCCTGGCTGATCCCGTAAGACCCAGGGGGGTTGCCGGACAGCTAATTAATAACAGGAGAGCCTGAACTGTATCGGATTTGCCCTTTTCGGGCTGTCCATCTTTAGGGTTGCCCAGCGACCAATCACAGGACACAACGAAATTTTATGCCAAAGCTCCAAAAAATCCAGCAGATTTCTCATGACAACAACAGCAACAATCATCAGCGCTGGAAGATGGCGCATTTCCAGGAAGACACCTCTCGCGCAAAGAGGAGGAAAATCGATGTTGACTCTGCTGCTACGCAAATGCCATCTGTGACAATCACTTCCCACACACAACTGCGTAATCTCCTCGCCTTCCAGCAGAGTGCTTCCCAGGAATTGAAACAGGGTATGCAGATTCTTTTCCATTCTATTGCCACTTCTATACTGGTATTTTACCACGGCGGACAAGTCCCTGATTTATCAATTAGGTGTTCGGTGTTTTAAGGACTTCCTCGCTTCAATCAACGAAGCTGAGAAAGTGAACGAAAAGGCGAAAAAGCTTCGCATTCTCAAAACTTATTGCGATTCCCAGCTTGTGAACACGGGCGATGAGACCCAGGCGAGCTGCTTCCATGATTTGCTTCAAACATGGAGCTTTGCAGAGAGCGATAATCACGAGCCTCTACTCTCGTTGATCCCATCAGTGCTGGCGCTTTTTTTGAAGACGATTTCTAGCCAGTTAGAGTTTAGGGATTTCGGATTGGTCCTGTGCAAGTTTTTATTGCAAAAAGAGCAACTCAAGCTATTTAACCGCGCATTCACCGCGAGCAAGACCAAGGAGCATTTGATTTCTCCTTGCTTACGACTTCTTACGGAGGTTGTGGGCTTTGATGGGGGTGCTGTTGCACGCCTTGTTTATGGACGGCGAGATATCACGTTCAAACGACTTGACATCTTCCTCAGTGTCCGAAAATCCCCTGTAGATCCAGAGTCTGATGATCGACAGAAGTCAACACTCCGCCGAAACGCCCAGCGTTATTTGCTTGCTAACTTGAGTTTCCAAAACGCTACCGCGAAAGAAGACATCATCAGCCAAGGGAAACTCATCCGTGCTTTCTTGGAAGATGTGCGCAAGGATTCTCGAGGCATTGTTATCGACATTATCCGGGCGATTGACAAGCATATTGTTAGCGATGCATCTCTTTCCCGGAACGCTAAAAGCCGATTCCTAAACCGTCATAATCTTGAGCGACTCGTAACTCTATATGGATATGAGAAGGAGTCCGATGAACTTGTGCTTAACGAGGAAACTGTGCCAAAGGAAATTCATAAACTGCTGTTAGCTGTTTGCACGAACTCGGAGAAGGGGGTATTGCTTCCCGAAACGGGATGGTACCCTACTGGAAGCCATCCTGATGTATTACCACCTGATGATGTTGGTGCAATTCCCCTTGGGCTTGACTCTCCCGTCCACTTTGATCAATATAAAACTACAGTCCCGATTCGCAACGGAAACCTATCGACACTGATACAGTTTCTCCGCCCAGACTCAGATACTTTGCAAATGGAACTTCTATTAAAAATCTTCAAAGCTGCGCCCGAGCTAGTATTTGATTTCTTCTCAAAACGGACAATGTTCACGTCTGATCCTAAACCTACCCCAAGCTGGTTAGGAGAGTCTGCTTTTCTTTTCTCGACAATCAAACTTCCGATTCCTGCGAATTGCGGATGGAAGGGCAGCCCAGTACTCGTGCCGCCGCCCGTAACTGTTGTGATCGAGAGCATACTTCCTCGGCCCCTGACGCAGAAAATCTTGACAAGGTGTCTAAATCAAAATACAGACATTATTACTTTATTCGCAGTTCGAACTGTCACTTTGGCTCTACGAAAGCTACAAAATGTTCTTCGGATGTTTAATGCGGATAGAAAAACTGGGCAAGAGCTCTGGACCCAAGCGGCTGCAAAACTCGTTGAGGAGTTTTGCCGAAGATCCCCTTCGATAAAGGACGTCATACTACTCTTCCGAAACACTGCAAAGGATAACCTCCCGCAGCAACATGCAGTGCTTGAACTGCTCTCCATGTTTTATCGAGTCATTCCCACCGTTGCTCTGGAAGAGAAATTTGATATTTCGTTGATCCTGGTGGAAGTTTTGAAACAGCTAAATGACGGCCAATCTGAGCCCGACGATAAAGAACTGTTATTCAGCCAGTTACAGAGCTTGTTGCTTATTGCTCAGGAATTGCCCATGATGCGTTGGTGGCAGAAACCAGGTAAGACAGATTATATATTCCACAAGATTAATATTCTTCAAATAGGTAAACTAATTGGATTTACACAGAATCGCTCCAATTTTCTGCCTTTGTCTCTGTTTTGCGAGTGCTTACCGAAATGACCACTATTCAAGCTCCCATCCAGGACGTAAAAATCCTGATCCAAGATGTATTAATCCAGAACTCTGTTATTTTAGGCCCAGCTTCTTTTAACGCACTTCTATTGAGTATTGGCGTATCCGATAGGGCTGCTCTTATAACAGAACTGTCGTTTCTAGACAACTGTATTACAAGATTGATCAAGAAGCCTGTTTTCTACCTAGATCTCGCCGAATCCTTGGTTAGTAGCGGGCAAGAGAACCTCAGTCTTCTTGTTAGTGTTATCAGCGAACAGTGGCCATTCGTCATCAAAAGCGGGCAGCCGGACAAGCAAACGGCAATATCGAGTTGGATCTCCCGGCTTCTTGGACTATTACACGTGGCTGGAGAGGACGAGGGGGCTTTGATGAGGGTGCTTGATTCGGTTATCGATAGTACGGAGAATAGAAAAGCGCGGTCAGCTTTGAAAAGCGCATTTAAACACGCCAAATTAGCAGTCGACAAGGATGGAAATGACCGTAAACTGAGTACTACAGTTGTTTCTCCCACATTCGAATCTCAAGTTCAGAGACCCCGCGTCAATCTGACTGACATATTTGGGGAGCTTCCTGTTGAGAGCGAATCACATCCAGTCCTGAATCGGTGGGAAAGAGAAGAAATTGAGCTTGCGCTGGAGAAAGGCCATATTGGCGACTTGATGTTTTGTCTGTGTTCAGAGTATGAAGAAATCCGGAGGCAGGCAGGCGCAGCAATACCTCGTTTTATGGTCAAAATTCGTGTAAGGATTCCCACCTCGCGTGCTAAGAAAACTATCTTTCGGATTTTAACAAGGCCTTTAGGAATCGACATATGAGGAGAGCCAATCTATCTACATTCTTGCCGGAGAAATTTTGGAAACTGCTAAAGACGTTGGGCTAGAGGCACCGCTCCCGTATATTGCTGGTGAGCTTGCTGCTCGGATACTGATGGTCCTCACAAACCCGCTTCACACCCTCTACGGCAAGGTGAACAAGTTCTTGAACAAGGGGCCACGATGGGAGGTTGTCAAGATTCCATCTTACTGGATAGATAAGATTTTATTGCATGAGTCAGAGTACGATGACAGCTATCACGAGGAGGTAGGATGGTTGCTAGGCTTGTTCATTAATGGACTGCGTACCAAGAAGGTATGAGATGTTTCATTCGCTTCTAATCCATCCTGTTCAAACATATGTTGACCCGATAAATTTCAGGACATGGACATCTACCGACGTGCTAATGTCTTCGAACGAGTCCTTTCACTCTACAACTCCCCGACTTTGCCTGATTCCTTGCGAAGGATGATACTACATCTCATCTTCAGAGGAAGTCAGGTGGATGGGAGCACTATCCTATTAACGCGAAATGGGGCACTTAGCTGGATCCAAGGCCAAGTATCGGCGCACGATGGCCAGAGCGATATTCTCCGGGAAATTGCCAATGAGTTGTACGAGAAGTGTGATCATGAGTGGCTTGATCGATGGAGTGGATCGTCTTTGCCACTGGTGATAGCTCAGATGTCTGCGGAGAACAATTGAACAGTATAGCCACCAGCGGATCAATGTTTTTTCGGCTTTTAATAAGACGAATAAACTATTTTAGCAGTGGCAGTCCTTGCATTTGTATATTTGTATATTTTTCGGAGGTCCTGGTCTAGCATATTCGTAGTTGAGGCACATTGTTTACAAATTTCCTCTTGCTGTAACTGATTCAGACACACTTCAAACATTCAATTACACCATTTCGTACTCGTTCTCATATAAATCGGCATACAACTGTATTTAACAGTATATATATATATATATATATACTCCATGTTGTGCTGGGCTTCATCTTTACTCACTCAAATTTTGCCGGGAGAGAAGCTCTCTGTGAATTGATAAACAGGACTTGCCGCTTTGGGTCAGACCAAAAAAATCTCAACATCAACCTTCAACTTGCATCCACGCAATTCTGATCCCAACCAACGTACAAAACCCCCGTCTACACACTTTAAACAGGCACACTGGTTCGGATACCTCTTTCTCAGATACCTACAGCTTTTGTTATTAGAGTCGACATCCTATCAACATCCTGTTAGCGCCCCTTTGCCCCCAACCCGACCGATCTTGGGGTTTTTGACTTCCTCCAGGTTCAGTTGCACTTTGACCTCACTTCTCAGCTCCTGCTCAGACCTCAAGACCGCTCCGCTGCTCAACAACCCCGATATCCATTTTGTATCCATTGCCTCATATAGGAAACTACATAATTTCCATATCCTGCATTTCCTTTTGATTTCAGCCACCGTAACCCCCTCATATTCCCCTCCTCGGGGTCATGAGAGCCTCTCCCTTCCTAACCCGCGACACTTTCTCCCATGGCCCGACGGTACCAGCCTTCGGAGCTGTTACAGCTACGCGATTCTCCTCTAGTTGTTAAACCGGATAACTTACCTCCTATAGAAGAATGGATGGGGTACGTCTGATCACTTTAATCACAGCTGTGTTCAGTTAGGTATGTGCTGCTAACAATGTCGTTGCTGTAGGCCACCTCCAGACCCACCCCTACAAAAGAAGGCTTCTAATAGTCGAGAGCAAAGTACTCAACAAGATACTGCGAACAGGAGGTCGAGCCTTTTCGAGAGCCGCCATATTTCACGTGGCTCGACTTCGGGTAAGTATTGGATAGGTTTTAAATCGACGCGATATTCAATGTAAGATTTTCTGCTGACTTTAATTTTCTCTTCGTTGTAGAAGACATTGTTTTGGGTCCCCCCAGGACTTCATTTGCATCCGCGTCGCGTGGACTCGGCAAGTCTAACGATACGACTGATCGATCCTCTACAAAAATAAACGAGACTGACGACCAGAAACAAGATCGGTACAATTTTCGTGACAAATTTTTCAAAGATAGAGACGTTGGAGATCGAGACAGTGACCGGAGGGATACTAAATCAGGCTTGACAAATGGCCGCCGCGCTGGCCGAGACGATAGGGAGGACTGGCCTGGTGGAAGAACCCGCCGAACATTTGGTACGGAAGAATCTGAACGAAGACCCAGGCGGAATGGGGATTCAGAGCGGTGGGAGATGCGCGATCATCGTGAACACCCGGAAGGTGGCAATGATCGGGCTCCACGAGATAAGGAATCAGGCCGATATCCACCCCGAAGAGACGGCCAGGGCAGAGGCAAACATGATAATTGGTTCCGAGACGGCGAGACGAAGGATTCAGTGGATGGTGAGGCAGAGAAAACACCGGTTAGACATCGTGAATGGCGTCGTGGTCCTCATGGCGGGGACAGGGACTGGAATCGATCTGCGAAACATGAACAGGAACCAGAATGGCTGGACTCTACGGATCGAGACGGGCCCAAAGAAACACATACTCAGGCAGACTTTCAACGCTGGAAAGAGCGCATGAAAGCAGGTTCTGTGCAGGCGTCCCAAGAAGATAAGAAGGAGGTGTCCTCAGAACAGATGAATACGGAATCCAAACCAAGGGAGTCATCTAAACGGCTTGATGGCGAAATATTTGGTACTCTAGATCCTTCCCTTATGGATCCGGGTTTAGACAAGTTCTTTGGCCTGTGGAGCGAGAACAAACAAATCCGCGACCATACTCCCGAGATTATTGCGGATGGAAATACGAATATCGAGTCACTTCCAGCAAAGGTGACGAAGGCTTCGCGATTTGCGGGAATTTTCAACCCACCCTCCGAAACTGCGAATCGGGAGCCGGAGCCTCAAACCATAATCCACACCGAACAAGTCCGTCCGGCGTCTACCGATGCAGATCAAGAAGGTTTCCAACGAATATTAGCAATGCTTGGAGGAAACAAATCTATGAAGGCAAGCCCTCAGGTTGAGGGGTCGAGGCAACAAGAGCAATCTGAGGCCCCGCTACCACAGCCTGATCATGTTAGATCACCAACAACTATGTCGTCCCCCGTACGAGAATCTTTTCTCCAACAAGAGTATGCTTCATTGAACTCTCCTCGAGACCGCCCTCCCCCAGGGCTAGAAGCACTGTTTGTCCAAAAACCAAAAAATCCACCTGGGCCGAATCTCGATACGGAGTTCCTGCTTCGGCTTATGCAGCAGTCCAAAATTTCCTCTTCGAACCATCAAAACAACCCCCCACCTCCGGGCGCTTCGTTGCAAACTACTGGATCGATGAATGTGCAAGACATGCATGCTAGAGTTCAAGTGTTGGAGAAACAGAAATCCCCCGTTTTCCTTGATGATCCAGCAATTGCAAATATCAGGAGACCGGAACCTCAGGATCCACGAGACCATCTTCGCCGCAGAACCACTAACGGTATCGTTATGGGTTATATAGATGATATGGGTTTCCCACCATCACAGGGTAACCAGACCCCTAATCCGGCCCCTGGCGTTCGTCCACCTAGACAGCCCCCAATGGCACTGCAACGCCCTCCGGGATTTGAGCGAGTCACACCTCCTGGGTGGCCTAACCAACAACCGCAGCCACCTGGTCCCAACCAATTCATGCTACCACCCGGGCTTGCACAGCCGCCAAACCGAAATATGCATCCAAATTTCCCAGCCGCACCTCCCTTACCCCTTCATGCCACAATGCCACCACCAAATGACCGTCAGGCTTATCAACGAAATGCGATAGGAGGTGGTCCACCGCCATTTGCTCCTCCCCCCGGCATGATGCCTCCTCCTGGTTACATGAATTCAAATGCCCCGCCACCGGCTGCTTTCCCACCAATGCCTCACACACCAGATGGTATGATGAGTATGTCTCATGGAAATGCTGCCCAGTATGGCGGCCTCCTTCCTCAGGGCCCGCCTCAGTCGTCATCAAGGCAGTTATTTGACATGCTTGGCCCGCTAAATGGAGACGGAAGCACGGTTACTAGGAATGGAGCAGGAATGATGGGTCCATACCGCTAAAGGTTCTTATCGTGAATTGCTCGAGAAAGAGGACGTTCTCACTTATCCTCCTCCAGCATTGATGATCATAAGACCTGTTTTGCAGGACTAGGCCTGATGTGGAGAGAATTCAAATGTTACCTTCACAGTAGGTTAATCCAACTAGCGCAGCCAGCTCTTGTTGAATACATATAGTAGTTTATCTTTCTACCAGACCTACCTATATTCGCGATCTTTATGTTTTTGTGGTACTTTTTGCTTCTTTTCTTTTCATCTTGTTCTTTTGGGCGTTGGGTCAAATGGGACTTGTTGACAGTTTGCCACTTACGTTGGTGCTTTCTTACGTGCGTGTTCGGCACTTGTCCATTTTATTATCATGTATGGCCTTTCTTTTTCCTCTCTCTCTTTTTTTTTGAATAAAAGAAAAAAAGAGTGAGAGAACCAGTATTTGCGCATATCCTGGTCAGCTTTCCTTCCTTTCCTGTTCTATTTCTCTTTCTCTTGCCGTTGGTATCTGCTATTTTCGCTTCCACTTCTTTTGCTTCATCTGTCGTTTACGTTTTTCTAGGTTTGTTTCTTTATGCCCTCACTCTCTCCTTCTCTTACCTATATATATATCTACATATATTTATACGTGATCGCTAGGCTGTAATATGGGTAGGTTAGGTAAATTGATAAATATACGTGAATTCCTTACTGGCCTTTATCCAAGTGAGATGCGATCTATCCCAGTGGGCTAAACATCCTTCTATTCTCCGACGGTAGCTTGACGAAGAAGCAGAAGGATACCCACTTTTTATTAAAAACCGTCATCTGAGATGTTAACCAACTTTCCGTTTAACCACCTCAAAGGAAAATCAGTACACATACTATAGTAAAAATAGAGATAAATAACAAACCAACAGCGCCAGCAACCAGCCCGCTGATTTTTAAGTTACAACGCCGATGAAAAAGGGTGTGTATATTGCAATCACGTATATGAAGCGTTTTGAGAAAAGTTATAATTGTACATACAATGGGCCATGAAAAGGATATGAGGTTTGCTACAAAAATATCGCCTCTTTCATCCCCAGGTTCCACCACCACCACCCCTTCCTTGACGTCTTTGCGCTGATAACCGCCAATCATCATCGCCTGCGAATCGGTTGTGAAGAGGCTGGATCCGTTCTGCTTTCTTCCGTTTCGAGAGACGGTTGGTTGGCGCGACTTTGAAGAATGTGGGCGCCGCTTCGACGAGCCACTGTTTTCGTAGAAATGCGTTAGACAAGTGTTCTATTTTGCTTCGTTTATGACCAAGCATAGCAGAGAATATATCAGGAATAAAAACAGGGAAAGGATATACATACCTTTGGTTCTATGCTGGTAGTACAATGCATATATTCCTTCGTGGTAAGGACCAAAGTGTGGAATATGACGTGTTCTGCCGCCTTCCCAAACAGCGCGGAACTAGGATGCATGTATACAGGCGTTCCTTCGATCAAAGTCTTATAGCCTTCCTGTGGGTCCTTACGCGCCGCGTTCCGGAAGAATCCTGAGCAGAGTGCTTGTCGGACTCTGGTCGTGTTCCGTCCGCAGGAGACTACTTTGTGTTTATAGCGTTCCATGATAGTGACCAGTTGCTCGCGCACATCTTGCACGCGGCGCATCTGACGTGCCTGTATGAAGTTCTCAAAACACCAAGGGCTGCTGAAACGTGAATTCTTCCATCCGTTGTAGACGTTTAGAAGGGTGAGGTGGTCGCCATGCGGGTCGTGAAATTTTGCCTTTTTCTGATCGGCTTGTTGCTGCTTTTCCTTGGGCCGATAGAATATGCTGTGCACTGAAAGCATGGCGACGATGCTGAGCATTTCGTCTGAGCAACCCATCTCGACGGAGGCGATTAGCACTTTGGCCAATGCGGGCTCCATCGGGAAGTCAGCCATTTTTCTTCCCAGCCGCGTTAGAAGGCCTTCGTCATCAAGAGCGGAAAGGGCGTATAGTTCTTCAAGTGCAGTAAGCATAGTGTTCGTTGGGGGAGGGTCCATGAAGTCGAAGTGAAGAAGGTCGTTGATGCCCATGGCTTTCAACATAAGAATTGTATGTGAGAGATTTTGGCGCTGGATTTCGGGAATAGTAGTTGGAAGCATTTCTGATTGATACGCTGCTTCGGTATATAAACGGAAACATTTACCTGGCCCCGTTCTTCCGGCCCGTCCAGATCGCTGCTTCGCCTGCGCCTGCGATATAGGTGTAACAACGAGGGAATCCATTCCAAGTTTTGGGTCGTAGGCATTTTGCTTTACAAATCCCGGGTCAACTACATAGTATATTTGGTCTATTGTAATTGATGTTTCCGCGATATTTGTGGCGATGACAACCTTTCGACTTCCAGGAGGCGCAGGCTCGAAAATCCTACTCTGCATCTCACTAGGAAGAGCCGAGTAGACAGGCAAAATGATCAATTCGGGAACACTAGGCCCTAGCGCTTTCATTCGTTCATATAAGATTTCGCAGGCAGTATCGATCTCTTCTTGACCAGTTAAGAATAATAAAATGTCTCCAGCGGGTTCCGTCAAGTGTATCTGCATAACTGTGACTAAAGCCGCATCCAAATAGTCCGATTCTGGTTCTCTCGAGTACATGATTTCCACAGGGTAGGTTCGTCCCGGAATCGAGAAGATGGGACACATGTTGAAATATTCCGAGAATTTATCGGCGTCTAGGGTTGCTGAAGTAACGATGATCTTCAAGTCAGGTCGTCGTTGAATGGTCTTTTTGAGAAGGCCGAAAAGAACATCAGTACTGATGGTTCGCTCGTGAGCCTCGTCAAGCATGATAACAGAATATTTCTTCAAGTCAGGGTCAAGAAGAATCTCTCTCTGGAGGATACCATCTGTCATATATTTGATCTTTGTCTCGGGGCTAGTGCAGTCTTCAAATCGGATGGTGTATCCAACTTCTGCACCTAACCGACAACCGACTTCCTCAGATACACGTTTCGCGACGGACACTGCGGCTACACGTCGGGGTTGAGTACAGCCAATGATGCCGTTATTTGCAAATCCGCCCTCGGCAAGATATTGTGTTAGCTGCGTAGTTTTACCAGACCCAGTATCGCCAACAACGATTAGGAGCTGATTTTCCGTCACGGCCTCTAGTAACTGTTTGCGGAATTTGAAAACAGGAAGACTTTCACGTTGTTGTTTCATCGTCATGTTTGTCCTCTTCCCATAAGACTGGTCTTTACTCTGCGTTACTCTTTTCCATTCAGGTAATGTATCAGTTGTTTTGGTGACTTGGGCATTCCGCAGATCTGCAGCGAACTTCCTTTCTTCCGGTGCTACCATAGGATCATGCCACTGAGCATTGAGGTCAACTCCGGCAGCCTGCTCAGCAGCCTTGTCCTGAGCCTCTTGTTGGCGTAACTCTCTTCTCTCCTTGGCCAAATTTGTACCGGCCATAGCAGCGCGGTTAAGTGAGCCATCTGGAGCCTTAACGACACGAATCGGGGAGAGTTCAAGGGATTGTTTCGTTTGGCCAGCTAGGAACGGAGGTTCTTCGTCTCTAACTTCAATATCAACATCCTCTTCCTCCTCGAAATCCCCTTCTCCGGTAAGGGTGGCATGGTATTCTTCGTCGATATCTGGGTAATCGGCAGCGGAAACGGCACCAGACGCAATTAATTGCTTTATCTCCCATCTTTCCGGAGAATTTAAGCGCTTTCGGTTTTTCAATGGTCTGCCATCATCATCCTCGATGATGGGAACAGGGGTGCTCAGATTCCCGTACCGGTCGTCTGAACCAGTTCCATTGAGTCGTTCCATATTGGCACCGGAAGCAAGGCGTTTTTGTGGCGCGAGATCGCGACCAGTACCTTGATCAACCTCCTTCATAGATAATCCTATCCGGCTCCCCTGTATAGTGATAACCTTCACCTTAACGGGTTGGCCCTTGGAGACAAGGTCAGATGGGTGGTTAACTCGTGCACCGGCTTGCATAGCAGATACGTGTACAAGTCCATCAACTTTCCCCTTGACGCCCAAGAGGTTCACAAATGCACCGAAGTCCTTTATCCCTGTGACCCTCCCATCGTAGATCTTGAAGAGAATAGGTTGGTCATCGAGTTCAGGGGTCGGAGGCCGTTTGAAGAATTCCTCATCATCGTGATCCCGCCGTCTTCTGTTTTCGCCAAAACCATTATTGTATCTGTCGTCTCTAGCCCTGTGTTTCGAAGTTCTGCCAAATTCATCCAGACCCTCCTGTTTTCGCCGTGTCCTTTCTGCGCTCTGTGATCTAGACCTCGACCGGTACCTGTCCCTCCACGATATGTCCCCATCGTATTCGTCACCACCGGGGCTCCTGCTTCTCTTCCTGGTATTCACTGCGCTTTTACGCTCTCTTGCTTTCCCCGCCAAACCTTCCAACATCGCAAAAGTATCATCCATAGCGCCCGCAGTCGCATCATGCGTCGAAGAGGGTTCCACAGGTGTAGCGGCATCACCTCCATCATCCTCCCACTGCGGCACTTTATCAGGGACCGCTAGACCTTTGAAGACACGCGCTTTCTTTTCAACTTCGTCCAACCCTTCACTGTTTCCATTCTGTCCGGTGCCCTTTGCGGACTCCTTTTTACCCTTGAACTTTGGGTGTAGCGTCAACACCAGGCGATCTATACTCTCGATCAAGCTCTGTGGGAAATCGGCTCCGATGTCATCGAGAATACTTCTAAATTCTGCAAGCGAACTGCATTTCAAATGTTGGTCGATCACGAACTCGGCGAGGGTTTTGTCGTTAACTCCGAGATGGTTTTGGAGCTCAGTGGTGACTTTTGAGACAAGGGAAAAGAGCTCCAAGGACTCAAGATCATCCATGCTGACGCAAGGACTCAAGAGGTTTTGATTCAAAATGTCTTTGAGCAGAGTAGAAAGCGGGTAGAAATCACTACCTTGCTGCTCTTTTCTAGCCCCGTAAAGTCGATTGCGGCGGAACATTGTTGTTGCGATCTCCGATTCTTAGTTTTATTGCCACCTAAAGCGCTAAGTTCATTTCTTTTGAGATGTGCTATGTACTGTGCATGCCACAGCTCATATACCTGATGAAAACTTCATTCGGTTTATTAAATATTCTGCCCAGCGAATTTGTAACGTGGAGTTTTGCTACATGAGGTGGAATTTCAATCTATAGGAGGAAGGAGGGCTATGCAGGATTGAAAGCAAGTGTCAACTTTCAAACTCCATAATTTCAATTCTGACTTGGGTATACATGTCGTCCGGCAATTAACTATGTGAAAGTGAAAAAAATTCCATACACTATCATATGCAATATGTGAAACTGGCCTTTCCGATCGCGAATGTGGAGTGTCGCAGAACTCCCAAAAATGAATCCCAGAATTATTGTACAGATGGATGGTAATGCAACAGTGCGCCAATAAGCAGAAGACAGGGAAAATAAGATATCTATCAGTGTTAAAAAAATGACGAAGGGAACAATAGGAAAATTTTGCAGAAATTCTATAGCAGTGGTTTGGTGGATCGCTAAGGAGAAGCAGGGGATATCGTTAAGGCATGTCATTTTGTTGTTTGGAGATGGGAAGGGGTTGCCCGGACGGTATTCAGGGATCACAAATCGTAGAACGAGATTGAAAGTGAGTCCTGTCGTGATATGGATATGAAATGGGATAGTTCCTCAGAGCAATAATTGCCGATGGGGTGGGACTCTACCGAGTTGAATCATGTGGCTTTTATAACGTTATTGCATGTATGTATCTGCAAATGTTGGCGGAGCGACCAAGGTAAGGTATCTAGAAGGCTGAATTGTTAAGATTCAATGTCGCTGCGTTTTGCTGGTCCTGAAAACTGGCATCTTTGAGGGTGGACCCTTGCATTTGGAGGTCGATCCGCAAACGGGCAAAAGAGCGAGGGCAGTTGGGAATAGGATAAATACGATATCCAGCCTGCGAACTACCCGTATTCGTTTCTAGGAAATCGCAGACGAAGCTCCCAATAATTCTTTCTGTTTGGGCATATCATCCCACACTTCTGCTGCCGGAATGTTTTCGAGATCGATATCCACGCCTTCAGATTCATCAGCAAATGCTTTTTCCCGCATTTCCGTCTGAAGTTTCAAAGCATATAGTCTCCTAAGCGAAGTAGCTTTCCGTAGTTGTCGATTTGCCGAAAATTCAGTCAAGGCTCTATCCATTTTTATTTCAGTTAACGCTTTGACATGGGTAGCAAGCGCTCGGTTGGTAAAAACGCCTCCGCATCTGTAGCTTAACCAAAGGTAGAGGACTAGGGATCGATGTAGGGTTTCAAGAGTGGCGAGATAGCTTTTGTCGCCTGAAACTGGTTTATCAAGAATATCAATGGGCAAGTCGCCAATTTCGAGAAGGTCGCCGCTCCTATTCTCCGCCACACAGCGCACAAATTCCTTGAAAATAGTACTCATCTGAGGATCTCTCATGTGAGTTGGCGCCGAGAGAAAAACGAGTTTGTCATCCATGCTAAGCCCTTTTACGCTGTCAATTGCTTCTGCAGCCTCAGCATGGCTTTGGCAATCGTTAAGGAAAAAGTTGGGATCCACTTGCGCTATGTTGTGCAAGCGTTGTAGGATATATGCGAAGGGAGTGTTAGCCGGGAAGTGCTCTGAAAAGCCTTTAATAATATAATCTGGAGGTAACAACCCAGCGGATAGGATTGGCTCTGGTTCGGTGTTCAAGGCTTTCCGAATGTAAGGGAGGTCCACATCTTCGAGGGAGGTCACAAATCCAACATTTGTCTCTGCGTTCTTGGCTGAGTCGGCTACTCTGGACCCTTTTACGTTCCTCGAATCTGTTGCTGAACGATATCGACCGGCACGACCTCCAATTTGTTTAACCTGCGATACGGAAAGCCGAGTCAACCCTGTTGGTAATTTTCGTACCACCGACTCGAAAATAATTCGTTTGCAGCTCCTTAATAGAATGTGAGTAAACAGTCAAAAAAATCAAAATGAAAGAAAAGGGTATTTACAAGTTAAGGCCCATGCCAATAGCATCACTGGCAACAAGAAAATCGTAGTCGTTGTTCGGATCGTTAAATAAGTCTGCTTGCTGTGACCGAATTTCCGCGGGTAAGCTGCCGTAAACAATGGCAGCCCTCCGCCCAGTTGCCTTTTCGATATCTTGTTTCAAGCCATGAATGCCGATACGGGAAAACGCAACGACGCAATCCCCTTTTTGAAGATTTGATAAGTTCCCCTTCAGACTTCTATTCATGGCTTTCAATGGGTTGAGCCGCTCGTAGTGATGAATCTCAAGCTTATCCCCCATCAAGCCAGCTAAATCGCGAATCAGTGGTACAACCCTTTCTTCTCCACAAAGATGCAGCTCGTGGGCCCGCGCGCCTAGCAATGCCCGTGTCCAAGCCCAACCTCTATGAGGGTCCGCAATCATTTGGATTTCGTCAATAACCCCGACTTCAACATCTTGCCCTAAAGGAACCATTTCGACGGTATTGCTGAATATTCCCGGAACTTGATCCTGTGAGATCCTAACCTCATCACCAGTTACGAGGCCACATGGTATCCCTTTTGCATTGAGACGAGTATAGATTTCATGAGCGAGAAGCCTCAGGGGCCCGGCATAAAATCCAGTCTTGGCCGTTTCGAGTCGTTTTAATGCACGATAGGTTTTGCCCGAGTTGGTCGGGCCGACGTGAAGATGGATAGTGCGATGCAGGCTGCGAGCAGCTGGGTACCATTCTGTTGGATTGCGCAGGTCTGCTAACGCCCTCTGTGCATTGAGGTTTGAAGAGAATGTGACATCATAGTTGTAAATTTTGAACTCTCGTTTCAGCGTTTTGGTCAATTCTGCCGCCCCTGAATCGATGAAAGCTCGTTCAAGTCTTGTTCTGAAGTTGATGGCCTCCGAGTCCTCTGCGTTCAGATGAGACAGATTTTCATCCTTAACAGCCCGTGTTACGAATTCCTCAAATTTCGCCCACCGAATCGGGACGTGACCTTGTCGTTCGAACCCAAGCCGAACCGCAGACGCAGCGGTTAGAACCACCGATGCCAAGTTCCCAGCTTTTGCCGTCGCTGAGCGCCTTGCATTCCGTCCCCGAATGTGCGGTGGGAGTCTCGTTTGCGTCTGCTAGATGGAAAGAAGTGTTAGCCGGGGTTTAGTAATGGTTTTCGTTTGAAGTAAACCCGTACTTTTTCTGACACCGTCGAACCAGTGATTGTGGGTTCTATAGCCTGCGACCTTGATGCCGTTTCTTGTTTTTTGGCTTTATTTTTTGACCTTTGCCATGCAGAAGTTGTGTTGAAAGTCCGGCCCAACGTCAAAACTACAGGTTTGAAGGCACCAAGGAGGTATTGGCCTTTTGGCGTCGGCGTCCGCCATACTTGCATGCTCGAAATGCGAAAGATAGGCAACCCGCCAGAAGTGGGATTTGCGTTTTCCTAACAATAATACTCAAATAATTGCTGTTGCAAGCCCGAACGGCAAAGCATGGAGATGTATCAATCCATCTACCCTGGAGTTTAAAAAAATCTACGGAATGGAAAAACAGGGGTTCCGAGACGCGCCTCAACTCCGCAGCCATGTTTGCTGGTGGGGCATTGAACGCATTCTGTTGCGGCCTCCTTCTTACTAGTAGGTTTGAACTTTGCGACATATATTGTCGTGGAAATATTTTATAATTTTGGTCCATCTGGTGCCAACACTGTCGGGCCCGGTGCCCATGCTTCGCGCTCGCTGACCCAGACAGAATGGACTCCTCCTTGATTGAGATCCAGCGCAGAGGTAGGCAGCTTGCTCCCTTACCGGGAATCCTTTGGTATCTGCTATATTTCGCTAACCTCATTTCTCTTAGCTATCCTGGACACTATTCGCTTTACTGGTGGCAGAGACGTGAGCGACTCCTCGTTTCTCCTCCCACAAGAAGAGTCTTTATTGACCGGGCATTGGTTTGTAGTGGAAAGTCCTTGTGTTGGACGAAGGTAGCAAGAAGCTCATCGATAATGCAGTTAAGGAAGATGATATCTTGAAAGAGAATGTTACGAGTAAGCATTCCGGCCTGTAGTTTTTAACGTTAATGGGCTTTGCGCTGAGAGCTGGAAGATGTTGAGCAAATAGAAGCCCGACGTCCCATGAATAAGGACCTGGATGCCGTTTATATACTGTCGCCGTTGCCCCATATCGTGGACTGTGTTATGGCAGATTTCGAGCGCCGGCGGTACAAGAAATCATTTTTGGTTTGGATTTCAAGTCAGCCTGTTGCAAGCCGGGACTTAGCAAATGCGTTCTAACAGTGGATATAGATCTCGACCCTCAGCTGCGCCACAGGATAGAAAAATCACCCATGGCTCGAGATCAAATCGCTGACTTCCGTGTTATGAATATTAATTTTTTCCCGAGAGAATCCCATGTCGCTATATTCAGGGACCCTTGGAGCTTTCCGACCCTCTTTCACCCTGCCTGCAACAATTTGATCAGGCCTCATCTTGACGATTTGGCACAAAAGGTTAGTGCCTTTCTAGAGAAGATCTTTTCGACACAGAATTAATATACGAACCACTTAGATTGTATCGATATGTGTTTCACTTGGCGAGTACCCGATAGTCCGATATTATCGGCCGAAAACTCCAATACACGAAGCAAGTGTCCTCTGCTCTCATCTAGCGCGGTTTGTGCAAGATCAGCTGGATGAATACGCAAAACATCACGATGATTACCCCCCGCCCTCGCCGCGACCGCGTGGAGTACTATATATCTTAGATCGATCAATGGATATCTACGCCCCTTTACTTCATGAATTTACATATCAAGCTATGGCCCATGATCTACTACCTATAAAGGAAGGAGATAAAGTAACCTACAAAACTACACTAAACGAGGGACAACCAAATGAGGAAGTTAAGGAAATGGAGATAAGTGAACATGATAGAATTTGGATTGACAGCAGGCATTTGCACATGAAGGATCTTCTGGGGAAGCTCGTTGATGATTTCAATAAATTCCGAGCGGATAACCCCCAGTTCAACGAGAGGTGAGTTACAACCTTAGCTAGCTCCTTACTATACGCTGCGTCGCTCTTACTTACGTGGATTTAAATTCGAAGTGGGGCTACTGCAAACCTCAACACTGTTAAAGACATGATTGCTGGGTTGTCGGAATTTACAGAGGGAAAAAACGCATATACGCTACATCTTAATATGGCACAGGAGTGTATGAGGCTGTTTCAGGAGCGGAAATTAGTGGAAGTTGCTTCTGTTGAGCAGGTACAAGTTCACCCCCTTTTGTTTGAACATTTTAATAATTGTCTTCGCCGGCTAACTTGCAGTAGTCACTTTCCACAGGTTTGGACGAAGATTACCGGAAACCTAAACATATTGCCGATCAGCTAGTTCGCCTATTAGACGAAGATTGCGTTGGACCGTCAGAACGCCTGAGGTTAATTCTTCTTTATTTGCTCTACAGGGATGGACTTCTGCCAGGCGATATAAAAAAGCTCCTTGCTCACTCCCAGCTTCCACCACAGGATGGTGAGGTCATATATAACCTCGACCTATTGGGCGCAAGAGTAGAAAAGCCGCTTAAGGACTTGAAACCAAAACCCGAGCCTTTATTTCCCCGAAAAGTTCCCACTCAAACGACAGAAGATGACACGAGCCTTTCTCGATTTCAGCCTAACCTGAAATTCTTACTGGAAGAACAGAACAAAGGAACTTTAGACACTACAATTTTCCCATATACTCGGCCCCACCTCGACCCAGACGGCACAATAGGTCAAGATAATGCTTCCCAGGCATCTCTTCGAAGTGCAAAACCAACCTGGGCCCGAACCCGGCCATCGGCAGCGGAGCCCCGCCAAAGAATCATTCTCTTCATGGCCGGCGGTGCGACGTTTTCTGAGGCTCGTGCTTGCTATGAATTCGCTAGAATCTCTTCTAAAGACATATACCTAGCTACATCTCATATGCTCACACCGAAACTCTTTTTACGTCAACTTGGAGATCTCAGCGTCGACAAACGCCGATTGGATCTCCCCGCGGATCGTCCTGCACCAAAGGCCCCTGCACACCTCTTTGAGAAACCCGCACCGCAGCAGCCTCCAGTTCCTCCGACTGGTGGGCTAGCTTCTATGACTATTAGCTCCAGAGATGCTCCGCACAGATCACCGAACGGTGCTGCAGGCCAACCGCTGAAACCTGCCGTACTACCGGTTGCATCCAGTCACAAATTAGGGAAAAAAGAGAAGGAGAAAGACAAGGAGAAGGAGAAGGAGAAGAAGAAGCGAAATTTCTTTAAGTAATTAGAGGAAAAACAATATCCCATTTACTAGAGATACTTTTCGTTGCCCTCTCTATGATACTCCGAATGCCTGCTCGCCGGACGACTTCTAAGTGTTTTCTTCTTTAATTTTTATCCCCTTCCTAAATCCATTCAGCATAGAACTGGCGCGGGTCCATCAGGTGGGAGTTAATGTGTATTTCATCCCTGATTTTTTCAATGTAAAATCCTTAGTTAAATCAATAGTACTGTGATGTTGAACAGGAGCTCGCTACAAAGTAGTTTTGATAACGATGTCCCTTCGAAGGGAGCAGTTTTATAGTATATTCTCGACCCTTTATCTCACAATGCGCCTTTTAATCATACAGCTGGGACCCTAGCCAAACCAAAGCAAGCTAGAAAAAAAACAAAGTGGTATCAATATAATACAAATGAGAACATCATACAACCCTCACATCCCATCATATTATAGTGTCCTCATACACATAAATGCAATTAACTCCCCAAATACTTCTCAATATCGTAGCTCGCATAAAACATCTCCCTCAATTTTTCTCCCTTCTTCTTGCCCTCCACCTCCATCTTCCTCACCTGCTTTGCATTCAGCTTCTCCACCCTTGTCCTCGCCTGCTTCGCCTTCTCTGGTTGCTTAACGCCTAGGCCAAGGGTATCGTGCTTTACCCTAGGTTTCAGAGGCACCGCGATACCCTGGCCCTGAGGGCCTAGGCCCAGACGCGAATCTGGATCCCAGCCTTGTGCTGAAAGATACTTAAAGCCTGTTCGTGTGCGGTCGATGGCGGAAGGCGGGTGAGAGTGCGGGAGGCAAACTTGGTGCGCAAGCGTGGCCTCATGGGGATTCGAGGTATATTTTGCCATCTGGCTGGAGGAGGAAGAGGAATCTAGAGACGGAGAAGGGAACGGTGGAAGCGGTAGGTCACAAATTTCGCAGGTTGGTTTGGTGGATATGGATGTGGTGGTTGAGGTTGTTTGGTGAAGTTTCGACTTCCCAACGTCTGATGAGGAAGAAAGGACGATTGATAGGTACCTGTCGCCGATCGAAAAAGTATTCGGTGTGCTGAAGCTGGATGTCTCTTGTGGTGAGGAGGATATAGCACTGGCAGATGTTTCGCTAGAGGGGATGAAATGGACTCGTTTCCTCTTGATACCGGCTCCAAAGACTCGCTGGCCTTCGAGAGAGACGAAGTATTCATCATCGTCGTATGACATTTTCAGCCATTTATCGTTTATATTCTCCCCTCCCCCCAATTCCTGGACCAAAAAGTCGTCACAGTGGAGAGTTGCACTTCGGTGGCGTTGGCAGATCGACGATGGATGCGCGCTAACTAATTAGCGCGCGAATGGACTGCTGACGTAATATTCTAACCAACAGATGACGAGGAGTTAAATTCAAACGCTGTAGCCAGGCATGAGCTTCTCCCCTCCCGGGGCCGTTACCATAGCTGGAGACGTATTCCATAATGCCGGTCCCTCTCCTGGCACACTGGGTGGTCGATGGTATCTCGAGCATCCCATATGCAGTCCCAACGTTGAAGACGGCCCCGGCGGTCGCCCTCATCGTCCTGTTGAAACGCTACTTTGGAGGCGCAAGGAATACTTCGGAGCGTCTGATGCACTCTAAAGTAGTCATGATAACAGTATGCCAATGCATTTATCCTCAAAGCCAATTTTTACACCCATCTTATATTTTTGCTTCTAGGGCGGTACATCAGGAATTGGAGCTGCAATTGCACAAAGCCTAGCTTCCCAAGGCGCGCAGCTCATTCTTCTCACACGACATGCGCCCTCTGATCCTTTCCTTGTTGACTACATTGACGACCTCCGGAACGCTACTGGTAACCAGCTCATCTATGCCGAGCAAGTTGATCTTTCGTCTTTACATTCCATACGAACCTTTGCTACAAAGTGGATTGATAATGCTCCACCTCGGCGACTGGATATGGTTATCCTCTGTGCCAATACTATAAAACCCTCCCACGCAAACCCTCGAACGACTATAGATTGCTTAGATGAGGAGTGGCAGATCAATTACCTTGCCAATTACCACCTCCTCAGTATTTTAAGCCCTGCACTGCGCGCCCAACCCGCAGATCGAGATGTCAGAGTGATAATCGGAACTTGCTCAAGCTACATTGGCGCAAAATTGGACTTGAAAACCCTCGAATATAGGACCATGCGTACGGCTTCTTCCAATCATACGTCTTCTAAAGCGTCAGCGCGCAATTCGAAACCTGTCAATGGGATAATAAACAATAAAACCGGTAGCAATACTAAAGCAGATCAAAATGGCCTATATGCAACATCGAAACTCGCTCTAATGATCTTTGCTAAGTCCTTCCAATCCCATCTTTCCGCATTTAATAGACCAGATAAACAGCCCTGCAATGCCCGCGTTCTCGTTGTGGATCCGGGCTTTTCGCGTACCCCCGGCACACGACGCTGGATAACAGGTGGTTCATTATTAGGTCTTCTCATCTACCTGATAACATGGCCCATTTGGTGGCTTGTTTTAAAATCTCCACAGCAAGGGTCACAAAGCTTTTTGATGGCTGCAATGGACATTGTACTTGGAGCTCCCGCAGCGAATATTGGTGGAGTCGGGGTTAGTGCTGGCCTCGCTGGAGGGAAACTAATCAAGGAATGCAAGGAACGGGATATCGTGCGCAAAGAGGTTACGGATGAGAAGATAGCGAAGGAATTGTGGGAACTGAGTTCTCGCCAGATTGAGCAGAGGGAGAAAGAGGGTGCTATTCTCCGTGCACTTGAGAAGAAGGAACGGGAGGCTTTGGATACTGAATGAAAGCGAGCGAATTCCACTTTTGGAGTGGATGGTGGAGGTGGAGCAGGCTCGGATCCGGGAAACAGAAACAAACAGCAGACCCCCGGGTCGAGAAGGAGTAGGAAAGCAAAATAGGAAACTCAGAGGGCTGGCTTTGAGTAACCTCATTTTGGGAAGATTCGATATGTAAGGAGTTCTGCGGCGACGGAATACAAGCATATAATAGCGGTTTATTGTTAAGGCGGGCTGGATGTGTTCCAATGCCATAAAATCAGCTTTTTTAAATATATATATATATATATAATTGGAGGCAAGATTAATATAATAATAAGTGGTTTGTTGCCTGATTAAAAGGGTAGCCAATAAGAAACCATTTGTAGAGGTATGAATCTTCCCTCTCACAGGTTTGATCCACTTGGGAACTATATCGAGATGGATGAGAAAGCAAGGAGCAGTCCAATCGCTGCAGAGAGATGGAAAAGCAGTATAAATATGATAGCATAATGTGTGAAAGAAGACCAAAGATTAAAATTAGTTGGGGATTTGTTGCAGCACAATATATCTGTAAATACATATAAAAATTCAATATTTCAAGATTCAACTAGAGACAGTGCTACAAATAGAGAGAAGCAAGCAAGAAAAAAACTGAAAAGTGAAATAAACTAAAGTAAAAAAGATGGGAATAAGCGTATATGATTCTTATGGAGTTTGTCTTATATCAGATGATTCTCTGCTAGTTATACATAGCTTCTTCTTCTAAGGATTAAACCCCTATAGGCGTTTTTACAATGAAAATGCATTAAAATATACCTTGTTAACATCCACATATTTTCATATAAAGGTTACCGTGATGGCTGGTAATTTTTTTATTCAATTTGGCTGCTGATGGTTTTGAAAAATGAAAATAAGACTAGATCATTTACTACTTATCATAAATGAGGTGCGATTTTCTTTCTTTTCTGTTATCTCAGCGTCTATTGTGTTGTACACAACTGCAACACGGAGGACTCTACACGCTTCATCAAAAAACCGATTTTGGAGTTCACTGGACGTTTGCAATGTTTTGCCATTCTCCTATGTAACTAGGGCTGGTAATAGCAAGAGAAGGGGGTACATCGGATTTTTTCACCAAAGTGCTTAAGGAAGAAGTTAGATTGCCTTTTTATTCACCCCAGTTTCTACTTCTTAACAAAATAATTGCTATCTTAACCTCACATGCAGAGAAAGTCCCTGGGCTGAATATCAACCACGTCTATCCTAACGAAAAGAAAGAAAATATAGTCATACGATTTGCCACACATAGCTCTCTCCAAAGTGACGAGACGAGCGGTATACAAAGAGCAAAAGAAAATGGAAGTTGTTTATCATTTAAAACTTCCTAGTTAAGCAAAAAAATTCAATTTACTTTCCCTCCTTCAACTTATCCAGCAGATCCTGCGGCGGCTGCTGCCTATATCCTGCCGGATTATTCTTCGTCCATCGCCACAAATCTTCACATGCCTCCTCTAGCGTTCTAGTCGCTTTCCAACCAAGCTCGCGGTTCGCGCGGCTTGGATTACCGGTGAGGTCCAGCACATCACCAGCGCGACGGCCAACAACTTCGTAAGGGAGATCGCGGCCCACCGCGGCACTGAAAGCTTTGATCATGTGGAAAACGGTACTTCCCTTGCCAGTGCCAAGGTTCCAGGCGCGCACACCAGGATGGTTTGCGCGCAGGTAATTGAGGGCTTGGAGATGGCCAGCGGCCAAGTCGAGGATGTGGATGTAATCGCGGATTGCTGTGCCGTCATGGGAGGCGTAGTCTGTAAGTTGTTGCAGTTAGTGGCAGCTTGGCAGTTACGAAATGGAATTGTATATCCGCTCAAGGGAGCGAGTAAGTTAAATTCAGATATTGGGGGCACTAACCATCCCCATATACAAGGAGCTTCTCTCTCTTTCCTGTGGCTACCTGTGCCAAGAGTGGTAGCAAGTTATAGGGCACCCCCTGGGGATCCTCTCCCATGATTCCGCTTGGGTGTGCTCCTGCGGGGTTGAAATATCTCAACAGGGCGCCATTCCATTTCTCAGCCTCCTGTAACTTTCCTGCCTTGATTGCATTGTTTCGCTCTGCGTTGATGAAGTCCGTAATCGCGGTCTCAACAACGAATTTGGTGTTTCCGTATGGGTTGGTTGGGCCAAGGGGGCACTCCTCAGGAATAGGTATCATATTAGGAAATCGGGTAGCGTCACCATATACGGTGGCGGAGCTAGAGAAGACAATGTTGGTAACATTGTGTCGCTTCATAGCGCGCAGGAGGCATATCGATCCGTAAACGTTGACGTAGTAGTAGTCAAGTGGCTTTTCGCCAGATTCGCCAACGGCCTATTTCGGAAATCAGAAACGTAAGCAAGATACCCAATTATAAGGGTTAGAAAACGTAAAGGTACAACCGGTAGCTAGATATTTCATTTTCTCTTTTACATACTTTAAGTGCCGCAAAGTGGATGACGCTGTCGATGTCTGGGTATTGCTCAAAGGCACGGTCTAGATCCGCCTCATTCGTGATATCAATCTTGACAAAGCCTGGGCGTCTGCCGCAGATCAACTCGATGCGATTGATGGCTTCGTCGGAGGAATTGTACAAGTTATCTGCGATGACGACTTTGTATCCGGCTTCGAGTAGGGCCAGGGCAGTAAAGGAGCCTATGTAACCGGTTCCGCTGGGTTTCACGGCACCTGGGTAAGCAACTGGAACAAATAGCCAGGGAAGATTCATGGGGACGAAGGAGGTTACCCAGTAACAAGAACACTGCCAACAGCCATAATTTGGGCAGTGACGAGGGTGCTTAAGATTTATATGGGGGTATCTGATGGGGTGGTAGCGCTTGGCAGCCTTGTAATGTGAAGGAGCTTAAAGGAAACGGGGAGATAGTTGAAAATACGATTCAAACATATAATTATCAAGTGATACAATCCTCATTGGATATTCTGTGATCGTTGAAGAGAAATAGAAACAGAGCGTAGTCGGGGAGGGTTGTTGTGTGGGCATGGAGGGGTAATTATGTTGTTGCGTGGTGAAGCTCCAAGCCGGTTTCTCGCTGATCGCCGATCCCACCAAAACCGCCCATATTCGCATCATTGTCCTTTACACAGTACTAGTACTTAACGCAGTCGTTGGCTGACTTATGTACTCCAATCGAAATATCGGCATGATCCCTTTATTCTCGCCCTTGCAAACTAGGTACCTAGTAAGCTGGTTTGTGGAATTTACGCAATCAATTTGCGATGGCTAATTCACTAACTACCGAAGATATTACGTAGGTCAATCAATATCTTTGACGATATACATAAATTTATAACGTTCAACTATTTTGATATAACGAGACGACTTGACCAACTAGAATCCGGTTTAATATTTCCTGCAATACATTACGGCAAGCAATGGATGATCGGCAAATTCCCATTCGAATCGCCAAATCTTCGGGCGGTTGGTGGGGAAAGTGTTTGTGTCCATTGGCTGGCCGAATGAAAACACGGGCACGGGAATCTCGGTGGTGGTCCTTTCGGATGGGATCCTAGGAACGGAAAGTGGGCAATTGGTCCGGCAGACAAACAAAACCACCGTCACATCCAGCGACTTGTCCCGGAGAGCGCACAGATAGATCGAGACTTCCGCCTCACCCAAATTCCAAAACTCAGCGTCTCCAAGTGGACGAAATAAAGTTATTTTAAGTTGAGACTAGTGCCAAATAAGCTAGTTATTCTGACTTGAGGTGAGGCTTGGGCCAGGGACAACTTTATGTCAACAACATCAACAACTTGCATTGATTTCTTTACATCGCTGAGATATCACAGCTAGAAGTCTATCAGCATAACATACTGAGACAACATACATACTATTATGGACAATGTCTTTTAGTTTTTGTGCTTCCCTAAGATTTTATTTAGTTGAATGAAAGCTCCTCTTGCTTCTCGTCTTCAGGTTTTTGAGGAATGAATTGATGAAAGAAACTACAAACTCTTGTTTTCGCGATTCTACAGGATTGCTGTCTTTTCTTAATCACTATCTAGCAATCTTGTTGAACCGCTATTTGCTTCCAAATTATTTCATTTCAAGAACTATGCCTTGAAAGCTTCTTCTCTTGCTATTCCCTCTACCGTACTACTTATTCCATTTCAGGGGAAGTCAATGATATATCAATATCTACTAGTATTTAGTATTTTATACTAATAATGCTCCGATATTAAAAACAATAACCCCGCGGCTACAGCGCGGTGTCGATAGCAGTATCGTATCCACCTCTGATGCTTGGGTTTGTGGAACACGGTTGTCAGATCTCAATTTCTTCTGAGAGCTGAAAAAACCCGATCCGTACTGTTTCCGTAATAGGCAATATAACTCCATAGCCCCAAGCAACGTAGTGATAGATATCGCCAGGAACTGGTTGAAATCCGCGACGCAAAAGGGTGAAGACGACCACCAATAACCCAGCCCCTCACTTTTCGAACCGGACGACCAACCCACCCAAGCGACCAGGCAACAGCGGGCCTTTCCCAAATAGTCTAGCCTCTTCATTCACCATTCTCTCCATACAAAGAGTTAAATATGTCCGAAAAGTCCCTACCAAACAACGAGGAAGGGGGCTGTGGCGCACTGGTTAAGAGGGGTACTTGACACAGTCGTACCTGGCACTTCAAGGTTCCAATAGTCCCCCTTAAGTGGCCACTTGTGGTCATCCTACCGTGACCCTGGTCGCGGGTTCGAGGCTAGCCCGCGCTAAACAGTAGGTTTGCGGGAGTTTCAGCGGATCCGTGCTCAATGAGGAGCCAGTGTTTAGTATACTTCTGCTATGGCTGGCTTCGCCATAATGCTCTACTAATTTTTTTTTTCCTTTGGAGGTACCTGCTGCATGATTGGGACATAGATTATGGGATGGTAGTTTTAGTGTGGTCATTAGTTTTTTTTTTTTTTTTTTTTTTTTCTCCCTAAGGCCCTCAACCGCTCAATAACACACCAGACACCGCCTTCCAATTTCACCCCGCGACCTCAGCTTCTCAACCCCTATTCTTCTTATTACTTAGCATGACATTCCAATGACTCCCTCTTCAAGTTCGCCTCGTTACATTTATTTCACCACGTTACACTCCTACTGTTCAAACCCAGCCTACAACGATTTTGGCATAGCATTTTATTCATTTGAATGTGCTCCTCTTGCTGAATTCAATAGAATTACACAGAATCTCGTCAATTCGTTTTTGTGAAATTCGATCATTCCGAGTTACCATGGGCTTTCTCATACTCACTATTACATATTCCGTAGGTCTCTCTTATAGACAGAGCAACTGATAATGTATCAGCGCGGAATCAACATGTCCCCCTTGACTAACCGATCTTAAATTGAAAGTCAGCTATGTATACATGGCACTGCTTATATTCGCCACTCTAGTTGACAGTGTTCGGGGATAATAGCGAAGCTGTGAACAGACTATGTATCTAGCAATATTCCTTTTTTTTTTCTTCTCCCTTCTCACTAGATGTAGAGGGAAAACCTAAATCCCTCAATAAAGTAAAAGGTTCTGGCAGCTGATCAGCATCATTCAAATACCCCTCCCTCCTTTTGCGGATAGACTGAGACAATGGTTTTTAGATTTCGGAATGTCATGAAAGTAAGTAAAGACAGAAAGAAACGTCAAGGTGGAATAACATGACGAGGGAAACGAGGTGCTCGAGTTATGATAATAATAATAATAACAATGAAAGAATATATAAAGCCAAAACGCATTGCGGGTGATGCGAGGATTCTTTTTGTTGGAGCCTGAGGGCAGACAAATCAACACATGATATGGACGATAGTTCAGCGGCCATAAAGGTTAGTTATGATAACGGAAGAGGAATCCATGAAAACAGTGCATATAATCGGACTAGTAAAGAGGAAAGAAACGACTAAAATAGGACGCAGTTGGTATCTTTGCCGCGACATACTATTTACAGGATTAATTGCACATGATGGGAAGCCATTTTCAACTCTCTCATCCTAAACTGCATCCCCTTATTGAATAAAGAATGGAAAGGAAAGTAGAATATTGTATGAAGGTGGCTCAAATACGTCATGGATGTATTCGCGTTAGCAATAAATTTTTCAATATCCGTGATGAGTTTGCGTAACTTCCACTGTTATGCTTCTGCCAAGTATGTTATTTTGAGGACCGGCCCGCGGAATAGTTTGACAAGGGTTAAAATATAGACGATCAAAAGGAGGAATGTATCATCATAGCTGGAAGACCGAAATTCTCCCGTAAGTATACATGTGGCTGGCTATACTTTTATCCCAAGAGTTCAACGTCGAGCCCGATGGCACGCATGAAGAGATTGACATTACCAAGGCGTTGGCTGGCCATGTCCGCCGGAAGAGTTTTGCTTTGAGCGACAGTTTCCATAACTCGATCCCTAAAACGACAAACAAAATCAGCAAAGAGTCCAAATAAAAAGGTATTGAATGCGTCCTAAAGGTCACTCACTTGACAGCAATAACCAAGCGTTGCTGTTGTTCTGGGCTGGCGCCTATACCTACAGCAGCTAAGAACTGCCACACGTACATATCATCTCCACTGTTGATAGTTCCAGGGAAAATGTCGCCAAAGACTGGCTCTAGTCGGTCAAACAGCGTGTTATAGAGCTCCGTCCACGGCTTCCATTGTTCGTCCTCCACGCCGCCAGCTTCTTTAACCAGTTCCGCTCGGCTAAGCAACATGGTCAAAACCCCAAGTCCGACTCGAGTCTTTGCCACTGTTTGAACGTGGGTTTGCCCAATGACAAGACCCAATAGGCCAGTGATAATATTAATTGGCGCCTCGTTAACGTAGCCAAGTAGGCTGGGCATGACAGCATGTGAAAACAGGTCGACTTCTTCCCGAACAGGCAGAGGTGGCTGAGATTCACCAGACTGAAGTTGTGCACGCTGGACAACATCCAACGAATCGAGATGGACAATAATCATGGTGAGGATGGTGACACGTTGCTCTTGGTCTATTTGCCGGAAAATACGAGGGATGGCCTTCTTGCCCTTTGGGTATGACAAAAATGCAATGAAAGGATGAGGAGTTGACGACCCTGGAACGATCGGTTCTAATATTTTCATATCGGCCCAGAGTTTCTGGTTGAGAGATTGCATCTTTTGTCTCCATTCCATATGCCTTTCGACTGATTCAAGATCGCTTTCATCGGGAGGAGGAGGCATATTTCGTTCATGGTCTTCCATTTGCATTAGAGTTCCATATACATTTTCAATGTTGTTCAATATTGATTTCCTATCGCTGGCACTAAGTGCAGTATGGTGGCCCTTCTTAACATTGGAAGTTTTCTGGCCATCAGAGCTATCGGGACGCTTGATGTTTAACAGCGGCTTTGGTGTTTTGGCGTTGCTAAACGAGATTTTACCGAGGCTGCCTTCAATTATCAACTGTTTGTTTTTCGGTCTCAGTTTAGCTGCTTCCACCGCCCTTTGAACCTGCTGCTGCATTCGTTGCATATGGTTGTCTCCGGTATAAAATTGTCGCCTTCCCATGCCTCCCGCAGATCGTCCTCCGGTTTGAAACAGGTAGGTTTGTGCGAAATAACCGAGGGGTTGACGAGGATGTTGTCTTGGTGCTCCCCGGATCTGGCTATAAACTTGATAATAAAAATCCTCAGAGAGTGATGCCTCGCTCTCCGGATCTGTCACGTTGCCTGTTGCGGCGACTAGCTGTTGTAGCTGTATACGCGTAATGAAATTTTTATCTTGTGGAGTCATTAAACCGTTTCCTTTGGAAAGAAGGAATATCTTGTGATTCCGCTTTGCACGTTTTGCATCCTCTATCAAATTTGCTTTTCTCTGCTCCTCGGTCATAGGTACCATATTAGGTGGCATGCCGGATGTCGCAGGTAATGGGCCAGGAGGGCCCATAGATGCCTGTGGTTTGGTGTGGTGGTGCTGAGCTTGTCGCATTGGGTACTGTGGTGCGGGATTTGGCGGCAGTCGATTTTGGTGGTGGTTTGGTGTGGGAGGCATTCCGGGACGAGGCAGCATAGCTTCCATAGGAGGGAAAGACTGTTGGCGTTGGAATGCCTGTGCTGCACGTGCATCCTTCCCTAGCTGAGCATAATGCCCCTGGTCAAGGGGTGGAAATTCCTGAAGCGACAATGGCAGCATACCATCAGGCGGCGGTGCAGGTCTATCATGGAGAGGCATGGTAAGCGGAGCCGCCACCTGCGCAGCGGCTCCTGGGAATTGAGGAATAGTTGGAAGAGGGGGTGGAGGAGCGGAGAGTTGCTCAGTAGCCTGTGGTTTCTTGCTTTGTGCCCGCATTTGCGCCTCGACTTCTTCCAAACTCATTATCTTCTTCGCTGGTGCGGCAGGTTTGAGAGGTTGGGTATCATCTTCTGCCTTTGATTTTTGCCCCACACCCGTCCCCCAAACGGCTGACTTCGCCTGAATCTCAGGGATATAGCCAGGGTCTTGATAGAGCTCGTAACCAGTCCGCGTAGGCTTGGCGGGAGTGCGAGTTGGAGATTTTGGTTTTGATTCACGTGGAGGGTGCTTTAGCTTATATAGCATCTGCTCCTCATCAAGTACGTTTGACATTTGGGCGGTTTTCCCGTAGAAATCAAAATCCTTCCCCACGGGCTTCTCATCTGCTCCTCCGCCAAAGGTGTCATCGTTAAACGCATCTTGGTCCTCGTCCAACTGGTCACCTAACCCATCGTAGGTGTCTTCGAAATCGATTCTTCACATCTGAATTAGTATACTCATATCGCTGCCTGGGAACAAAGAAGGGACAGGGAGATATACGCTTCCTCATCATCTTGGACAACGGCATGGGCAACGTGTGCGAAGGGGTCAGGGTTCTCGAAAATACCCCGCGTTTGTTGGCCAGAGGGGCGATCCCTCGGCAGAGTCGTGTCGAAGCCAAAGAAAGACATGTTGCCCCGACGGCTTGTCTCTGCAGTTGATGAGGCCTCTTGGATTTCGGAGGATTTGGTTTTGCATCAACTTCATCTTTCGCCAGAAGAGGTTTAGCTAACTTCTTGGTCCGTGCGCTATCCGCTTCCGCCTATCAGCCTCCAACGCCCAACCGTCACCTGCATTGGTGCGCAGAATAACGTTCATGGCGGAACTCGAAGATAACCCTACTACGTCTACATTACTTGTGCAGCTGGATAGATGTCTTCTATTGAGGCGGCAATTAATCAAAAGGCTAATCTAGCTTTCTCACACCCTAACTAGACACCGAGGTTGAAAATTCAGCTAGCAAGAACGCGACAGTCTTTGGTCATGATACCGAGATGTTGGCTTGACTACCCAACGCGTGCGTGCATATTTCTATAAGCTATGATACAAAGCCTTCCGTTAGCAAATAGGATACCCAGCCAGGAAGGCGATATATCATTAGACTTACATGGTTTGTGTACGCTTTATCTTTGTTTGCCGCTTGAGCAATGCTTGAGCAATGCTTGTTGTTCATCAAGCCACTGGGCATCATCTCTTTCAGCATATTTGTCCTTCAGGCTCTTTAAATTCTTCTGCATCTAGGTTATTTCCAACATGATATCAAATAACGACATCACCCGCCCCGCTCGACACCAATCTGTCACTCTGAACAACTGCTACAGCCTAGGTCCCTGACAAAAAAAGATTTCCTAGCTGCCGGAAAATGGAAGATTTCTTGCAACAAAAACTCCAAGCATACTCAGAACACTCTGCTTCGGACTTTGGAGCCTTGGGGAAAGTGCTATGAGGGAGGCATTATGCTTCAAACTCTTGAGAAAGTGGTCAACAACATTTTTCATGATCCGTTCGATGTCCTCCTTACAGGATCATCTTACGAAAGAGCACCTTACTGACATTATACACTAGGCGGATTGCATTATTCTCGCTTTTTAAACAGATCAGCAGTGGCGAGAACCTAAAAGAAAGATTGAATACATGCCGGGGTCCAGCATTTAATGCGTATTAATTATTATCGATTAACGCTTTATGTTGCTGTAAATCATCAGGAGGAAACCATATGATTATAAGCGCGTACGGTGATTCCGTATATGCAAGGCTATGTTTTCCCGTGGTATAATAATTGAAATGTCTGAATATTTCCGTTGTCTTGGATGCAAGCAATGACTCCTTGAAACACAGAAAACCCACGCAGCAATGTTGATATTGTGGCCGATTCAATTGATGTGTGTACTTGTTTGGAATTTGCACATCTGGATATGAAACGATTGATGTGACAAATCGCAACATCTCGTGAGATAAATAGATCAAAGTGTAAGCTGGATGGATACTGGCAGCCCTGGATGCCAGGGCACTCGCTTAGATTGAGCGGGCCAATAGCTTAAGGTTGTTAGAGGGATAAGAAGATATTTGCAGACATGATTTTCACATGGAGTGATGGTTATTGTCCGGAATTTGTCATCCTTGACCGAGACCAAAGGCACAAGTACCCTTCGAGGCATCAGTGTCTTGATCCAGGGTTTGATTTCCGTTGCCTTTCAATGACGAAACATTGCTGACCCCTAAATAAATTTAAATGGTGCCTCAGATGGCCAAGTGTGAGGTGGCCACCGGGGACATGTGTGCGTACTTCGGCCGTTCGCATCCGATCCGATCTCATGCAAGTTGTTAAAACAGGACTGTCAGGCCGTAACCTTCTGGAGTTTCCTGGTTGTGTAAAAATATCATATTTCCTCTTTATCTACAATAAACAAACGATGGCGATTCTCCGGCCATTGATCTCATCTGAATTATTAGTCGAATGATCCTCCAGAACTTCGATCCCTGGTGACAGGATTACGTAAATCAGGGGACTCGGGGGGTCAGTAAGTAGTTGTTTGCGCTCAGAAAAAGGACGTAACGACAGTTTGGTGAAAGCTTCGGACAGCTTCTTTGCTGTTCTTGAAGAGGAAAAAAGTTCGCAAGCTGACAGCGACCCTGGGGGATTTCTCGAGAGCCAGCTTCAGTGAAAACATGTCGTTGCATTAAAGTTCTCCTGATCAACAAGTTGTCAGTAGTGGTCTGGTGGAGGGTTGCAGATCTGTGCGGGCAAGCGCGCGTCTACTGGAGGGTTTTGGATACTACCACATGCCCTTGAAATAATACTCTACAGGGTGTACTACAGTCTGTACCTTATGGTTTAGACAAAGATGAGCGCGCGGTCCAACTTTGGACACTTCCGTAGCTCATTTTCATAACACTCAGCCGATTCGTCCATGAAGTCATATTGAACCATTGGTTTCGACTGCGTGTATCATCCGGCGTCCTGGCCAGGGTCCGAATATGCAGATTACGCGTCATGTTACTTCGAAAAAGCCTTGTTACCTAGGTATTTCCCACTGATTATTTTGTCGAGGCACAGTTAACTCATATTCCTCCCTGGAGATCAGCTCCAGAAAATTGCAGCAAGTGGGCATCTGACATGTTCGCGCCCCATTTGACAAACGTTTGCTGTTTTCATCAAAACGGACATATCCATGGTTTTGGGTAGAACACAAATTCTTCGATCACAAAGAGTTCCAATCTTTGCACAAGCTCATTGGGACCTGGTGTAGAAGTAGCACTGGTAAGTAACTTGTGTGCAAAAAATACTAAAATAAATATCCATTGTATTCTCTTAAATAATAGGCTCGTTCTGCTCTCCCCGTTTGGTGAATTGTCCAGTGACAATAATATTTGGACGTGAAATGTTCCGTGCAAGTTGACGTTCGAGCAAAAAGCAAAGGGTGGCGACTCGGGAAGAAATATCACCACCTCTCTCATGTCATCGCGTAACTTTTAGCTGCCTCTCATGGTTCATTGTTCTCAGAGTTCGCTTGTGAGTTGCAGTGTCCAGGCAATAAATGAATGTCATTAGTCGACTATGGAGGAAAATACTCTACATAGCCAAGCTGAACCCATCCAGCCCAGACGGGCCGCACGGCCAAAGCCTGGACCCAATAATTGGAACACAATACCAATGATGGCAGAGGACTAGTAACGGTGTGTTTGAGACTTGGCCAGTAGTCAATCGTACCAGGCACGAAGGCGGCGCCGCAGAACGCTTTTGCGTATGAGACACAGATCCAGCGGCTGAGGAACAGCGCAAAGAAGTTGGACAAACCAGCCCTTGGCATCGTACTGGACACATCCCATTAGCCACCCAATAAATTACAAGTTTCGCGACAAGTAGGCAGTTGGCCCTACCCATTACCACAACGTGGGTATAGTTGCTGTGAAAGGTCCAATCCAGGGGACTTTCTTGAGAAGCAAGACTCGGGAACAATCTCGGAATAACGGTCGAGGTGCGTGCTGATCAAGAACCGAGGCTATGAATAGTCACCCACGTGAACAGGATTTTGCGCGTGGATGGTTGACCGTATTGGTAATAACAAATACCGGCTCGCGTAATTCCACTCTCGGCCTCGTCACCGTTCTTGCGCCAATTGTCTAGACACCAACCGCAACGGAGCCCCCTTGGGATCTTGACAACTCTCCTTCTCCAACTCCCCAGCGAGTCCACGAACAGATCACTGGCTTTTCTGTTCACGAACCCCGGCATCCTCCCGTTCCAACCGGCCAAAACAGATCGGATGGGCCGCCAGGATTGTATCCTTTTCTAATCCCTACCCCGAACTTCCGCCACTCGCTTTTTGTGCCTTGTCATTCTCTTTGATTGCTCGTATAGAAGGGAAAATACTCTTTGACAGATATCGGTGTGGAATGGGTCTTTTGACTTGGCCTAACAACCCGATATCAAATCCTAGTGTTTCGGATTTCCTTTGAATTGGAACCCAGTTTATACCCTTTTTTTCCCTCCTTAGCTTTTGAAATTTCAAAGGACAACGACAGGAAAAAGGGACGAGAAAAAGACGAAGCGAATTTCCGCGTCTGTGTGAACCAGAACGTGGTTGACAGACCCCTGCGCCGTGATGAATTCGGTCTCTGGAAAGTACCTACGGTACATTCTATTTGCAGTGCTGGTTAGTTGTTCTCCGCGGTCGATTTGAATCCAGGAAACTGACCTTGGCCTCATCTTTAATTTTCGGTTCGAAAGTGTGTTGCAATTCTACATTTCATATCATACTCCTCACTACCTCTCCCGAGCACAAGCGATGTCGTGTCCAACCTCAGGTCCGGGTCAAAACAAACCAGCCATAGCCCCTCAACTCCTCTATCAGTTTCACCACTTTCCAACACTTCTTCAACTGTTCCAGCACCTGCCTATGAACGAGTAAACGCAACATTCGTGACTTTGGCCAGAAATGGGGATATTTGGGAGATCGCCAAGTCGATCCGCCAGGTGGAGGACCGATTCAACCGGAATTATCACTATGACTGGGTCTTTCTTAATGACGTGCCCTTCAACGACCAATTCATAAAGATAACTACTGCTCTTGTATCGGGGAAAACGCATTATGGAGTCATTCCGAAAGAGCACTGGTCGTTCCCTGACTTTATCGACCAGGCAAAAGCCGCCAAGGTTCGGCAGGATATGAAGGAGAAACAAGTCATCTACGGAGATTCCATCAGCTACAGACACATGTGCCGTTTTGAATCTGGATTCTTTTTCCGCCAGGAGCTCCTCCAGAAATTCGACTACTATTGGCGAGTGGAGCCCAGCATCGAATATTTCTGTGACATCGGTTTCGACCCGTTCAAGTTCATGAAAGACAACAAGAAGAAATATAGCTTTGTTATCAGTCTGTATGAATACAGAGACACCGTAGCTACGATCTGGGATAGTGTCAAGAAATTCATGGAGAAGTACCCTCAGCATATTGTAGAGGACAATAACCTGGAATTCATCAGCGAGGATGGAGGGAAGACATATAACCTTTGCCATTTTGTGCGTATCCCCCTCCTTCGCCCATGCGTTTGTGACCTCTTTATTAACGAACGTTTTGATCACTTTCTGCAGTGGTCGAATTTCGAAATTGGTGATCTCAACTGGTTGCGATCGCAAGCCTACCTCGATTATTTCGATATCCTAGACAAAGATGGAGGATTTTTCTATGAAAGATGGGGTGATGCGCCTGTACATTCCATCGCGGCTGCCCTCATGCTCAAAAAGGAGGAAATCCACTTCTTCAATGAGATCGCTTATCGCCATGTTCCCTTTGTCCATTGCCCGACGGGCGAGCAGATGAGATTGGATCTGAAATGCCACTGCAATCCCCGTGACAACTTCGACTGGAAAGGATATTCTTGTGAGTACAAAGTCCAAACAGGGTTACATGCCATCACCATAATTCATAAAATCAATGCATTTTCAGTTTTTATCCCCAATTACTCGCCCTGACGCTATTTTCGTATGCAGGTACATCCCGTTACTTCGACATTAATAAGATGACGAAGCCTAAAGGTTATGAAAAAGAAACGGACTGACCGAACTGGCTTCTCACAATCTTTTGCGGTATCATCATCCTGACCGTTGTACTAATAGTAGCAAGTTGCGTACGCCTTGGAAAAGATAGCCTAAGTCCCATTTTCTCTTCCCCCTCATCCTATATACCTCCATCCTCCGCTTCCCCAATCCTACATTCTCTTATTTCACCCTGATATTTGCCTTTAATCGTCATTATTTCCTTCGCATTTTGATGCCCTCGTGTGCTTCATTCATAAGTTGACATACGTTTTCATACCCCATCCAGGCTGTATAGACATGGGATATTTTGCATTTCCTTGCCCCCTTTGCTTTTATTAATATTTTCTATTCCTTGTCGTTTTCTATTTCCGCTTTTATTGAAATTTCACGGAGTCATGTGGAAAAATGTACGTTTTCTTATTAAAATATTTTTGTGATTGATTTGTTTTTTTCCTCTGCTTCTTATGGGTTGTCAGCCCCATATGAAGCATGTCATGATTTAATAGTTGTATACATCCACACGAAAACCAAATCATCCATTATAATGATTATATATAAAGTTATATATATATATATTCTCTTTGTTTCATTTCATCTCCCAGGAAAGAAGAAATGAAGAGAAAAGTCCATGTTTCACGGAGATTGATGATATTTTTGCAGTACATGTCAAATGACCCTGTTATTTTATTTTTAATCGTGGTGATCTTGTGCTTTTAAATCGAGAGTTATGCGTCTGGTGCCGAGGAATGGCAAATCGAGGAAAGAAGAAGGAATGAGTAGATATTTGGGAAGTTTTAAAATGAATGGTTCTGCTTTTTTTTAGCAATAGCGAAGGCCACCAAAACCTTTTGAATTCAATGAGTTCCATAAGTGCTCTCCCATCGGTGCTAGAAGTAGCACATTGGGGGGAGGGGCAGAAGATAGAAGTAACTAATGTACGCTTTACTAACTCTTGATTGATGGATCAAATCTATGGCAGAATACATGGCGATGCTCGCACATCACAAAGGATATAAATGGATCCAAATCGTACATTCGGAGTAGGAGAAAAACAAAAGCCCCCCACTCCTATCTCTCTTCTTCTCTTTCTAACTTTCCCTCACGTCCTCTCCTCTATCTACCCGAACTGCATTAAGCACTCTTCGGCTTCTTCGTCCCGTACTTCGAGCGGCTGGTGATACGGTTGCCAACGCCAGACTATTTTGTTATAAAAGGAATGGTTGGTTAGCTTTCCTTTTTTTTTTTTTATCACGCCCGTGCCATAATGACAATGTTCGTCTCTTTATGTACATAGGGGCAACAATATAATGGGCGAGATGACGAAAAATGAAACATACCAAATCCAACGCTCCACGGACAAGATGGTACCGCACACCAGGACAATCCTGTGCCCGGCCGCCTCTAATCAACACGACGCTGTGCTGTTGGATGTTGTGGCCTGTATTATTGATTTGGCGAGGACGAGGGAAAAAAAGAATTAGTATTCCCATACATAACACCACAATAAATAAATAAATATATAGACATAGAATTCCACTCCTCTCTCGGAAAAAAAAAAGAACGAAATATAAAAACTGACCTTCGCCTGGGATGTACCCCGTAACAACCGCGCCATTAGTCAACCGGATTCTCGCCGTTTTGCGCTCTCCAGAATTAGGCTTCTTCGGCTTCGTGATTCCCGTCTTCAGACACACGCCTTTCATCTGCGGCCGGCCTACAAGCGCGGGCGAGGTGGTTTTCCGCGCACGCTTGCCCTTCCGACAACCCCGACGGACTTGGTTCAACGTGGCATTGTGGTAGAGAGTGCTAGAGAATTTCCGCGATGGTGAAGAGAGGGACGATGGTGTACATATATATTGGACGGATGTCAGTTTACGGCGTAAGGGAGGTGTGGTGTGTGGTGGTCGGTGGAGGAGGGAAAAGGTGCGCTTGGAGGAGGTGGACAGGGGTGAAGAGAGGCAATATGGGCGGGATATGAAGTGTCGTAGGGAACGGATTACCCCCGCGGAGGGCGTTGGCGGTGACATGCTGAGCCAGTGCTGTGGTTAATTGGCGGTAGAAAGGGCTTTTGAAAGTCTGGGATGAAGCCTTTGATGCGTGTCCGAAAAGGGAAATTTACAGGTTGAGATTGAGTTCTGATCACGTGGTATATAACTGCGCTTTTGGTCTATGTAGATGGCCGGGGGGACCTTGACGCGGTTGCTTTTGCCTGGACGAACAGGTCCAAATAAATGGCTGCCATCAGCTCCTTCACATCATCCAATTCCGCTCATTCCAAGAACTCTATCTCATCTCGCAATTTGCTTCATACGTAGTCCCATTCGCTCACATTCCACCTTCATCCCAAGTCCCAAATTCCTCCTCCCACCCACTACCTCATCATGGTATGTCATTCCCACACTTCATCTTAGCTCTCCGCCTACTGCCGTACTGATCCCAAGAACAGCCTCTCCGCATCGCACCCGCCGCGTCCAACGCAACCCAGACCTCAAATACAGCCTCAGTCCCTCATTTAAGCAAAGGTGCCCCATCTGCCCCAGGCGTCCACGACACCCTCCGCGCCTCCCTCACAGCCGCACCAACGACACAACAGCGAGTCCCCGCTTCTACACACCCGCTCGAAGCTCGTCTGCTACAGTGGCGCCAAACACACGATGCGATGAAGATGGAATCGTTAAGAAGGGTGTATGGCATCGCGGAGCCGATCAGGAGGGGCATGGAATTGAAGATCGTGCAGGAAGGACAGTGGAAGCCAGCTGCATTGGGAGGACGTAACGAGAGTAGTATTCATGCGGATATTTTGGCGCTGGGAGGTAGGGAGACGGAGGTTACGTGGGAGGATGTCTTTGACGGTATGTTTACTTTTCTCTTTTATCGTCCTTCGTCGTGGTATTGTTGGAGATTCAAGATAGTGGACTGGGAGGTTTCTTTGCTAGGACATATCATCACTGGCATGCATTCTTCGTTATCTATGCATTCTGGATTTCTCGACTTCCATTTCCTCTGTTCACCCCCGATGCGGAAAACATCTAACCGTTTCCTTTGTTTACTCTAGGTGACGAGCTTCGAGAACCTTCCTCCTTCCATGACGAAATGGAACACCGACTAAAGATGAATTGGTAATACCTTTTTCAGTCAGCGACTATTTAGCCAAGCTATTATATGTACCGTCCTTTTCCCATTTCCTTCCATCCAACGGCTATTTATTTTTCTTTCACGCTTCCAGCTTTTAGAAAATTAAATTCTCAAATAAAGCGAATTGCTCTTGGAATTCTCCCTTTCCTCTTTCTATATATATATATATAATGTCTTCCGAACATGTTTTCCGTTCTCCGAATTTCATCTCCAAATTAAGAAATAATGGGTTCATCGTAAAAGCCACAAAACGAAGCAACCAGCTTTAGGCTCCCTTCTCTTCCTCTTCTACTTCTTCATTTTGACAGGACAAAACAAAAATCAAAGATGAGGTAAAATTCCCATTTTTGATTCTTATCGACAACAAAAATCAATGGTGAGCGGAGCAGGAATGGGGAGTTTCGACACGCCTCGAATGACCATCCTCATTTCACATTGACTAAAGTATATATATATATAACTATCCTTCTGCCAAACAAGCCACCCTCCGCCGCCTTGCTCCCTCTCCCTATCTATCTCTACCTCGCCAAGGTGAAAGCTACCCACCCCACATTGACATTTCACAGACGGTTTAAAGAATTCGAAATTTCTCTGGCCCCCAGAAGCACCCGGCGCACGCAATCAAAACCCTTGATGAGAAGGATAGGGGGAGGAATATATCCCCAACCCCATCCCTGTCCTCCTCTTCCAATCAATGAATGGGTGGAACTAGTGTGGTTGTAGTTGTGGTTGTAGAGCAGTGCAGTGCAGTTGCTCAGGCAGCATACGCTGTGTATATATAAAAGTTATACAATACATCATCCATCTCTTGACTTACCCATCCCTCTACCCATCCCATATGGAAGGAAGGCCGATTGATGGCAAATACAAATACACCCACAGAAACGCGTACAATTGGATACAATTGTGTATATACAATGCACATGTACTGTACAACATAAATACCCGCAATTCAAAGCCGGTAACAACAACGATCCATTCATCCATATACATATATATACCTAATAAGTGTTGGTTACGCACGCACACTATGTATGTACAGATAATGCAACAAAGAGGAGAAAAATAAAACAACGCAGACATGTGTCTCCCTCCCACTCTCACCTTCGGCTTCACCTTAGCAATAGTCCCCCACACCCTTAATCTCCTCCGCCATTATGCGAAAACAGCAAAGGCTGCTGCTAAAAAAGCAAAATCAAGTCCCATCGCCAGAGAAAGGCGGTAATATGAAATGGAGAAGAAGGGGCGGAACATGGAAACTCAATTCCGTGGATGGCAGGAGAAAAGGAATTCAACCGACCCATTCAATATATATATGTATATATACCACTAGCCGCTGTGGTGATAAGAATACTAATGGTAATGATGGTAGTGACAATGATCAAGCACAAGCGAGAAAAGAAAATGACGTGTATTGAAAGCAATTGGTACACAAAATGAAACATCAAGGGAGGGGGGAGAGGAAAAAACAATATGCCCCGTTTACTCAACCCTCACCCTAACCCTAGCGTCTTATATAAGGTTCGATTCGTAGTAGAAAAGAGAGAAGACGGGGGAAAGAAAAATAATGGTAAAACAAAAACAACCAGTCCCTACACCTGCCGTGCATGCATTGAACAAAAGGAAATCACAAAAAAAGCAGCAAATATCAAAGGAAAATGGAAAAAGGGAAGGAAGCAATGTATTCATAACCAAAAGTGTGGAAAGGGGATTGCGGATAAAATGGGGTACTTTCTAAAAAAAAAAAAAGAGAAAAAGACATGTCAAATGTCGAATTGGCAGCCGGAAAAATTAAAATAATCGAGACAGAAAGTGCTTAGGCGCAAGTTGCAAAATATATTGAAGCGGAGTTCAGCAGAAAATCCAGCTGCAAGATGGCTCTAAGGAATTGGAAAGCACAAGTTGCGGGTAGACCAACAAGGTATAGTTACTGCAATAGACAACACCAGCAACAATAACAGCCAAGGGATGGGATATTATCGAAAGAGACAGGACAGATAAGAGGCCTGGTGTTGACATGAATGGCTGGGGACGAGCCAGTACAGTGATGACGAAATACGGTAATTGGGCTTTCCTTCCCAATCAAGCTGCCTGGTGCATGGGCACAATAGTACACTCGGGACGGCCGGGGTGAAGATAAATGAATATCGCAACAAATTCGGAGGGAGAGAGGAAATGAAAGTAAGCCCGGATTGCAGTTTCTTTGTCGCCCATCTGAGAGTAGAAAAAATACCTCCAGTTCCATGAGAGGTGAGTAAAGCACAGCCACACACGGCCTACAGGATAACACACCGGCATCGGGGGCTATAATCACCGCCATCCCGCTCCCGGCCGGAAGTGGATCTGGTAGCTTTGGCGTCTTCTTCGTCCACGACTTCTTGTGGCTTTATGGTCATGTGGATGACGTTGGGAGCGTTGTGGGTTAATCTCAAATCTGTGACATAATGAGCGGAAGTGAAACGGGTTTGCTTTTGATGGACAAGAACAGAGTTGGATTTCTGAGCAGCGCAAGAGAATCCAGTATAAAGACATTCAAAGTTGGAGGCTTAAAAAGTAACATACCGGATAGCGGAGCTTTGTCGTCTAATAATTTTCCGAATGATATCAAACGTATTGAACTTGGGAAGGGAGGTCGAGGTTCCCACTCTGCAATTCAATAAATATCGTAATTTGTCAGTTCACATTGCCCCCCAGAACAAGCGCGAGAAGGAACAGGGGGTGGTCGCGTGCTCTCCATTGCAGGAAAAAAAGAAAAAAATCCCCACAGGAGACATACCAGATCTCCACTCCCTCCAAATCAGTTCTTTCAGAGTATATACGCTCATCGCATAGGGATTGAAATCAGGCACATCCACCTGCCGTTTTCGCAGGTACTTCGCATCAATCTTGAATGGATGCCTGGCTCCGGTTATCAGAAGAAGGTCTATATTCAACACCATGCCAGGATCCTCCAATTCTTTACCCGTCACGCCTGGTAGCTCCGACGAGGGGCCAACGGCAGGGCTGCATTGCTTAGTTTCCTCGGTCTCACTGGTAGGTTGTGTGGCGGACTGTATTTGTTGTGGGGGAGGTTCTGTGTTAGTTGTGGTAGTCGGCGCGGATTGGGAAGCGGTGGCATCATGAGGCTGAGATGTCGGTGAAGGGGGCGTATTTTCTCTAATCGTGGTGCTCGTGCCTGGGGGCTCTGAACGTTCAGCGGCTTCTATTGTGGCGGGGGGATGCGACGAATCTGTCACAGCGGGGTCGGATGAAGATGTAGCGGTGGCATCAGTAGTGTCGTCGTCGTTGTTGCTGTTGCTGTTGCTGCTGCCTTTGTTGATGTCGTCGTCATCATGGCGAACCGGTGCTGGGGGAGGAGCGTTCGTCGCCGTCATCGCCGTCGAGTCAGGGGAATCTCGTTGTGTCGACGGTGCATCTGATATCGGCAGAGCCAGCGGACTCTCTATTTTCTCGGCATCTTCTTGCTGGGATTGTGAATTGGAATCATGGATAGGGATAGGGGTGCCGGCGCTTGAGGCCATGGTCAAAGGGGAAGCTGAGATTCTTGAACACCAGCAATCGAACCGGTGGAAGGTCTAACTATGCGGATGCCAGATGAAATGGAATAGTTAACCTGAAAGCACAAAAGCTGAGGTAAGGATTGACAAAGCCAGGAAATGAGGCCGAAAGAGAGCGTGGGCAGATGTGTTCCCTCGAAGCAAGAAGGCTTATCGGGGACGGAACATGGCAGACAGACGGGAGGAGGACTGGGCGGAGGAATGGATGGTGAGATGGGACAGCAGGGAGAGCATCAGAAGGCAGTCTGCTCGCTCAGTCGACTGGCTGGCGGTTGGTGGTGCAGAAGTTGGCAGCGAAGACGGCTGATGGAGATGGGTGCAGTTCAGCGTCGATGGGTGAGTGGAGAGTGTGGGACAAGACAAGACTAGACATGGAACAGTCGGCAGAGCAGACTCTGGGTGCTGGGCAGGGGCAAACTGGGTGGACTGGGTGGACTGGGTGGACTGGCCATCATGGTTGGGCCCGGGCCCAGGCTGCAAGGAAGCCTATTTTCCCTTCGCTTTAACTGGGGCGCCCCCGCCAGCATCCCCGATCTCTAGTTAAATGGCGCGTTTAGCGCCACCACCATGCTAACATAGTACAGTCCTGTGGCTGAATTCCTATTTCTTTGCAACCCTCTAATCAGACAATAATTCAGTTAGCGAGTAAACCAATATCAAAAATCCTCCCACCTGTCTGTGTAACAGTCTAACAGATATGAAAATAATATGAAAATATGATGGATACAAAAGCCAAAAATGGGAGGACTTTATATTACTTTTTTAAAACGAACACTATTTGAAAAGGAAAAAGAAAACCCTCGTCGATCTCCGCCCGTTGAGGGATCATCATCTCGCTCCTCTGCCCCGCACAGGCAGTGCGACCATGGCAGCATGTCAGTTACACCCGACATACAGACATACACATGCATACTTGTCAATCCTTTCTGAAGACTAGAAGAAGAGATCCATCATCCATGCGCTAGGAAAAAAAGTTTAAAAAAAGCCCAAAACTTTTTTTTCCCTTTCGCCTCTCACGTGTTCCTGTAGCAAGAAATATGAGGTTGCTAGTTGTCGGCAACGAGCTCATTTTCGGGGTGATAAAAAGAAAACGGTAAGATAACATGAGAAATGAAAAGGGGGGGAAGGGCAGGAAAATGCAACATATACTCATATGGATATCATAACAGGAAGCAAAGACAATCCACTCCAGAACCCCAGGCTCAAATCCCCGTGAAAACTGACAAATCACTTCAAACTTTCAAACTTGAGCATGAAAAGGGAATAAACAAATAAGATTTTTTTTTTTCACAAAAAAAAGCGCCAAACCAACTAGAATACGGAACTAACATAACGCCAGGGGGAAGATAGCGGGAAGCATGGCAAAGGAAAAAAGAAATATGCAGCAGAAAGAAGGCTACTTTTTGTCACGACATCCACGCAAAATAATGCGCCGGATTCTCATTCCTCAACCCTTCAGAACCATGCGCCACGCCCAGCAACCTCACCCTCTCAATCCTGCCGCCGAAATCATCCTCGACGGAGCTCTTCCACGTCCGCAGGAACGCGCGCAGCCTATCTACAACCGCCGCATCGTCCCGCACCAGCAATGCAACGGCATCATACCCGCCAGCCCCGGGGACAACGCCGCCTATCACCCCTTCCACCTCCGCGGATAACCTATCCAGCAACTCTGTCTGCACCTTTGGCTCGATGGGCACGCCGCTTTTCTCTGTCATGGTGCGCAGCAGAGCGCGAGAGCGGGAGATGAGTCTGCTGACGCCGTCGAATCTATTTCCGTCATTGTCGTCGTCGTCGTCGTCGTCTTCGTCGACGACGTCATTGATGTTAGCTGTATTCGCATGCTGATGACCCCGCGAGACCGCGGATGACGATGATGACGATGAAGAAGGGCGGTGGACAGCCGCGGCACGGCTGTGGCTGTTATTAAGCGCATTACGGTGCAGTAGGTCTTTCAGCAGTAGACGCAATCTATCGTTGTTTTGCTGCAACTCCGCCCAGAGCACGTCTGCCTCCTCCCGGTTATTCTCGCGCCACTGGAGGACTTGTTTCACCATCCCTGGCGTTTGCGAGCCGCAGTCCACATCGCATAGCACCATCTGCATGCCCCGAGGCAGCTTGGTGCCAAAGTCAACACACTCCGTATCCCATGGGTGCTTTGTGTTGAGGTCTTCAACGACGGCGAAGAGCCGTTCTTCGAACTGCGGGGTCCCGACGTCCCCCAAACTTCCAAGTACAGCGGGGGAGAAACGTCGGTAAAGACACGAACCGTAGACGGCAGCGCCAATGTCGAACCCCGAACCGACTTTCCCCTGTGCGGCGCAGTGGGCGGCTTGGGCGAGATTATGTAGCTTATCTCGCACTGTAGGTAGTTCCTCTGGTTGTACGGTGCGGTGGATGACAATGGCGGAAACAAGCGCTGCGACGAGCGCGGCAGATGAGCCTAGACCGGTCTTGTGCGCTTCATCCAGCTTGACGCCAAAGTCTGCGAAGCGCGTTCCTCTGTTGGCACCCGGTGCTTGTGAGGTCGCGGTTTGGGAGTAGTAGTCATTGTCTGCGAGGATGGTGATGGAGAGAGAGCCGAAGAGTTTGGATGCGGAAACGTAGCTTATGTATGTTAAGGCGTAGTTTAAGGATGTTTCGACGAATGGATTCCGCAGTCTACATACGATGCTTGGTTAGTGTCTTGTGCTGTCGTAACCGTCAATTAGAGTAACAGGCAGCTAAAAGTGTGGTGGTGGGCAATCGAAGACCCAGACACGCTTCCCCCATATATCCCTTTTAAGTAGATATATACTCCATGTGCAGATGGCCCCTAGAATCAAGCATTCGACTCCAGACATCCAAACCCAGTCAATCAAACACACCCCGTCTCAGAAAACAATCATCTCATTTAACCACCTGTCAATAGCATATAAAGCCAAACAAACCAACAAGCCCAAAGCCAAATTAAAAGGAGGGAAAAGAAAAAAAAAACAAAATTAACTCACCCATCCCCCTTCTGCACAACCCTCACTCCACCCTCATCCGGCTCCCTCCTCACCCCATACTCCCACAGCGCATCGACAAACTGTGGTGACTTAACCACAATTATCTCATCATCCTCCTGGTCCCCATCAACTTCCCCATCCACGCCCTCCGCCCCCACCTCCTCTCCACCCTTCCCATCCTCCCCTTCATCGCTATTACCATCGCTACCGCCCTCCACTCCACCCTCCCCACCCCTCCTTGGCGCACCCGCTAACCCCTCGTCTCTCTTTGATTTCTCCCTCTGCAGCTGCCGCACAACAACATGAATGCGCGCGTTAAGCGCAAATACCATCCCCGTATACCGTCTGTCAAGCACCAGATAGCCACCCGTCAACAGGACCTTTCCCGGCGCGGAGACTGCCGTTTCGGAGATAGGGTGGTGGGGCATCGCGGTGTGTTTTTTGTTTTGTTTTCCCTCCCTCAAAAGGGGAATTTGGAGATCTGTTTGCTTTTGCTTTCTGCTTTCTGCTTTCTGCTTTCTGCCTTTTTTCTTTTGTCCTTCTCCGATTGGTGTGTTTTGTTTTGATATTCGGTCGTTTGGCTTTCTTCTTCTGGATGGGTACGCTTCAATTGCACTCCGCCTAATACGCCTGCCTATCTTGCGGTGTGCTGGGGTCCGTTTTGCTCTGTGTTTTGTGCTCTGGCGCCGGGTATTTTATGTATTTGTTGGCCTGTTGATGGGGCAGGTGGAACAAGAATAAGAGAGCAAGCGAGCGAGGGAGACAAGACGAGAGGAGGGGAGGGGAATGGTGGGTTGGTAAGCGTTTGGTGGGGGAAGTCCTCTTCTTTCCCTCTGGCTACCGCAAGGTGAGAGGGGGGCCGGGGGGAAGGTCCAGTGATATGGGCGTCGAGAGTATCTTATAAAACAGCTAGATAATCAGTTCTTCGTTGAGGTGAGCCCTTTGCAGGAGTCGAAAGGTAGGTAGTTAGTTAGCGATTGTTGATATAGTGCCGCACGAACAAGCGCGAGAATTTGGCTTTTTGTAGCTTTGGCGGGGCTTACATACATAGAATTTATAAATACTTCCATATGACTTGAAGAAATGAATGGGGAAAAAGGAGATATTCACAGGGGTATTATTTATTGTGTTTAATATGGGATCGGGATTGAAAATGACAAGATCAGCAGTGCCATGTCAGCACATCTGTCTTCATGATTTCAAAAATGTCTGTTTGTGAATTGAGGGGTTTGGCTGGAATGTTTGTTGCTCTTTTACCATCTTAGTGGTTGACGACGTGTGGCTGGTGCCGTGTGGCTTTGCCTACATATTTTTCACTCAGATTGCTTCTTCATCTTCATCATCTTCTCTTCTTCCTTTATTTCACCAACCCTTTTCCTCTCTGTCAGTCAATGGCAATTTCTTGTCACCGGGATACTTACCGTGTCTATTTCTGACAAAACGGATAAAATGCATGCACGAATACTATGATGAGGTGGGTAAAGCCGCCATCATCTTTGTTCTGCAGGACTGTGCACTTAGTCAAAGAGCCTAATATGGATCAATGGCTGCGACAAAGAAGCCAATTTCTAGTAAACATGATAACCGATTTCGAGATCGTGTTTGCGCACGGAATTTGGGTTTCCAACATGGCCTTCTCTTTCCCCTTGCACCCAAACCCGAGGACTGTGTGAAGGCCGTCTATGGGAGCTATCAGCGAATCTTGTGAACTACTCTCTATCCACCGATGAACACGATATTTGATCATGACTTAATATTAGGACTAGGGAGAGGTTATCAAAGATGATCTGGAACAATGATAGGCTATATTAATTGTTGGTAGAACCTCCTGTCCCTTGGTTGAGTAGTTACCTCTTACATCGCTGCTGTGTGCATCCGCTGGAGAGGCCGTTGACAGGATTGCTAGTACAGTACATAGCAGCCCGTCATAAAAATTTATTCCGTTTGCCCCTGTCGATTGTTACAGTGATGCAGTGGTGAGAAGCAGAACATATGGTTCAATCAACACAATAAATCACACAGTTCATTTATGCCGATAATACATTAAATACAGCCTTGGTAAATAGTCATAGCCCTCTGTTCGACTCCAATCTCTACTATTAACCCTGCCACAGGCTTCGGGACAACGCTTGTCTCGTACCCCGGTTTTTTTTTACCAAAGGTATTAACTATTGCAAAGCGCTAATCCAGTATTCCGACTTGATCGACAAGTCGGGTACATGCACGCAAAGGAAAGAAAGAGATACTGGGTTTCTGGATGGATATCTACATATATACAATGTAGAGGTAGGTTTGCAAACTCACTGCTGTTACATGGAGTTCATCTTCTTTTGTCTCCGTTTGTTTTCTGCCTCTGTCAATGGCCGATTTCCGTTCCCGTCTAAGTTTCTGTCCCTGGTTTTCTTTTTCCTTTTTCTTATTCTTTTCTTCCTAATCCGCACAGTAATTAAATCCATAGACTCCTTGCTGCAGTGTTTGAATGGATCAATAAAGATGAAAAAAAAAAGACTCAGTTCTGCATGTCATGACTTCGTTATTGAATGCGGCTTGGGCTAAGTGCTGTTTGTGGCTGGTTCATGTGCAGAGTCCATGATTTTCACATTTAGCAATCGAGTATAGTTGTACTGACAACAAACTCGATTCCCACATACATTAGTGACAAAACTTGGGCGTCGCCTTTACATATATATCCCATTACGGGCAGGATACATACAGAGTAAGGAGCTGGCCAGTATCAGGATCTTGCGGGGTCGTGGCTCGCCAAAGGAAAAAAAAACCCATAACTGTCCTCTGACGTTTTCCAACCCCTCCGTCGAGAGCTCTTCGTCAGTCGGGCAGTCCCGCGGAGTCCACCGTGGGGTTGTTCTGGAAGGCTGTTGTTTGGAGGATGGATGTGCTAACTTGGGGAACTACCAAGGTTAGGAAGGATTGCGCAGGCGGGCAAGAGCCGGCCCCCTGCACTGGGTTCCAAATACTGATACGGGGAGCCAATGAGCTGCTGGCGGTGACAAGGCCAGGAGTTGCTGTTAGCCGGTTGAGCCATGTTAAAACACCAATCGTGTCTGCAGTCTGCAGCCAACGTTGTAGTCTCGATTATTAGTTCAACTGACCTCTCGCGGAGCTCAACTCTAGCCTAACTGACCGCGCTAGAGGAGAGGTCAGCTGACCTGACTTCTGCCAAGAGATGAAATACACTAATAGGGGTCAGCTGACATCCCTGCCATAACATATCATTACATTCATCTATACAAAGCTGGTTGTCTTTATTTACTAACTAACTATAAGTATATACTAGAGATAGCCTGCCCTATCACCCCCAGAAGGGGGTGGGCAAATTAACCTCTACATAGTAAATCCCAGGGATGAAGACGTCTTTAATTCCTTCAACGAGTTGGAAAGCTCAGGCACAACGCTCTAGAGCAGGAGCTTCGTGGAACATGCAAGCTGGACGGAGCAATGAGCTTAGAAAAGCTAATACTCTTTGATATTATAGATATCATCAATGAATATAATAGCTAGATATATTGTCACTAGATATCATCGATAGATAGGTGATGTTTATTCTCATAGAGATTGATTGGATATTGAGCGGGCAGGGTGGTTGGTAGGTAGGGAGGTAGATAGGTAGCTAGTGTTCTCTACTCTATTAGCAATTGACCAGACATTGTGTAGATAGATTGGTAGCTAGATTGCTATCTAGCAATCATTCTTTATTTCATTAGCAATTGATCAGATATCATGCAGGTAGCTTGGTAGATAGATTGGTAGCTAGATGACAATATCTATTTGTATAGTGAACCATTGAATATCAAGCAGATATGTAGGTAGATAGATTGGTAGCTAGGTAGATAGATAGCTAGCATTCTCTACTCTATTAGCAATCAATCAAATACCAAGCAGATAGGTAGGTAGATAGATTGGTAGCTAGGTAGATAGATAGCTAGCATTCTCTACTCTATTAGCAATCAATCAAATACCAAGCAGATAGGTAGGTAGATAGATTAGCAGCTATCTAACTAGCAATATCTATTCGGTCGTAGATACTAGATAGTAGTTACAACGAATGTAATGAGATGTAAAATACAGATATCAGCTGACCCTTATTTTCGCTTGGCAAAGGGTCAGGTCAGTTGAACTCCACTAGCGCAGGTAAGCTAGCCGACGTGCAGTCTCGAAGTGACCTGACCGGGAAAACCTCGCTCCGCCCACCGGACCAAGTCCCCAAGTTCCCGACCTGATCTGATAACCCGCCGCATAACTCGCCGCATAACTTGTGGAGAACATTCGCCAATAATGACATAATGGCCCCATAATTGTCCGGAGACAAGCGAGCCGAATCAGGCCTAGCTCCCGTTGCTAAGAAAAAGACCCGGGACGACGTGTGAGTCAGCACGCAGTCCAAGGGCGGAAGGAACGCCGGCTCACCCGACAATTTGGAAAGATTGCGCCCTTTGAGGCAGTTCAACCAACACCCAGCAGGCTGCAACATTGTGAGTGCCGAGTACGGGTGCGTATCACCGACGATGAACTCCGTATTCCTGTTCTCGTCTGGGGGATATGTAATTTTGTCGTATCCTGCATTCATTCACATGTATGTATGTATATGTACGTATCCATAGGCACATCGTGCGGGCTCATTGGAGGCGAATCCAGGGACCCTACTCGCCAAATTGCTGTCCAAATCCGAAGTATTCTGTAGTTAACAATAAGAACGTCTGATGGAACAACAAACACCAAAAACCTTTGTTATGTGGTGGACATCGTGGAAATGGAAATCAGATACCCGTCATGGAACCACAGGCACCGATACTCGTCACGTAATTTCTGAAACATTACAACCTGGCTCGCTAGTCACGAGGCGCAAGGGCGAAGCAGGCCCTGATTGCGGAGGTTTTCGGCTGGTATTTTTGGTTTGGCGTATTTTAGTTTCACAAATCGGGACAGCGAAAACGAACGAAAAAATAAAATAAAATACAACGCATCTTCATGTTTATCTGTCCCTTTTTTTCTCCTCTTTCGTTCTCTTTCTCTCTCTCTCTCTTTCTCTCTCTCTCTTTCTCTTGCTGCTATCGACATTCCCTCTATACCACTCTCTTGATCACGGATCTCCCCTCTACATTTTGCGAGAGGGAGAGTCAATCATATCCCCCCTCCGAAGGATCGTCTTATCCCAAAATACACATCCTCACATCGTAGATATTGAGGAGCCCTCTCAAACTAGCGGTCATTTCCCGCTCCGTGAAAAATCCCTTCGTTTTTTTTAAATAAAAATTCCCTCGAGTACAGCGTGTTCTTTGACGGCGGCCAGTCGTCAAATGAACGTGCAATTCAACTTCCATCCCAGTTCAGAGGTAAATCCCCCCTTGGCTCCCCTCCGGGTTCCCCTGAGAAATCTCTCAAGCATCCCTTTTTTAACTCGCCTTTGAAGTATCTCCTCTTCGCTCTGAAGAGGTCCCCCGCTAGATAAATGGTGTTTAAGCCATTCACCCATCTCGCACGTCAAGCCTTTACAAAGACTTTTGTCCACGGCTACGCTCAGTCCGTAGTTGCCGCATCCCAATCGTCCTACGCCTCTACCAACACCTCCCTCAACCAGTTTACGAACCTCCCTGCAAAATACACACGCACTGCCCAGCTTCAGAACGCTTTCCAGAACGCTTCTGGCTCCTCGAGTGCGGGCTCAAAGACCGGTCATGGATCCTCCGGAAATTCTGGCAGCGACTCCGGCCTAGCTGCCTACTATGCGGCTTGGCAGCAAGCTCAACAGAATGGCGATGAGAACGATTGGCACCAATTCCAGTTCAGAAAGCGAATTGGCTGGAAGCCATCTTCCCAGGATGCAAAAGAGAGTGAGGGCAGTACGGAATCGAACAAAAATGTGTCCCCCTTATCCGCATCGCAAACCAAGGTCGACATCTCCAGCCACGATCCCAAGGAGACCCGTGACTTCAGAAAGGTTGAAAGTGTCGCAGTTGACGCTGATGTAAGCGCGCAGGTTGATGAGGCCGTTGCGCGCGAAATTCAACAGATCCATGATGCGGAGGCACTTAGCCAGGTGGAGGAGGAACCAGATGTTTCGACCGCGGAGTCCACGAATGGCGTCGAGTCCATAGAGGCGACCTCCTCTAAGCCCACTCCAGAGTCATCCCTGGAAGAGCCTTCTCTTGAGCTTGATGAGTCCTCCAAGGATGTCGAAATATTGAAGAAAGTTCAGGCTCAATCTGGGCGTGTGATGCAACTGGCAGATACCAAACAATATTCGCTCGTACCTGGTGCCTTTGAGAGTATTCTTAAGGAGGGCCTCGTTCCTACTGTTGGGGCTTACAATGCCCTGCTTGAGGCTGCCATCCATCTCCATACGGATATCTACCATGCTGTCCCCAAGGCCCTTGATGTGTACTCGGACATGTTACGCCGTTCCGTTCTGCCCAATGAACAGACATACACAATTCTCGTCCAACTGCTGGCATCCCGCGCCCTGAAGACCTTCCAGTCGATCCAGATCTTGGACGAGCAGCGAGCCCGCTATGGCGGCATGGAAGAGGAAGGCAAATTTATGTTCCAGTCAAGTGAGGCTGAGCATGAACTCTTATCTGAGGATCATTCTCTCTCGATTGCCATGAAGCTCTTCAATGCTGCAACTTCGCACCATGCTGATATTTTATTTCCCCTGGAAACCTATTGCACTCTCATCACTGCCTGTGCAAAGAGGGGGGAGGTTGAGCAAATGATCAAAATATTCGCTCATATGGAAACCCATAAGGTTGTCCCGCACGCGACTATCTTCCCATCCATGATCGATGCATTCGCTGCAAATGGCGATTTGAAGAGCGCAGTGGAGTGCTACAATGAATATAAAGCCTTGGCTATCGCTGACGATAGCGGTGTATTCGGCATCATCGAGCGCAGGGACGCTGAGGTGTATGCAGCTCTCATCAAAGCCTATCTCTCCTGTGGAAAAGAGGCCGGCGCTCTCCGATTTTTCGATAAGATTAGATCCTCGTTCGACGAAGTGAAGGAAGACCGAGAAGCCAGAAAGTCTGCCGTGGAGGATGTTGTTGTCAAGGATGGTTTGATGCAGCACGCAATCAAGACTGGAAGCTTTTCGGAGGCCCTTAAAACTGCTCGGGAATATCTCTCTAAGACTGGACTCGAATCAACATCGGCCAGGATCTGTATGGCAGCTGCTGATTCGGGAAATATCGCTGTTGCATCCGAAGCATACGATCTTCTTCCACTAGAATCCCCTGCTACTATGGGTCCCGCATCGGCAATGCTTGCTCTTCATATCCGTCAGGGACACCTTGCATCCGCGAAACCATTCTGGGCTGTTCTCTCCTCTCCAAGCCACGCTACTCCGGACCTTATCCATCCGACCGCCATGTATACCGTCGCCCTCCTTAAAAGCGGCCAAGTCGAGGAAGGCCTTATGGAGGCGCGGAAAATGTTCACCCGCATTCGAAACTCGGTCGACAGCAAACAAGCCCAGGCTCACCTTCGTGAAGAGATCGACGAGACTATCGACCTCCTTGGCCGTGTCATGATCGAGTCCTCTGCTGTTCTCTCAGCACATGCTTCCATGACCCTCATCTGGGCCATGATCGAGAATGGTGGATTGGTTTCGCCTGTTGCAGAGCACGTAATCGCTAGCCTTGGTCCGTCGGGTATCTCGCAACTTAGCATCCAGGACCTAACACTTGCTCTCCAAGTACAGGCCGGAATGCTGGTCAACACTTCTGAGCTATTTGACGCTGCCAACCCAGCTCGATTTGCCCACATGCTCGAACTTGCGTTGGCTGCTGGGATCCCAATGCACACACTGAAATCCCGTGTGCTCGAGGAAGCTATTCTTAAGATCGCTGACAGCCGCCCAGATTTGGTTCAGAGATGGCGTGGCTATGTGCAATCACCAGTTGACAATTCCAGCTTCGTGCCCGCACGATACACCCCGGTTCCCCAACCTTCTCCAGATTCGAAACCAACGACTCACGAAGATACTTTTGACCCATACGCCCATGCTACCGACTTCCGTGGGTCTGCTGTCATTGCTGATATTCTGGAGAACGCTAGCGGTAGGGCTGAGAACCAACTCAACGATGCCATGATCAAATTCAAAAATATGCGCCGTATTGGCAGACACCCGCGATATATCACTTATGCCAAGCTGATCGCAGCTGCTGCAAAGTGTGGACGCGTGGATCTTGTGCATGAGATCTTGGGTATGGCTAGACACGACGTGCCACTGATCCCCCAGTACAAGGTTGTCAAATATGGCTGGACATCGATTTTGGACGCTATGGTTGCTGCCAGCTTGACGCTTGGCGAACGCGGCCAGGCTGCCAAGTACCACCAAGAACTTAACAATATCGGCTCAGCACCGTCTGCTAATACCTTTGGCCTCTACATCACCACTCTAAAGGAGTCGACGAAAACGTTCGATGAAGCTACCGAGGCCGTTAAGATCTTCCACCGCGCCATATCGGAAGGAGTCGACCCAACATCATTCCTCTACAATGCTCTAATCGGAAAGCTTGGCAAAGCTCGCCGGATCGATGACTGCCTCCTTTACTTTGCCGAGATGCGTGCCAATGGTATCCGACCCACCAGCGTCACCTACGGCACCATCGTCAACGCCCTCTGCAGAGTCAGCGACGAGCGCTTCGCAGAGGAAATGTTCGACGAAATGGAATCTATGCCCAACTACAAACCTCGCCCGGCCCCATACAACTCCATCATCCAATATTTCCTCAACACGAAGCGCGACCGCTCCAAGGTGCTCGCATACTACGAGCGGATGAAAACAAAACACATCCAGCCCACCATGCACACCTACAAGCTCCTGATCGACGCCTACGCCTCCCTCGAGCCCGTCGATATGAAGGCCGCAGAGGAAGTCCTCGACACCATCCGCTCAACGGGCAAACAGCCCGAAGCCGTGCACTTCGCCTCCCTCATCCATGCCAAGGGCTGCGTCATGCACGACATGGATGGCGCACGCAAGATCTTCGACTCGGTCATCTCCAGCCGCCACGTCCAGCCACAACCATGTCTGTACCAGGCCCTCTTTGAAGCCATGGTCGCCAACCACAAAGTCTCCGCCACCGCTGAGCTGCTGAAGCACATGGTCAGCCGCAACGTGGAGATGACGCCGTACATCGCCAACACGCTCATCCACGGCTGGGCTGCCGATGGTAACATCGCCAATGCGCTGTCCGTATACAACGGCATCGGCATCAGCAAGCGCGAACCTAGCACCTATGAAGCCATGACCAGGGCCTTCCTGGCCGCGGAGGATCGCCAGGGTGCGTCCGGCGTTGTGCAGGAGATGCTGTCGCGCGGCTATCCGTCTGCGGTCACTGGGAAAGTGCTGGAACTAGTCGGTGGCGGAACCGCCGGCTCCCCTCCAGCTTAAAAAACGGAGAGCCATGAGCGAGGCTGGGCTCACTCGCTTCTTGTAACCTCTCACCCACCGGCCGGTTTCGATTTCTTCTCCTATGTCTTCGTCATATATACGTTTTAATCTTGGGTCCTTTTTTTTTCTTTTTATATGTGTGTTTGTGTTTTATCACTTTTTTTTTTTTTAATTTTCTACATCTATCAAAAGGACAAAATTACTACACTGGACCTGATTTTTGTTTTGTCCGGCATAAAACAAAGAAGAAGAAAAAGATCAATAATTGGACAAAAAGCCCATGTGTCCTGAATTGTTTTTTCTCACTGCCGCAAAAAAAAAAAAAAAAAAAAAAAAAGCGCCACGAGACAAACAAAATACCCCCGAAACATTTCGGTTTTCTCTTTTGTTCTTTCATTTTCTAAGCAGGAGTTTGGGAAATAAAAATGGAATCTTGTCTTGTGTACTATATACATATACAAAACGTGTGTGGGGCGTTTTCTTTTTTTATTGCCATTTTTTACGTTTTTGCTTTTTGGTTTTTGATCTAACCAGCCAGGCGTATCATTCAGAGATACCAACCTTATTCGTCAAGGAGTTTTTCTTTTCTTTTCTTTTCAGAATGTCAACGCGGGTTGATGGGTAATTGCATATTGGATTTGGCATATATGGTTTTGTTTTCCTATTCTCTACCGGTATTACCTTTTCCTTCTTTTCTCTTCTTTTATGTTTTGTCTTTTACAACGTTCTGGTTTCGATAGACACATCTCTACTCTCTTCAACAACCAACAAGATGATTGGCCCAAATGGTATGGATCATTCTGGATTCCAGTCTAGTTTGTCTTTTGTTACTGGCCAGGGGCTAAGGGGTAGAGCGTGGGGGGAGGGGTTATTCCTCTTTCCCTCGCTCGCTTTTTTGTTTTCTCCCCTTTGCTTCTCTCTGGTTGTATATATGTATGTATGTACATGTACAAAGACACGAATGAAAATTTAAAGCTGCAACTCTTTCTTTTTCTATTATTCGATTTGATTGGCATTTTCCAAGGGTGAATCATACGTACAGTACCATTTCAATCAGCGCAAGGTAGGGTATTAGGAGGGGGCCACGAAATCGATGTTAAGAAGAGAGAAATTTGAAAACAAATGACGGGGGATTCTAGTCAATGAGAGAAAATTCTGGTTCCTTTTTTTAGTGCGATGTCTTTCGTAGCATCGTACTACTCCGTAGCATATAGTAGTATATAGGCGGGATCCCGCTCTGTTGGCAAAGTCACGTTACTCCTGCCCATCTCGCGGGTTCTTCTCACATCTCCCCACCATCCCTCCTCTTCGTCTGTTGTATGTCAAACTGCCATAGACATCGCGTTATTATATTCCCTGACCGTCCGTTAAACATCATAGAGACGCGATATTTCCCACAACCCATACACATGCAATGTTTTAGTTAGATGCGCCCAACCTACCCTTGGTGTATCCCGCCTACCTCCATCTGGAACCGTCTCAACCGGCTCAGAAACATGACGTTGGACAGAGTAGCTGGAGGAAATGATGACACCGGCGGTGGTGCTGTGGGGACCTCCCCAGCCCACGCTCATAGAACACTGAAGAAATTAATTTGTATGTCCAGACTTTCCCTCCTGGTAGCCCTTTCATTCGCGATCAAACCCCCCAACCACTCCCGCCATCCGAGAAAATTTGACTCATTCCCCCAGCGGTCAATTCAAACGGGAGCCCAAGAGTCCATCTAACCTCTCAACTCCTTCTATCCAGTTGCGCCAGGAGACATCGCAGCACCGCATCCCGCCCCTACCCAGCAGCGGCAGCAACAACCCCTCACAACCACCAGCTTAAGCGCACCGCATCCCGCCATGCCGACCCCCATCCCCCCGCACCTCCACCCCACCCCCGACCCAGCCACAGCCCCAGACACCCCCCTCCGCTCCAGCGCCCCAACCCCCATCGCCAACGCCGCCCTGCTCTCCCACCCGTCCCGCGCGCATCAATTCCTCACAAACCCGCCCCTGACCCTTTCCCAAATCAACCCCACAGACCCCTTCCGGCAATTCAACAACTGGTTCCGCGACGCGCGGCTCCCCGCTTCCTCCGCGCCTGAGACATGCACTCTGGCCACGGCGGCGCTGCCGTCCGGCCGCGTCAGTGCGCGTACGCTTTATCTGAAGGAGCTGGATGAGCGGGGGTGGGTGGTATATAGTAATTGGGGGAGTAGGAAGGGGAAGGGGGGCCAAGTTTTTGGAACGGTCGGCGGGAGGGACGAGTGGGGGTGGGATGGGGGTATGGCTGCAGGTGACGAGCAGCAGCAGCAGCAGGGGAATCGATGGGCGGCGTTGACATTCCATTGGCAAGCTGTGGAGCGCCAGGTGCGTATTGAGGGGATTGTGGAGTCGCTTTCGAGAGAGGAGAGCGAGACGTATTGGCGGACGAGGGAGCGGGGGAGTCAGATTGGTGCATGGGCGAGTCAGCAGAGTAGGGTCCTTTGGGAGACGGAGCCGCTGTCTGAGTCTGCGTCTGCGTCTGCGCCATCGGCTGGTGTTATCAATGGGGCGGAGAATGCCAATGCTGATGCTGCCGTTATTAATAAACATGACATTGTTGATGATGGGCGATCTATCCTTGAAGATCGCGTAAAGGAGATGGAAGCGCGATTTGCGGATGTGGAAGAGATCCCGCTTCCACCGTTCTGGGGCGGGATTCGAATTGTGCCGGAGTCCGTAGAGTTTTGGCAAGGGAGGAAGAGTCGGCTGCATGATCGCTTTAGATATGTGAGGATTCATGGGGAAGTGGAGACGGGGGTGGAGACCGCGAAGACATTTCAGTGGAAGATTCAGCGGTTGTCGCCGTAGGGACCTACAGTACAAGTCCGGGTGGTAATCGTCGTACATCCCTCTCCCCTCTTAAGCTCATTTGAAGGCAATCAATCCGTCTCGGACAGCTGCGTTTCGTCTACATGATTACCGATCTCGTTGCCTGCTCGACTTGCCCATGAGCGCGAGATTGGCATCAAGGCCGGCTTCAGCAAGCTGCTCCTTAGTATACATGTACATCCAGCTTCCTGACGAACGTTAACACCATGATATTGCTTGGTAAACAATTAGACACAAAGCTCCGCTTTTAGTCCTTATGAACCCTTTATTTACCTCTGCTCCAGAGGGCATTTTAGTTATTGTTAAGGTTGGGTTATATATAGAGAAATGGGAGGATTGCTTCCGACCCTGAAGCAAACATCTCCTTTTTGGCAGCTTTAATTGAATTTTCATCGTTTCAAAATGGCGTTTCGATGCTTTTGCCATTCTCTCTTCCCCACACTACGGATAAACGCGGCAAGCGCTTTAGACGCCTCTCCTTTACATCTTTCAACGTCACCGCCGGAAAACGAATTACATAGTTATAGATAGCTCCACCACCCAACATTCCTCCCCTATAGCCGGACAATTTAGTTATTGCCGGCCGGCTCAATAACGATAAATATCTCCCATTGAATTTGCTTTCTCCCGCCTTCCGTGTATACATCCATACTAGTACTACTTACACATCACCAGCTAACAACCACACCCCTTCTTTCATCATTCCCCCAACCCTCATCCCAACCCATTCTTGATTTGACATGGTGCGTCGAAGGGTCAACAATCAGGCCACGAGTCCCGTGGATGTCTCACCAGCTGTGGGCGAAGTATCAACGCTAGAGCCCGCAAGACGAAAGGAAGAAGGCAATGAGCGTGGGCAAGGGAAAGGGAAAGGGAAAGAAAATACAGCTCCACGCTCATCTTCATCGGCGCATAGCTGGGTCGTCCTGGCGGTTGCGAGCGGCTTGTTCGCCGCGATGAATGGGGTATTTGCGAAATTGTAGGTTGTGATTTTCGATTCTTGGATTAGTATTTTTTTTTTTTTCAAGGGGTTCGTTGCTTTCCAGTTCCTTTGCTTTCCTTACCTTTATTTTTTTGGTTTATTTATTTATTTATTTATTTTTTGTTTCTCCTTTTTTGTCCGGATATAACGGCCAAGGAAGAATAGTGGATATGGAGGGATTGTAGTGGCAACGAATGATAAGAATAAATAACATGTATAAAGCAAATCTCTCAACAATTGACATCAAGTCTATAAACATCCATCTACTTTGCATACCTACACAGGTCTTTATTTACCTTGGACTAACTAACCACCATCAAACCCAGGACAACAACTCACCTCACGACCGCCCTCTCCCAAACCTTATCCCGCCTTCTTAGCCTCCCTCCCGCCTCAGAGGGAATCGCGGAATATGTCACCCGCGCCGTAAGTCAAGTCCCAACACTTTCCCTCCAACACCACCATATCCATCCATTCTGTGCCCATAAATAGAAATACTAACCACGGTCCATAACAGCTCTTCTTCGCCCTCAACATCCTCTCCAACGGGGTAATGTGGGCTCTCTTCACACGAGCCCTCACGGCATCAGCATCGAGCACCAAAGTAACAATCACGAATACGACGGCGAATTTCTTGCTTACGGCATTGCTGGGGATGGCTGTTTTTGGGGAGAAGGTCGGTGGGCTGTGGTGGGTAGGAGCGGCGTTGATGGCGGCGGGATGTGTTATTGTGGGGATGAGGGAGGGGGCGACGGCGGCGAGTTAGGAGTGTGGATGATGGATGGGTTTATTTTCAGTTTGTAAATGGAGAAAATCAGCTGCAGCAGGTTTGTTGACATATTCTTGGGACCATAGAAATGTGCATTTTGTTTTTCAATCTTTGCTTTTGGAAGCCTTTCATCTACTAGTTAGTAGGCACGAGTTTTGAGATAATGTGTTTAATTAGCGGATGGACAATGGGTGTTCTGTGACTTCTATACTGTTACTCGAAGATGCCTAAGTTACCTGTCCGGATAAGATTATATGAATGTCGGAATATCACTCAGTGCCGGCATACCTGCATAATTTAATATTGCAGAGCAAAGGCCGTGTAACAGCGCCCAAATCTAATACAAGAGTGACATACATATAGCATTCCCAGCACCAAATGAACACACAATCAAAGAAACGGCAGTGCACGAGGACGGAAGGAAAAGAAAGCAAGGAAAAAAACCCGCCGCCTCAACGCCATGATTCCAGAAATTCCTTCATGCAGACATACATACATTCATCGATTCATACATACACTACATCTACCTAATCATTCCTCTCATCCAACTCCTCAGTCCCCTCCACAATACCTGATGAAGATATCGACGATAACAATTGCCCGTCCCACTCGCTACGCTCATGCTCACCTCCCCGTCTACGTGCATGCCATTCTCCGTCCCCTTCCGAGGACCCCAACCTAAGAAATCTCGGCATCCCCGTTCCCCCCATCCTCCTCCAAAACGCCACCTTGTTCGTCGCCCACTGAATAAACTCCCAAGCCTTTTTCTCAACAATCCCCTCTCCAAGCCCGCCGTTCCCACCATGACCCTGGCTATGACCATGACCATCGTCACCGGAGCCATCAATATGCTCCTGAGCCTCAACCTTGAACTGATACTTCAAGCAATCCTTAACCGTGACGAGACCGGATAGGCGCCCACGATGCTCCACGAGAATCACCCTCGGCCCCATTTTCTTGAATATCTCCATAACCGTCTCTAGTGGCAGGCGTGGGTGAACGGTTATCGGCGCGGGGTCGACGTACGGGCTGAAGTCTATGGAGCGGAAACCGGTTGAGATGGCGATGTCGTCGAAGGTACGGGAAGGCGCCTGATCATCAGGGCTGAGATCAGAATTGTAAGGGCTGCCTTCAGATCTGGATGAAGAGGAGGGCTTGGACCCGAAGGTTTGCAGATTGGACGAGGGTACCGGGAGGGTTACGGAGTTTGAGGACGGAATGCTGCCGCGATGGCGATAGGAAGCAAAGGAGGGGGCTGTGGTGAAGCGACATTTGGCGTTGGGGGAAAGGAGGCCCTCTTGTTTTGCGCGATTGATGGCATATTGGAGCTCTGTCCTGCCAATAAAGCCAATGACGACTTTGTTGATGGCATCTTCAACTATCGGAAAGCCTTTGTATTTGTGTTGCCGCAGAAGTTTCTCGGCTTTTGATACGGGAAAGTCGGCTGCCGGAAGCACTGCGGGTTTGTTGGTCATGGCGTGGGAGACCGGGACGTTAAAGATGTGGTCTTCTTTGCTGTCAAGGAATGGGAAACCGTTGAACCAGATCATGCGGTCTGCAATACCTCCTTTGCCGAAGCTGTTGCTGACTGCCTTAGTTACGCCAACAACAATCTACATTAGAGATTTTAGCTTCAAGGCCATATTAACGTTTCGGGAGCATTTTCGAAGCTTACCATGGTTGGGAGGATATAGGTTAAGGCTCCCGTGATCTCAAACATGATCACTGTGACCGAGACAGTCAAATGCATGATCCCACTTAGCGCAGCACCCGCTCCAAGGAATGCATAGGTCCCTGGTGTGATACAAGGCACATCAGGCTCACAAGCTCCAAAGAACTTTGAGTCCGGGAACGCTTCATGTAAAGCTTGGACAAGAATGCCAACCATCCGACCAAAGGAAGCCCCTATGGCCATCGACGGAACGAATATTCCAGCGGGCACTTTGCATCCGTATGAGATGATGACCAGGAGGATTCGAATTATTGTGGCTATCGCAAGGGATATAACCATTGACCAGCGATTATTGGTGCTGATGAACAAAAGTCTATTAGCAAGATCTATTCCTCTGAATAAAGGAATCCAGTGAAGCCAAGAATAATACATACTCACAAATCCCGTTATAGTCATGAGCTCCTTCACACTCCCTAAACAGGATCTCCATCATCTCAGTCATGTTGATCCTTAGAAACATGTTCGGGTAGCATATCAATGCAGTGACTCCGGCTAACACCGTAGCCTCGATAATTGGATGTCGAGATAGATATTTCTTCCGGAACGCCTGCGATCTTAGGTTCCATTTCATAACAAAAGCGCCATACAACCCACCAAAGACGCCTAGCAAAACGAAAAAAACCAATTCAAAGGAATGCCACGTCCGAGCATATTTCACTTGGAACATTACAAGCTGACCTGTCCGAAAAGGATTCATTGCCTGAGGGAATCATGAGCAAGTTTGCCAATCAGGCAAGTAGAGCGGCTCTAGCTGGGACTTACCGCAAGGACTCCAGTTGCCACTAGAGCGCAAAAATAACTCCTCCAAAGCGTTTTTAAGGGGAAATATGAAGCCATTTCCTGTGTAAAGGTTAATTAATATATAATACAAATATAATTTGAGAATGGTGTAATTACCTCCAACGAAAACAAAACACCTCCTATAGGAGAACCAAAGGCGACCGCTACTCCAGCACCAGCTGTGGCAGTCAAGATCTCCCGAGTCTTTGCTGCATTTCGTTTATATTTGCTGAACCATCGTGAAATGACATTTCCAGTGCATACGGCAAAATGGACACTGGGGCCTTCCTTGCCCACTGAGAGCCCAGATGCAATTGACAGCGGTAAGGTCAAAGATTTTATAACCAAGGTTCTTGCCCCAAGGAAACCTTTCATGATGAAACCAGCAATGATAACTTTGATTTCCGATATGCCGGACCCTGCAGCATATGGCGCAAATGAGCTGACAAGAACGGCAGAAGAGAACGCAAAAAGCACCTAAAGTACAGAAGAGAACGGTTAGATATCCTATTCCCCAGCTTCATAACCACATAATGACAATACAAAGTAGAACCTACCGCGAATATAAAGTATGCGATGTAATCTAATGGCGCTATCGATGTCCACCGCCGCCACTCCGGACAACCTTCCAAAGCTGCAAATCAGTAAAAACAGAGCTGAAGAAGAAACGGAAAGCCGCTGGAAGGTAATGAAGAAGAACGAGGAGAAATACCATCTTCGGCACCCCAACAGCAAAACGACTCATTCAAATAAAATCCCGTCGTGCAATACCCCAACTTAATATCTGCCAACCACTCCGTGACAATATTCAGAAAGGCCGCATTCAACCCAATCGCAGCCCCAACGATGGTGACAACCAGCCACGACTGGCCAGCATCATACGATTCGCTGACTTTCCTTCTCCATCCCAGCGTACCCTCTTGGTCCCAGAACCGCGAGCCATCTTTGCGCTTCGCCCGCCGGCGCGCCTGCTCGTGCACGGCATCCTGCACCCAGTCGATGGTCGTGAAGTCTTCGTAGCGCTTGATCTCGTTGATCTCGTAGATTTCGTCCCTTACGGTTGGGGGGATGGCGTGGGTCCCGCTTCCCCGTGGCGTTACTGCGGGGGAGGTCTGTGTACGTACATAATCTGTGGAGCCGCCGGTGTTGAGCCGGTGAATGGAGGTGCGGCGATGTGGACGGCGGGAGTTGGCGGGCTGAGATGAGGGCAAGGGGTTCATAACACCGGCGACACAGGCGTTCCCGTTATCATCGTCAATGGGACGGGGAATATATGTCACTGTCCGAGACACGGCGGATAGATTAATAAACAAGAGGATAGGTTGCGGATTGATCGAGGAAGTGGGTCACTGTCTTGATTTAACAAGTGATGTCCACTATCCGAACCTGGGCGAACCAGAGTAAGCTTGCGCTATGGAAGAGGAAAGGCAAACGCGACTCAACACTAGGGCTGGCACCATGGAAATTAATCGAATGATTTAACTATTCCGTACTTGTTGATAGATATCTCAAGATAGGCCCTTCAAATATATATATATATATATATATATATATATATAAAACTATATACACTATAGTATATTCTATTCTAATCAATTGGAAATAGCTAACTAACGATCAATGTATTCCTGTATCTAACGTCATCAATTGTTCCGCACGCGGAGTTATTTATTATTAGACTTCACCTTTGTCTTCCTCACCTCTCAGCAACCAACTATCGCGCATCTGGAGTCCCAGTTACCATATTAACATCCGATTCCTTTTTCTCTCCCCGCATCGCGCTCGCCAACATTCTCTCACCGTTCATTACTTCCGCCCGGCTCCATCACGCGAGGAATACAAGACACCGACTCGCTCTATGCCTTCCAACACCTCCGTCAACCTTCCGCAGGAGGAGGCCAGTGGTCATTCCGCGTTGCCGTGTACGCGATATAAATTCCCCTTTGTCCCCACCTTACATGGTAAGAAGAAATGCCACTGACCACCATATTCGAATACAACAGTGACTAGAATCAAAAAGATCATCCACCTCGACGAGGATATAGCGCAGTGCTCGAACAACGCCGCATTTGTGATCGCGGTGGCAACAGTATGTGATTATCGTTCACGCTGCTATTGTGTATGGGACACGCGCTTTACCGGCTGTGTACTAATACAGCGGGGATGGGGGTTATTCCGGATGGAAACTTTAGGAGCTGTTTATACGATACCTTGCAGAGCAAGGCCACAACGTCGTCAAATCTGAACGGAAGCCAAGACGGACGATCCAATACAAAGATCTAGGTATGTCAAAATGAACCATCGTACAGCATTTTACGAAACAGGTCACAAATGTTCTCTCTCTCTCCCTTCTCCCCGTTTCTTAATTCAACTCCGCTACGAACAGCCAAATATATACAGTCGCATCTAACATTACCCCATAGCCACCGCAGTTTCCCGCATCGACAACCTCGAGTTCCTAGCAGATGTAATACCAAAAACGACGACATACAAACAGTTCAAAGAAAAGAGAGCGAAGGAGACTGCCAATGGGGCTGGCGTGTCGACGAACCAGCGAACACTTAGCAGCGCGAGGATGCGGGCGAATGGCACGACGTCGCGAGAGCGGAGAGAAGACTCCATGCTGGATCTGAACGGGCAGGGGGACACGCACATACCAACATCTCGGCCGCCGATGGTTATGCACTCATCACGGCCAGATAGTACTCTTGTGGCTAACGATCCAATGTATCCGGACGATGAAGATGTGGGGACTGATGGGGATATTGAGATGACGCAATGAGATATGAGGATACTTTTCTTTCCCTTCTAACCATGAGTGAGGGTAATTTTTTTTCGGTTCTTTTTCAACTTGTGGCTGGTGTATTTATAAAAGCTTCCAGGGGATCGGGGAGTTATTCTTTCTTTCCACTGCTTTGTTTTCCTTTGGAATTTTATTTATTACCACGGTTAGTTATCATTATTGTTAGCATTGATGGTTTGGATTATGATTGATACTGGTCTGGTGTTTTGTTGGAACTATTAGATGATAAATGGGGAAGTCAAATAGAGCAACTGGCTGTTTGTGTATTTATTCCCCACTGCTCCCAACATTCAATCGCACAGTTTTTAATCGTATGTGCTATCATACCATTTTAAATCGCAAACATGCACACATCTTCTCCTCCCTTGCGCCTCTCTTGTCATGTTGTCAATGTTGTCCATGTTGTCTACTCTGTAATGTTGTGCACATTCTCTTTCTGTGGGCCAATCAGCGTCTCGTGATTTGGCTTCCGGTCTTTCGCGAATTTCTAACCTCCAACCATTTCCACCGCTGAACTTCCACTTCAACCTCCCGCCAACCCACCCCGTTCAATTGTCAAGCCAACCCTCTCCCCGCAGAAACTGCTCAATTGGATTTCGCCCGCCATGCCTCCTCTCTCCAGTTCTGCGACCTCCACGCTCGTCCGGGCCTGTACCCGCCAGCAGCTCTCTTCCGCTCGAACAGCAGCCACACTCACTTCCCAGCAACAACGCCGAGGACGAACCACCTCCTCCACGTCGACGACATCTTCCTTCGACAGCCCCTTCGGACAATCCAAGGAGGGCGCGTCCACCCTCAAGATCCCCAGCTTCAAGAAATATGCCAGCAAGTCCGGCGAGTCGTCGAATAAGGTGTTTTCTTACTTCATGGCTGGCAGTATGGGTTTGGTGACTGCTGTCGGTGCCAAAGCGACAGTGCAAGGTAGGTTTCGAATTGTCTTTGCATTGTTATTCATCTATAGTTATTTATCGAATTTTACCGCTGTTCTGCTTCTTTTTATATGGACTATGTCGGCTGTACCTGTAGGGAGGGGAACTCCCTTTGATAATTTTGGACCTTTGGTTGTGGAGAAGAGATCAAGCCAACAATTGGATTCGCATTAAGATTAATTAGGATTGCGCGGTTGCTGATTTGATCGTTGAATCTAGATTTCCTCGTCAACATGTCTGCTTCCGCCGACGTGCTCGCCCAAGCCAAGGTTGAAATTGCGCTCTCTGCGATCCCAGAAGGCAAAAACGTACGCATTCCATTTATCTCCCTGCATCCCCTTCAATTGGAGATAACGAGATAGCGTGGGAGAAAAATTGGAGGGTGAATCCAGTAATGATCGTATCTGACTTTTTTTGCGCGTGCCTCTGCGCTCTCGAACAAAATACAGGTTATCATCAAATGGCGAGGCAAACCCGTTTTCATCCGCCACCGCACCCCTGACGAAATCCAAGAAGCAGAAAACGCCAAATGGGAGAGTCTCCGGGATCCTCAGCCTGATTCGGACCGTGTTCAGAAGCCTGAATGGCTTGTTATGCTTGGTAAATTGATTTCTTTTCACAGCCTCCCTTGAACCCCAAAGCTTTCCAGTGTAACCGGATAAATCTCTAACAAATCATTCCCTAGGCGTCTGCACCCATCTAGGCTGTGTACCCATCGGCGAAGCGGGTGAGTATGGAGGGTGGTTCTGCCCGTGCCATGGTTCCCATTATGATATTTCCGGTCGTATCAGAAAAGGTCCCGCACCTCTCAACCTCGAGGTCCCGCCGTACAGTTTCCCCACCGAGGAGAGTCTGATCATCGGTTAGACACAGCTATAGCTTTCTAACATGCAAGCGGAAAACAAACTATCTATATAAATTTCAGCCCACGCCCAAACCCACATACAAAGTTCTACCCTTTTTTTTTTTATTTATCCCCTCTGCGCCCTCAACTCCAACTTCAATTCCATTTGTGTGTGTATATTTTGGTTTCCCTCCCTCTATCTATCTTACTTGTTTGAAGTTTGAATTGCCCGTGTTGTGTCGTGTAGTGCCGTGCCGTGTATGCTGGGGAAAAGATGATCTGTAGCTTCTTATTTCTACTTTTTGTACTCGTTTTATTAGATGGAGAAGGGGAGGCAAAAAGCGTTGAATGAAAAAGAAAACCATAAATAGACTTCTTCTTATATACACCTATTCTTTCTTTCTTATCTACGATCCGTCTACACCGTTGTCTACGCATGCTGTTAGCAACAGAGGCGTCAGTGTCTTGAGGAAGTTCTGATGGTCAAATGAGTGAATCGGTTCTATTCCTTTGAACACTGCTAGGATCCGTTTCATTATTCACGGGTATCGTGACGAGAGACCGATTGAGTTATGTCCGTTGAGCCATTTGGAAGGAAGAAAAGGTAAAGGCTTTTGCTACCATTTGTACCCGGTGGTATGATATGCCTTTTTTCTTTTTCTCTTCTGCCATCTTTGCTACTCCTCTTTACCAATTGGCCATGTATCTATATATATTCAGCACATATGAAAAGAAGCTAAGCCTCCAGGAACCTGATTTTGCCCAAGAAATTTGAGCAGTTATCTTCTCGGCTGAAAATTCGAGGCCTATTCAGCCTTTTCAAACTATTTCATCCATGTTAGGTGAGATGGCGAGATGATCTAACTATCCAAGTTGAGAGAGGAAAATTCTTTGCAAATCTAGTTTTCAAATTTTTCTCCATCGATTGTCACCAGCCGTGTACTGCGTATAGCTCACACAGCTACGAACAGCTTTCCCCCCCCCCTCTCCCCCCCTTTTAAACTAAAACGTGCAACAGAAACAGTATAGATAATAATAATCGTGTGGGGAAATAATACAACAAGAGAAGAGAAAATGGAGGGAAGTTTAATACAAATATACCAAATCTATCTATCTCTGTTCATGAATACCGTGAAATGATTTGCTATTTCCAACTCAATAAATACGACTATGTAGTCGCCCTCATCGTGGTCTAAACAGGGCAATCAAAACGCCCATCACGGCCGCACCAGCCGCTGCACTCTCGAGCGCTACCGTCGTCAGCTCGCGCTGGGAAAGCGTAATGCGTCGTTCACCGAAGAGGTCATGGATCGTCTGGCGCCAGGAATCTGGAGACAGAGTAGCGTCTGGTGGTAGAAGAAGCGCGGATGTCGACGATTGTGATTGTTTGTTCGGCTGTGACGGGGTGAGGGTGGGTGCGGTAGCAGATACGATGGCTGGATCGGGAACGTCTTGTTCAGTAAACATGGCGGCATCTGATGGTCCTGCTGGAGTCTCGTCTGAGATATTGGAGAATGGAGTAACTGGTTCTGCGATGAGTGATGGCGTAGCTGCTGTAGTAGGAACGGTAGTGGCACCATCACGAAGGGTGGCACCTTCCACAGCACCCACTCCCTCTTTCATTCCATTCTCCCTCTCCAACGCCTCCATAACCTTTTCCTCAAATCCCTTCACCAACCTGTGTCCGCGCCACGGCTCGACAGCTACCTGGAAAATCAGGAACAACAGCACATTTACCCCCATCAGCCCC